AAATAATGCTGTTGTGGTTCGTTTGAATGCGATGTAGCTTGTGACTTGAATTGAGCCCGGAGATCTTGTGTTGGTCTTCTGATGGTCATGTGCATGATTGGGTCTTGACTATTGTTGGTAACGTTAATCAAAGAGAAGATGCAACTCTATGAGACATGGTCAAAAAGAGAGCACTGCGGGCACGAAGAACTGTAATGACCATATCTCATACAAGGGTTTGGGCAAACTGGTTTTTTTTACCATTTTTTAGTAAATGGCCGCCATTTCCTAATTTAGAATCTTCATTTCCAACGCCGCTTTCACCATATACCGCCAAGGTCGCGTAGTTTAGGAATATCTTAAAACAATTTCAACATGTCTCCCCAATTTGGAGAAATTTGCATCTGAAAAAGTGCAAAGGTTTATCTGGACCAGTCTGTATGTTGAAATTGTTTAAGCCATTTTATCCAGCCAATCAACAAATCTGAATGCTTTACTTAATGTTTTTAATTGTGTTTACTTTGTAATTAACACTTTGGCCTCCATTTCCGTCTTCTCTTAATGCTTAAGGTTGAGAAAATGAGCTTAATTGATGAGGCACCATTTGAAGAAGATGTATTTTTTCGCAGTATATGTTAAGTGTTTCGAAGTGGTTTGTTACGTAATTACCACTTACGGGTAGCATCCATTTCTGTCATTTCTTAATGCTAAGTGCCCTTCTCTGAGGAAGCATTCTAATAATTTTGCAAATAAGCATTAACTGATTAGAACAAAATGAAAGATTCTCATTTAATGTCAAAGTGACGTGAGGAGATTAGTTTTGTCTGTTTGCGGCTAAACTACTCAGCTGTCACTTAAGGCACTTTCAATGTTGGCAGAATATACATGCAGTCTGCACAATTTGTGATTTCACTAGCTGATGAGAACTCACCAAGACCACAGCACAGTTATCTGTAACTCAGAGATCATCATAATACTTCCGCTGAGAATGCAATGGAAGACGTTCTGACTGTTACTCCTATGGAAGAAGGACTCAATGTTACAGATACTGACGAAGCCTCGGCCTGCTTGGAATATGGTGTATCAACTACCTTCATCATTTGTGTGTATGGTGTTAGCGTAATTCTAACTATGACCATCAATCCAGTGTGCTTGCTTGTCATCCGACAAATGGCCAACATGCAACCAACAACGAAGAATTTCATGACATCGCTTCTGGTCAGCAAAATGGGCTTTTGCATATTCGTGTTGATCCCATCCATGATAAGGACATATGTTGTATTTGCAGAAGGCAGTTTTTGGTGGATCCTTGGTTTCATTTGTAATGTCATCTTCGTCTTGCAAAGCTTTCTGTCGCTGCTTATTTTGACTGTTGATCGGTACCTGGCCGTTGCCTGGTGTCTGCACTACCCCCGCTTGATGACCGTCCGAAGATCGAAGATTATTATCTCTATCAGCTGGGCAGTTTGTCTGATATTTGGACTTATACATGTAACTATCATCAGTGCCTCTTTGGATGTTTTCATAATACAAAACTTTACCTTGATTACAATCGTCTTCATCGGAATTGCCTTAATTGTGACATTGTACCTGCACATTTTGGTGATTGCTCGACGCCAGGCTCGGCGCATTGCCCAGGACAACCAAGCCGTCGCGGGAAACAACGCACCGCAACGAGTCAGCACCAAGTCCTTCACCACAATCTTCATCATCGTTACAGTCATCTTACTTTGCTGGATTCCCGCTGGTGTTTCGAGCCTACTTATCACCTTGGGCATCCAAGTGTATGTTTTACCAGTTGTTTTCTTCTATTCCAGTGTTCTTAACTTTGCTACTAACTGGATCGATGCAGTCATCTTTTGTGCGAGAAACAAAGAGTTTCAAGAGACTTTGCGCAAGCTGACTCTTGCCTGTTTTCGTGGTCTGATTCAAAAGTTGAATCGCAATTAAAATCCAAATTCTTATACTGACTAAGCCATGTTTTCTTTTGTGCTCGACGCCAGGCTCAGCGCATTGCCCAGGACAACCAAGCCGGTGTGGGAAATTTCTTTGTTAAGTCCTGTTTTTAAAAGTGAACACATTTGTTTCCATCTGTGAATGCTCCATCAGATACATAGGGTTAGCTTGTGTATGTAGAGACACAAGACCAGCCAAAAGACCAGCCACAATACCAGCCACAAGACCAGCCATAAGACCAGCCACAAGACCAGCCACAAGACCAGCCACAAGACCAGCCACAATACCAGCCACAAGACCAACCACAAGACCAGCTGCAAGACCTGCAGCAAGACCAGCCTCAAGACCAGCCACAAGACTAGCCACAAGACCAGCCACAAGACCAGCCACAAGACCTGCCACAAGACCTGCCACAAGACCAGCCACAAGACCAACAAAAAGTCTAGCCATAAGACCAGCCACAAGACCAGCCACAAAACCAGCCACAAGACCAGACACAAGACCAGCCATGAGACAAGCCACAACACCAGCCACAACACCAGCCACTATACCAGACACAAGACCAGCCACAAGACCAGCACAAGTAATAGGGCATGAACAGTGACAAATTAATGCTGTTGTGGTTCATTTGAATGCGATGTAGCTTGTGACTTGAATTGAGCCCGGAGATCTTGTGTTGGTCTTCTGATGGTCTTGTGCATGATTGGGTCTTGACTATTGTTGATAACGTTAATCAAAGAGTAGATGCAACTCTATGAGACATGGTCAAAAAGAGAGCACTTCGGGCACAAAGAACTGTAATGACCATATCTCATACAAGGGTTTGGGCAAACTGTTTTTTTTTTCCATTTTTTAGTAAATGGCCGCCATTTCTTAATTTAGAATCTTCATTTCCAACCCCGCTTTCACCATATACCGCCAAGGTCGCGTAGTTTAGGAATATCTTAAAACAATTTCAACATGTCTCCCCAATTTGGAGAAATTTGCATCTGAAAAAGTGCAAAGGTTTATCTGAACAGTTCTGTATGTTGAAATTGTTTAAGCCATTTTATCCAGCCAATCAACATATCTGAATGCTTTACTTAATGTTTTTAATTGTGTTTACTTTGTAATTAACACTTTGGCCTCCATTTCCGTCTTCTCTTAATGCTTAAGGTTGAGAAAATGAGCTTAATTGATGAGGCACCATTTGAAGAAGATGTATTTTTTCGGAGTATACAATGTATGTTAAGTGTTTCGAAGTGGTTTGTTACGTAATTACCACTGACGGGTAGCATCCATTTCTGTCATTTCTTAATGCTAAGTGCCCTTCTCTAAGGAAGCATTCTAATAATAATGCAAATAAGCGTTAACTGATTAGAACAAAATGAAAGATTCTCATTTAATGTCAAAGTGACATGAGGAGATTAATTTTGTCTGTTTGCGGCTTAACTACTCAGCTGTCACTTAAGGCACTTTCAATGTTGGCAGAATATACATGCAGTCTGCACAATTTGTGATTTCACTAGCTGATGAGAACTCACCAAGACCACAGCACAGTTATCTGTAACTGAAAGATCATCATAATACTTCCGCTGAGAATGCAATGGAAGACATTCTGACTGTTACTCCTATGGAAGAAGGACTCAATGTTACAGATACTGACGAAGCCTCGGCCTGCTTGGAATATGGTGTATCAACTACCTTCATCATTTGTGTGTATGGTGTTAACATTATTCTAACTATGACCATCAATCCAGTGTGCTTGCTTGTCATCCGACAAATGGCCAATATGCAACCAACAACGAAGAATTTCATGACATCGCTTCTGGTGAGCAAAATGGGCTACGGAATATTCGTGATGATCCCATCCATGATAAGGACATATGTTGTATTTGCAGAAGGCAGTTTTTGGTGGATCCTTGGTTCCATTTGTATTGTCGTCTTCACCTTACAAAGCTTTCTGTCGCTGTTTATTTTGACTGTTGATCGGTACCTGGCCGTTGCCTGGTGTCTGCACTACCCTCGCTTGATGACCATCCGAAGATCGAAGATTATTATCTCCATCAGCTGGGCAGTTGGTCTGATATATGGACTTATATTTATCATCAATGCCTCTTCAGATGCTGGCATAATACTGAACTTCACCGTGATTGTCATCATCTTCATCGGAATTGTCTTAATTGTGACATTGTACCTGCACATTTTGGTGATTGCTCGACGCCAGGCTCGGCGCATTGCCCAGGACAACCAAGCCGTCGCGGGAAACAACGCACCGCAACGAGTCAGCACCAAGTCCTTCACCACAATCTTCATCATTGTTACAGTCATCTTACTTTGCTGGATTCCCTCTCTTGTTTGCGGCCTACTTATCACCTTGGGCATCCAAGCATATGTTTTACCAGTTGTTTTCTTCTATTCCAGTATTCTTAACTTTGCTACTAACTGGATCGATGCAGTCATCTTTTGTGCGAGAAACAAAGAGTTTCAAGAGACTTTGCGCAAGCTGACTCTTGCCTGTTTTCGTGGTCTGATTCAAAAGTTGAATCGCAATTAAAATCCAAATTCTTATGCTGACTAAGCCATGTTTTCTTTTGTGGTTGCAAGAAATATTTTGCGTTTAGTCCTGTTTTTTAAATTGAACACAATTGTTTCCGTCTATGAATGCTCCATCAGTTAGATTGGGTTCGCCTGTGTACATGTATGTAGAGTTGTTTTGAAAAAGTAATAATAATAATAATAACTGTATTTATATAGCGCTTTTTGCCAGAGGATACAATCAATGCAACCAAAGCCAGGTAAATGAAGTACATGTATATGAACATTATGAGACCCATTTTGTAGCACCTTTTTGCTAGTAATTGCGCATAATTGCTGCCACTGCCAGGAACACCAGGGCAAACCCCTCCTCTTAGCGACAAGTGTTACTGGGTTCTTTAACGTGCATTACACAACACACGGGACCTACGGCTTTACGTCCCATCCGAAGGACGAAGCAATAATGGTAAAGTGCCTTGCTCAAGAGCACAAGCACCATGTTCCCACGGTCAGGATTCGAACCCATGTACCACGGCACACGAGTCGAACACCCTAACCAGTGGACCACAGCGCCCCACAAAATTAAATGTAACTTTACAAGTGAGAAGTAATTCTGAAGTACTGTAGATCAACAAAAGACTGCAGAACCACTGAAGACCAATTGTAGAGCGCAAGATCAGCCACTATATACCAGTCACAAGATCAGCCGCAAGACCAGCCACTTTACCAGCCGCAAGACCAGCCACTATACCAGCCACAAGATCAGCCACAAGACCAGATGCAACACAAGCCACAAAACCAGCCACAGGACCAGCCACAAAACAAGCCACAAGACCAGCCACAAGACCAGCCACAGGTCCAGCCACAAGACTAGCCACAACACCAGCCACTACACCAGACACGAGACCAGCCACAAGTAACGGGTCACAAACAGTGACAAAATAATGCTGTTTGTCATTGGAATGCAGTGTAGCTTGTGCCTTGAATTGAGGCCGGAGATCTTGTGTTGGTCTTCTGATGGTCTTGTGCATGATTGGGTCTTGACTATTGTTGATAACGTAAATCAAAGAGTAGATGCAACTCTATGAGACATGGTCAAAAGGAGAGCACTTCGGGCACAAAGAACTGTAATGACCATATCTCATACAAGGGTTTGGGCAAACTGTTTTTTTTTACCATTTTTTAGTAAATGGCCGCCATTTCTTAATTTAGAATCTTCATTTCCAACCCCGCTTTCACCATATACCGCCAAGGTCGCGTAGTTTAGGAATATCTTAAAACAATTTCAACATGTCTCCCCAATTTGGAGAAATTTGCGTCTGAAAAAGTGCAAAGGTTGATCTGGACCAGTCTGTAAGTTGAAATTTTTTAAGCCATTTTATCTTGGCAATTAACAAATCTGAATGCGTTACTTAATGTTTTTAATTGTTCACTTTGTAATTAACACCTTAGCTTCAATCTTTGTCTTTTCTTAATGCTTAAGGTTGAGAAAATGAGCTTAATTGATGAGGCACCATTTGAAGAAGATGTAAACTTTCTGAGTATATGTTAAGTGTTTCGAAGTGGTTTGTTACGTAATTACCACTTACAAGTAGCATCCATTTCTGTCATTTCTTAATGCTCAGTGCCCTTTTCTGAGGAAGCATTCTAATGTTCTAATAATGCAAACAAGCATTAATTGATGAGAACAAAATGAAAGATTCTCATTTAATGTCAAAGTGACATGGGGAGATTAATTTTGTCTGTTTTCGGCTTACATTGTAACTACCGGTACTCTGCTGTCACTTAACGCACTTTCAGTGTTTGCAGAATATACATGCAGTCTGCACAATTTGCAATTTCACAAGCTAGTTAGAACTCACCAAGACCACAGCACAATTATCTGTAAGTCAGAGATCATCATAATGGCTTCTGCTGAGAATGCAATGGAAGACATTCTGACTGTTACTCCTATGGAAGAAGGACTCAATGTTACAGATACTGACGAAGCCTCGGCCTACTTGGAATATGGTGTATCAACTACCTTCATCATTTGTGTGTATGGTGTTAACATTATTCTAACTATGACCATCAATCCAGTGTGCTTGCTTGTCATCCGACAAATGGCCAACATGCAACCAACAACGAAGAATTTCATGACATTGCTTCTGGTCAGCAAAATGGGCTTCGGCATATTCGTGTTGATCCCATCTATGATAAGGACATATGTTGTATTTGCAGAAGGCAGTTTTTGGTGGATCCTTGGTTTCATTTGTAATGTCGTCTTCACCTTACAAAGCTTTCTGTCGCTGCTTATTTTGACTGTTGATCGGTACCTGGCCGTTGCCTGGTGTCTGCACTACCCTCGCTTGATGACCATCCGAAGATCGAAGATTATTATCTCTATCAGCTGGGCAGTTGGTCTGATATATGGACTTATATTTATCATCAATGCCTCTTCAGATGCTGGCATAATACTGAACTTCACCGTGATTGTCATCATCTTCATCGGAATTGTCTTAATTGTGACATTGTACCTGCACATTTTGGTGATTGCTCGACGCCAGGCTCGGCGCATTGCCCAGGACAACCAAGCTGTCGCGGGAAACAACGCACCGCAACGAGTCAGCACCAAGTCCTTCACCACAATCTTCATCATCGTTACGGTCGTCTTACTTTGCTGGATTCCCGTTTGTCTTCTTGACCTACTTGCTACCTCGGGCGTCAGTGTATCACCTGTCATTTTCCGTGGTTCCCAAGTTCTTTTCACAACTACCAACTGGATCGATGCAGTCATCTTTTGTGCGAGAAACAAAGAGTTTCAAGAGACTGTACCCAAACTGACTCGCACCTGTTTTCGTGCCATGAGGCATAAGTTGAATCGCAATTAAAATCCAAATTTTACTCCTACACCAACTAAGTCAAGTTTCCTTTTGTGGTGGCAAGAAACGTTTCAGGTTTTAGTCCTGTATTTAAAAGTGAGCTCATTTGCTTCTGTCTTTAATGCTTTAATGCTTCATCAGAAAGGGTTAGCCTGGGTATGCGGAGTAGCTTTGAAAAAATACGAAATGAAATGTAACTTCACTAGTAAGATGTAATTCTGAGGCACAGTGGAATCTTGATAAGTCAAAGTCCGATTACTCAAAACAACTGTTAAGTCAAAGAAAGAATCCATTCCCTTCAGTAGTATTACAATGATATACAACCGTGCTTAACTCAGAACTCTACTTAAGTCAAATTTTGAACCATTCTATTGAGGTTTGACTTAACGAGATTTCACAAGACTTCACGAAACCAACACAAGACTGCAGAGCCAAGAACTATTGTGACCCGCTCCGCAAAAATGAGGCTGTTGTGGCAAAACTGACATTTTGAGTTAACTACATTATTAAAATGGGAATGAAATAAGCTTTCATTTGGTATATCATGGACCTCTCTAGGACATTTGGTTGCATTGTTGTGCTTGTTTCATTCTGTAAAGTTTTTGCAAAGCTAGAAGTGTCTCAATGGAGAAAAAGGGCTTTGAAAAATGACGAATACACTGTAACTAACCAAGAAAAGCACCAAAGATTCATAATTTTTTTCTTTTTCTTACAATATTTACATTTTTGTGTAAGATATTTGAACTAAAACTATCAAACAACCAAAATAAAACAAAAACAAAAAATCCAAATTTTGAGCAAATTTTTACTGTTTCCATTTCAAAATGGCAAAAGCTTGAATTCAAATTATGGGACATCAGACTCATTTTTGCAGAGTGGGTCACAATTGTAGAATAGGCCCAAGACCAGCCGTTAGACCAGCCGCAAGTAACAGGGCATGAACAGTGACAGAATAATGCCTTTGTTGCTGTTCACTTGAATGTGATGAAGCTGGTGTCTTGAATTAAGACTGGAGATCTTGTGTTGGTCTTGTGATGGTCTTGTGTATGTTGGAGTCTTGACTATTGTTGATTTTGTTAATTATTAAAGCGGAAGACGCAAGTCTTTGAGACATGGTCGAAATTATAGCACGACGTGCACAAAGAATTGCAATAACAATGAATGACCATATCTCATACAGGCATGTGGAAAAACTGGAAAGAATGTTGCAACCTGACGCTGCTTTTTTCTTCATATATCATCTCAGTGAATGTCAGTCATTGCAAAAATGATGATAAGACATGAATCTGGGACTGAGAAACATTTTAGTTAGGAAATACTTACATTTTTTTTTAATTCTCCAAAGACTTTGTACACAACCGCTGAAGTAGCGTCAGGTTGCAACATTCTTTCTGACAAACTTGTTTTTTACAATATTTTCTGTGAATGGCCGCCTTTTTTAATTACAATTTTCATTTTTAACCCCGCTAATCTCACCATATACCACCAAGATCTTGTGGTTAAGGAATACACGTATCCTAAAACAATTTGAACATGTTGCCCCAATTTTGAGAAATCGACATCTAAAAAAATGCAAACATTTATCTGGACCACTCTGTATGTTGAAATTCGTTAAGCCAATTTTTTAAGCCTTTTTTTTTAGGCAATTAACAAATCTCAGTGCTTTACTTAATGTTTTAAATTGTGTTTACCTTGTAATTAGCACTTATTTAGTCTGCATTTCTGTCTTCTCTTATTGCTAAAGGTTGAGAAAACAAGATTAATGGATGCGGTACTGTTTTATGATAATAGTTTTTAAGAAGATGTACATCTTCGGAGTAATGTTAAGTGTTTCTACAATGTAAGTGGTTTGTTTTGTAATTACCTCTTGCATGTAAGCATCCATTTCTGTCATTTCTTAATGCTAAGTGCTCTTTCCTGAAAAAACATTCTAACTGATGAGAACAGAATGAAAGATTCTCATTTAATGTGGGAGTTTCTTAAGGAGATTTTTTTTGTCTGTTTGCGGTTAAGCTTCTCAGCTGTCACTTAGGACACTTTAAATGTTTGCAGAATATAGAGTACCAAAGTGTGACGTCATTTCAAACCGGGAATTGTGTTGCAAACAAATGGAGAACGCGCGTCTGTTGGTTCCCAGGCTGAATCACGTGCTAATGCCTTTTACGCACATACTTTTGTGCGTGATGTACATGTATTTACTTCGGTGCTCTCTACATACAGTCGGCACAATTTGCAATTTCACTAGCTGATGAGAACTCACCAATGCCATAGCACAGTTATCAGAAATTCATATTGAGGAAGGAATCTCGCCCTATGATGTGCCACGCTCTTAAAAACCGCCAAGAATCTTGTCTGGGTTGTCGTCCTATATGTTTAATTGGGAAACAACCAAAGCATGCATCAGGTTTTTCTCGACAAGCTGTTGCAAGGTGACAATCAGTTGATCACATAGCAAGAATCTTCACATGAAACTTTGCAAGAATCTTGTCTCAAGTGATTGTTTTTGCCGCATTTAATTGGGAAACGAGGAGGCCATGTGACAGGCTTTTGCAGAAAACTGTAGCAAGATGATTGGTTGAAGTTAGACCTCGGTCAAGCAAGGTAACTGTTCTTGCTCACGCACACCAACCAGCTTTTCATCAGTGTCTGTACCAATACCGTAAGGTCAGTTGAACTAAGTATTGACAAAAACAAGTTAGATGAAGTCAGTGCATGAGCAGTATATGCAGCAGGCCTAATGCTGCCTCTAGCTTTTAGCACTTGATGAGCCACATCGGAGATGCCGAAACTTTCATCTCTGCCCAAACTGAGAGGTTCGATTGTCTAAGTAATTTGTTGCAGCAGCGCAAAGACTTTAAAGTCTACTATTAAACTTCATGACTCGGTTCAATTGTGCAGCTACTTGAATGCTACATAGACTAAAGCATACAACAACTGAGTTTTTGATCTTTGAAGAGTGTACAAGATGCAGTAGGTTATTACCGGTAGTATGAACTCACACCCCTCTGCATTTGCAGCTTCTTGTAACTGAAAGATCATCATAATGGCTCCCGCTGAGAATGCAATGGAAGTCGTTGTGCCGGTTACTCCTATGGAAGAAGAATTCAACGTTACAGATACTGACAAAGCCTCGGCCTACTTGCCATATGGTGTAATAACTACGGTCGTCATTTGTGTGTATGGTGTCAACTTTATTCTAATTATGACCATCAACCCAGTGTGCTTGTTTGTCATCCGACGAATGGCCAACATGCAACCAACAACGAAGAATTTCATGACATCGCTTCTGGTCAGCAAAATGGGCTTCGGCATATTCGTGTTGATCCCATCCATAATAAGGACATATGTTGTATTTGCAGAAGGCAGTTTTTGGTGGATCCTTTTTTTCATTTGTGATGTCGTCTTCAACTGGCAAAGTTTCCTGTCATTGCTAATTTTGACTGTTGATCGGTACCTGGCCGTTGCCTGGTGTCTGCACTACCCTCGCTTGATGACCATCCGAAGATCAAGGATTATTATCTGTATCAGCTGGGCAGTTGGTCTGATATTTGGACTTGCATTTTTCTTCAGTACCGGTACCTCTTTGCATGTTTACACAATACAAAACTTCATCTTGATAACAATCATCTTCATCGGAATTGCCTTAATTGTGACATTGTACTTGCACATTTTGGTGATTGCTCGACGCCAGGCTCGGCGCATTGCCCAGGACAACCAAGTCGTCGCGGGAAACAACGCACCGCAACGAGTCAGCACCAAGTCCTTCACCACAATCTTCATCATCGTTACAGTCGTCTTACTTTGCTGGATTCCCGTTTGTCTTTTCACTTTACTTTTTAACGTCCAAGTATATGTATCTGTAGTTGTTTACTTTAGTTTCGGTGTTCTTTATGTTGCCACTAACTGGATCGATGCAGTCCTCTTTTGTGCGAGAAACAAAGAGTTTCAAGAGACTTTGCGCAAACTGGCTCTCGCCTGTCACAGTGGTCTGAAGCAAAAGTGGAATCGCACTTGAAATCCCCAATGAATACTCATACAAACAGCATCAAGTTTCCTTGTGAAATAGTCCTGTGCGTAAAAGTGAGCACATTTGTTATCTCTCTCTTGAATGCTCCATCAGATGTAGGGTTAACCTGTGTATGAAAAAGTGCTAACATTTATCTAGACCACTCTCTGTATGTTGATATTCTTTAAGCCATTTTATTTAGTCAATTAACTTATCTGTATTCCGTACCTAATGTTGTTAATTGTGTTTACTTTGCAATTAACTTTCTAGCCTCAATTTCTGTCTGCTCTTAAAGCTAAAGGTTGAGAAAATGAGCTTAATGGATTAGGCACCATTTGAAGAAGATGTAAATTTTCTGAGTATATGTTAAGTGTTTCTAAGTGGTTTGTTATGTAATTACCACTTACGGGTAGCATCCATTTCTGTCATTTCTTATTGCTAAGTGCCCTTCTCTAAGGAAGCATTCTAATATTCTAATAATGCAAACAAGCATTAATTGATGAGAACAAAATGAAAGATTCTCATTTAGGCCTAATGTGAAAGTGACGTGCGGAGATTAGTTTTGTCTGTTTGCGGCTAAACTACTCTGCTGTCACTTAAGGCACTTTCAATGTTGGCAGAATATACATGCAGTCTGCACAATTTGCAATTTCACTAGCTGATGAGAACTCACCAAGACCACAGCACAGTTATCAGAAAAGGGCTATGGAGAAAGGAATCTGATCATATCGTGTACCATGTTCTTTTAAACCCCCAAGAATCTTGTCCTATGTTTAATTGGGAAATAACCAAAGCATGCATCAGGTTTTTCTCGGCAAGCTGTTGCAAGGTGATGATCAGTTGATCACATAGCAAGAATCTTCACATGAAACTTTGCAAGAATCTTGTCTCAAGTGATTGTTTTTGCCGCATTTAATTGGGAAACGAGGAGGCCATGTGACAGGCTTTTGCAGAAAACTGTAGCAAGATGATTGGTTGAAGTTAAGACCTCAGTCAAGCAAGGTAACTGTTCTTGCTCACGCACACCAACCAGCTTTTCATCAGTGTCTGTACCAATACCGTAAGGTCAGTTGAACTAAGTATTGACAAAAATAAGTTAGATGAAGTCAGTGCATGAGCAGTATGCAGCAGGCCTAATGCTGCCTCTAGCTTTTAGCACTTGATGAGCCACATCGGAGATGCCGAAACTTTCATCTCTGCCCAAACTGAGAGGTTCGATTGTCTAAGTAATTTGTTGCAGCAGCGCAAAGACTTTAAAGTCTACTATTAAACTTCATGACTCGGTTCAATTGTGCAGCTACTTGAATGCTACATAGACTAAAGCATACAACAACTGAGTTTTTGATCTTTGAAGAGTGTACAAGATGCAGTAGGTTATTACCGGTAGTATGAACTCACACCCCTCTGCATTTGCAGCTTCTTGTAACTGAAAGATCATCATAATGGCTCCCGCTGAGAATGCAATGGAAGTCGTTGTGCCGGTTACTCCTATGGAAGAAGAATTCAACGTTACAGATACTGACGAAGCCTCGGCCTACTTGCCATATGGTGTAACAAATACGGTCTTCATTTGTGTGTATGGTGTCAACTTTATTCTAATTATGACCATCAACCCAGTGTGCTTGCTTGTCATCCGACGAATGGCCAACATGCAACCAACAACGAAGAATTTCATGACATCGCTTCTGGTCAGCAAAATGGGCTACGGGATATTCGTGTTGATCCCATTCATGATAAGGACAAATGTTGTATTTGCAGAAGGCAGTTTTTGGTGGATCCTTTTTTTCATTTGTGATGTCGTCTTCAACTGGCAAAGTTTCCTGTCATTGCTACTTTTGACTGTCGATCGGTACCTGGCCGTTGCCTGGTGTCTGCACTACCCTCGCTTGATGACCATCCGAAGATCAAGGATTATTATCTGTATCAGCTGGGCAGCTGGTCTGATATTTGGACTTGCATTTTTCTTCAGTACCGGTACCTCTTTGCATGCTTACACAATACAAAACTTCATCTTGATAACAATCATCTTCATCGGAATTGCCTTAATTGTGACATTGTACTTGCACATTTTGGTGATTGCTCGACGCCAGGCTCGGCGCATTGCCCAGGACAACCAAGCTGTCGCGGGAAACAACGCACCGCAACGAGTCAGCACCAAGTCCTTCACCACAATCTTCATCATCGTTACAGTCATCTTACTTTGCTGGATTCCCGTTTGTCTTTTCACTCTACTTCTTAGGGTCCAAGTATATGTATCTCCAGTTGTTTACTTTAGTTTCGGTGTTCTTTATATTGCCACTAACTGGATCGATGCAGTCCTCTTTTGTGCAAGAAACAAAGAGTTTCAAAAGACTTTGCCCAAACTGGCTCTCGCCTGTTTTAATGGTCTGATGCAAAAGTGGAATCGCACTTGAAATCCCCAATGAATACTTGTACAAACAGCATCAAGTTTCCTTGTGAAATAGTCCTGTGCGTAAAAGTGAGCGCATTTGTTATCTCTCTTGAATGCTCCATCAGATGTAGGGTTAACCTGTGTATGAAAAAGTGCTAACATTTATCTAGACCACTCTCTGGACAGTGTTGATATTTTTGAACCAATTTTTTTAGCCAATGAACTTTTCTGAATTCCTTACATAATGTTGTTAATTGTGTTTACTTTGCAATTAACTTTCTAGCCTCAATTTCTGTCTGCTCTTAATGCTAAAGGTTGAGGAAATGAGCTTAATTGAAGAGGCACCATTTTATGAGAAGAGCATTTAAGAAGATGTAAACTTTCTGAGTAATGTTAAGTGTTTCTAAGTAGTTTGTTTTGTAATTACCACGTACATGTAAGCATGAGTAGTATTCAGCAGGTGTAATGCTGAAGCTTTTAGCACTTGTTGAGCCACAGCCTCATGAGCATGACCACCAGCCTGCACGCGTTCATGCCTGTACCATCAACAACGCCAGCAGGGCACAACCTCGAGCGCAAGCCCTGGGTTAGGCTCAACCGACTACGGACAGGTTGCGGAAAATCTAACTCATTCCTCCACCTACCGTAGTTGGCACCAGAGCTGAAGACACATGCCCCTGTGGGTCTCCACAGACGACTACTCACATCCTACGAGAGTGTCCAATCTTCGGCCCTCCCAACATTTTAAGTCTACTATCAAACTGGAAGTGTAGAACTGATCGCGCACGCGCAGTGTTGGCAAAACAGCTACATGCTCGAGGGAAACTCTTCCGCATAAGATGTGAGCAACGGAATTGGACTTGTAGTTTAAAATCGATTTGTGTTAACCTTAAGTGTGCTAATTGCATGTTGTTAATTAGAATGCAAAAGGGTTTAGCGTGTTTAGACGTCACTCGGAGGCCAGCCGAGGCAATCTTGATGTTTTAACCCGTCAGCTGTGCCTGTGTATAAAAACAGCCAGTGCATGTTATCACGTCCTCCGACGCGAACTGGTTAGAAACAATTAAAATGGGCCCCCCAAAAAATCACAATATGGGTATATAATGGTATTAATTGTAGATGCACAGTTTTTCCCAAAGTTATAAATATCTTCATTTTTGAATAGAAATGCTCTGAGGCTTTGTGACTTAAGTATTTTCACTCAAATACATACATGTAGATAGGCCTACCACTCAAATACATAGATAGATATGAACAATAATCTTGTATGTCAATGTAAATTGTAATGGAGGCTGACTGTAAAAAAAAGAAAATTTAATGTAAATAACTAGGCCTATATTTCCAGTTTATTCTAATATTGCCAACAAGTTTGGTTCACATGAAGAATTATATACTGTGTAGAAACCGCTGTGCTATAATGGTAGACGTAGGACTAGGAGTTAAAACTTTTCATTGGAACATTTAATGATATATATAAGAGCATGTAGAATAGGCCTACTATAAAGTTTTAATATTAATTGCAATTGATTAATAGAATATTAACATTCATTGTTAATCCTTGTTCAAGGGAGGTGTTGTATTTAGGCATCAGCATGGAATCTTGTTACATGTTTGTGTTTTAACTTTTAAAATTCCTCATTGTAAGTGTGGAATTAGCTGACTACAGAGAGGTCTAAGAAAAGTTTACAAGTTTTTAGAGGCAGACTTCTCAAAATTGGGGAGACATGGAAATTGTATTAATGTATTCCTAACCTACAAGATTTTAAAACGGCCATTTACAGAAAAATGGTCAAAAACTAGTTCGTCCACATGTACCGGTAAGTCTCTGGCAGTCATCAGGCATGTTCTTTGTGCACGCAGTGCTGCTGTTGACCATAATTGTCTCATAGACTTGCGTGTGGACCAACTGGTTTTTGACCATCGTTCTTTAAACCATCACCCTTAAATTAGGCTTGATTTTCAGCGCCGTTTTCACCATACATGTATACCACAATGATGCGAAGTACATGTACTTTAGGAACAATTGAAATACATGAATGTTCCCCAATTCCGAAAAATCTGCGCCTAAAAGTGTAAAAAAAAAAGTTAACTACTCTGTATATAACTGTGTACATAAAAATGGCTATAGTTTGCATTGTGGGGATAACAGCAAGGTAAGTTTGCGGAAACACCATGTGAAATTAATTTCTTTTGTCAGTTTGTGATGGTTCTGAGAAGGTGCCACTTTAGACTCAACATTTCAGACAGCATACTCTGTCTGTCCTCAGAAAACAGAGTACTACACATTTTGTTTCTGCAAATTTTACTTGCTGTGTACATGCAGTTTATTTACAAAAAAACTACAGGGTCGTCAGAAATTGACAAGATTTTGTTTAACACATGTACCCTTTTCTACCAGTTTTCCAAGTGGAGTTTTCTGTTTTGAGACCGTGTACATATATATCTAAAACATTTAAAGGAGCAATCTCATGGAAAATATTAATGTTGTTTTAAATACATGTATGTATACATGCACATGTTAAACTTGTGTTAAAGGTACAGTCCATCATTTGTAATGTGTGCATTTTGTTCGTTTGAAGCATCAAAAGTGCTCAAATTCTAAAGAAGGGTGCTGAACAACTAACCTGATGAAGTTTCAGCTCAGCTTCAGCTGTATATTTCGAGAAAAACAACATTCTAGGATCTCGATTTCAAATCAAAAGTTGCTGAATCGTGTTTTGAATTGGGCTTGAATTCAGCGTCCGAGACATGTTCTCACTGAGCCGATTGCAGCCACGCGATGTCATGCACTGATCCGACGAATTACAGCAAACACGTTTGCTTCGTGCCAACACTTGTGGGCGCTTTACCGGAAAAAAACCCTACTATTTTAAATTTCCAACGGTGCGTCTTAAGAAGCACCGTTGGAAAGGCTTTCTTTTGTTGATTTCTTCAAAATAACAGCTTGCCAGAAAGAATAATTTCACAGGGAGTTTAGTCTTCTTACTATCTTTCAACCAAGTATGTTTTTCAACAATAATTAGGTCAGTTACTTTTCAGATAGCTGCAAATGATGGACTATAGCTTTAAAATGGCATGTCCAGTCTTAAGTAGAAACAACATGAATGGTACTTTTGTGTATCAAACACTTGTTACATTGTAGCAGAGCTCTGTTTCCACATATCCAGTGAAGATTACATGACTGAGTAAAAATCAATGTGCCATTATGCGTAGCAACCATCTTAAACGGTAGTGCCTTTGTTTGGGATATGTATGAATGAACCTATTGTGCATTCATTGTTACTGAATTAAAATAACAAAAGATGCCCTCAAAGATGGCTGCTACGCATTTGGTTTATTATCTAGTATCTGTAAATTTCAGCATATTTATTGTAAATGTAATGATTGAACAATGTGAATAAAATATGGTAGAACGATAAAATAGGAAAAGGTTTTGTTTCTCATTGTATATTACGATTGTGGTCACCAGAGGTGTGGTCTAGCTCCCTCCCACGGTGTTATCTTTCTGAAAGGGTGTGGACACCCTCCAAGGGTGTGGTCTCAAAGAATGGGGTCTCCCTCCAAGTATATCGTCTCCATTTAAGGGTGTGGTCTTTTTAAGGGTGCAGTCCTTCCAAAGGTTTGGTCCTCCAATGGTGTGGTACATTCAACAGTGTGGTGCCTCCAGGGTGAGACCCCTCAAAGGGTGTGGCCTTCCTCTTAACTCTAAAAGGACCGAGCTCATGAATAAAAGTTATACCCGCAAAATATTCTATATTAGAGAGTTCTGAGCGCCGTAAAATGGGGGAATTGAAGAGATATGGTAATGAACCTCTGGCCCGGACTTGGGGCTTCCAATGCTGAGCATTTTGGATGCTATTAGGCTCGAAAGTGGCGCTATTTTGCCATGTTGTGGAGGGATCACTTTTCAAGATGGCTACTTTTCCGCTTTGGGGAAAATAGGGGTCGTCTTCTTTGGGTGAGAATATCTCGAAAAGTCAATGGTCAACCCACCAAAAAATGAAAAAAAAACCGAAAGATGAGATGTTGATCATCATTTTTCTGTGCAGCTTGAATACCTGTGAGAGTTCTGAGTATTTTTAAAAGAATTTTGAAGTATGGGCAGTATTTAGCACTGGTGTCTATGAGAATTTATTTGCAGGGTTGCATCCTTCATAATTCAGGCGGTTCACAATGCAGTGCGCCATCAAGAGTTTGCCAAGGAAATTCCATTTTTTAAAGTTTACAGTCAACAAAACATATGACCTGTTTGAATGAGCGTCATGCAGTAGACAACTTGAGCTAATTTGTTATAGATGGGGTTATAGCGTTCTGCCGCCTTACAAAAAACACCATATTGATAAAAAGAAAAGAAACGATAAAACGGATACTTGAATCAAACGCTAACGAACCACTGACCAGAATAACGTGCAATTTCAAATGTCCTGCGTTGCGAATTTGTCGACCATCTCCCACAATGCACTGGGAAAAATTAACTCTCCGTGGCAAACTCTTGGTGGTGCACTGCACTGTGAATCGCCCGAATTGAGCTCATCCTCGTCAAGGATCTTCTCCCTCATCAAGGACAGACGTTTCTTCTTTCGCCTTCACTTTTTCCGCTGTTTCTCTATAGGGAAACAGAAAATACCATGCGCTGAGATGACGCAGAATCTTACGGTAACGGCAGCACTGGAATCACTGTCCCTATCCCTCTCCCTAGATTGCTTCAGTTTAAACAGATTGTCGGAAATCTCAGGTGTGACTTAATAATCGTTGTTTCTTTGTCTTGAAGGTCAAGTGCACCGGTCATGAGTCCTTCCTTGTGGATTGTCAGTATCACGTCGTCATGCCGTCCGAGGGTTTGAGCCACAATATGGATGTCAGCGTCACTTGTTCAGGTAATAATTTTCCTTCATCACTGACAGTTCACATCCCGTTATCCGTCTGTTGTGGTCTCTCTATTGTGACCTCATATGTCATTCAGAACGGTCAGAGTTTTGTCTCTCCTTCTGCAGGAATGAGGCAAAAGAGACAAGCAGAGGAGGAAGAGGTTGTTGCAACCGGTAAGCGTTTATGGAACTTTGGTTGAAATATAGTCACCTCACCGTGGTTCCTTGATGGAACTTGCTGTAAGCGTTTATGGAACTTTGGTTGAAATATAGTCACCTCACCGTGGTTCCTTGATGGAACTTGCTGTAAGTGTTTATGGAACTTTGGTTGAAATATAGTCACCTCACCGTGGTTCCTTGATGGAACTTGCTGGAAGATATATACCAGAGGATATATGGTATAACATTAGGGAATAAATGTGCGCTGGGAGGTTTTAAATACTCTGTTTAATACCAATTGGAGTCTGGATGCTGATAATTACCCAAGTCAAATGTGAGGGTAATTATCATCATCCAGACTCCAACCAGTCTTAAACATAGTGTTTTATATCGATCAAGCACATATATTTGTGGGCACATGTGGTCTAGCGGTAGGGCACAGGATTCATGATCGTGAGGTTGTGGGTGCGAGCCCCGCCGTGGCCATGCGCGTTGTGCCCTTGAGTAAGGCGCTTTACCTCAATTACTCCTCTCAACCCAGGTGTTTAATGGGAACTGGCATTATTCTATGCTGGAAAGGTAACAGTGTTTAAGTGTTAAAGTGTTTAAGACCAGCCACCCTATCTTTATCATCCATTTAAGACCGGCCTTGTGTCAGACTCTTGACCACTAGGAATTAGTAAACTGTCTTAAGCCCTTTTCACACTAGACAAATCTCGGGGTTGACACATCATTTCACACTTGAAGAATTTCAACCCAGAGTAAACCCTTCGTCAACCCCGCGTCAACCCCGCGTCAACCCCGCGTCAACCCCGCGTCAACCCCACGTCAATCCCGAGATAGAGTTCGCCCAGGGTTGACCTCAATCCTGCTCCAGACAAGGGTTGAGATTTTAAACCCGGGTTGAAGCTATCGCCAGGGTTCAAAACAGTAGTAGCTGAGCATGAAAAGCTTGATTTGCCTGAAACAAGTGTGAAACGACAACTCAAACCGGGGCGGCACTGGGTTCGCCCAGGGTTGAGTTCAACCCGGGTTGAGAGGCTCTAGTGTGAAAAGGGTTTTAGGTATATATGAGTGCTTGTTTTATGTGTGGTTTGCAGGCAACTGCTCACACGCTGAATTCCAGTGCCATAGTGGGGAGTGCATCCCTGCCTGGCAAACGTGTAACAACTTCCCCGACTGTGAAGACGGCAGCGATGAGTATGTCGATCTTGAGTGCGAGGATCCCGAATCTAGTAAGTGCATCCACTCTTGTTTTGCTATACTCCTGAGGACAATGCTTTGTGTTTCTCTTTGTATCGTAATATAACACTCTCCCTTAGACACAAATCTACTACAGATTCAAAGGACCATTTTGAACAAAAGGCCCGAGGACTGAAAGTAACTTGTTCTTCCTTTTTGTGTCGGTCCTCGGGGGTTATGTAGAACAGGCCTACGTCCTTGCAGAAACTTTGAAGTGGAAATGTGTGGCGAAGAGGATGGGGGAGGGTAGGGTGGGGAGGGGTATAGTGTCGCCTCACTTGTAGACAGAGCAGGAGGCACCATAGAATCATCTGATTGTGAGGATCCCTAATTGAGTTTGTGCATCTTCGCAGAAATAGGGGGGGGGAAATAAGTGGCTGTACAGGGTTGTAAATCTACCGAATAGGGAGGATCTTTGCCCTGGTTTTCGGGGTGGAGGGAAGGCCATTAGCTCCCTTCTGAAAAAAATATGTCCATATGTACATTGTGAAATACAAGAGGTACAAAGACATATTTAAGTACAAGCTCTTTTGAGGAAGGGAAAGAAGGGAAAGATACAGGAAAGGCGTTTCCAAGTAATCTTATCATTTTAAAGAAAATTTCGGTTGTAAATTAGCAAAAATGGAGGGGTTTACATGCACCATTTTTTTTCCAGGATGCCCTGTATTGCAGGTTTTCAATATCGTCAGTTTTGGGACTCTCATACACAGTATGTGTTTTAAACTGTGTAGCCTCTCTTCTGCTTTTTTTTAAACTAAGATCAGGAATAAATTCATATTATTTATCTCCTGTTAGAGTGTCCAGTTCATGAGAAGCCATGTCGTGGTTCCAAGCACTGTATCCTACGCACGTTTGAATGCGACGGATTTAGTGACTGCTTGAGTGGTACCGATGAACAATTCTGTAACGACCCAAATGGTGAGTGTGCCAGCCGACATGCAGTCTTGCTCCTTGTTTTGTTCTATTTTTTTGGCTTTTAAATCAGAGAGCAAACCTTTTGGTGTATTGGAAAACAAGTTCAAGCTAAGGATGGGACGTTTACACGTTTAAACGTTTAAACAAAAACAATTCTAGATCCATTTACCAATTTTCCAAAAACATTTCAACGAATCCCAATTTATAAAAAAAGGACCTATATTCACCGTTCACGCAGTGAAGGTGTGTCATTTGACACATCTTTGGAAATGGCCTTCTGTTATTGCTTTCCTCAAAATGACAGCATGCCAGAAAGACTAATTTCACAGGCAATTTAGTGCCATTACTATCTTTAAAGGGAAAATACAACATTTGCAAACATCAAAAAATAAAACTACCAAATCATTTTGAAATACCTTGCTGGACTGTTAGTGAATGACAGTGTAAAGCATCCTGTAAAATCATGGCACCTGATATACTGTCATTTTCAAGAAAAGTGGTATTTTTGTATCAATTTCCAACACTGCTCGGCCGACCAGAGTTGGAAAACACTGGCTTTTTTTCAAATACTGACCCCAATTGACCATCGCACTTGTTTGCAATCGATTACACACCTATGAACGGGTACAAGCCAGCTAGACTGGTTCCCTGACCTTACAATTCCCCAATGTATGTAAACTGCTCTGTTTCTTCTTATATGGAGTCAGGGAACCAGACTACAGGAAAATGATTGTTTTTCTTGGTTTTTATAGCATTTTCGAACCCAAAACCTCAAAAAAGTCAGTGTAACTATATTTGCTCTATATTTCCAACCCCCCAATTCCATCCATTTCTGAAAATTACAGCAAAAGCAAATGATGTATATTCCCTTTAAACCTAGTAAGCGTTTTAACAATAATTTCATCAGTAACTTTTTGGATAGCTGCAAATGGTCATATCTTCCTTTAAAAGAATACAAATTTGCTGATAATGTTTTCCCTAGAGCCCTGTCCAGAGGATTATTTCCAGTGTAACAACGGCAAGTGTATCCACGTATTCAGGGTCTGCAACACCATCGTAGATTGCCAGGGTGGAGAAGACGAAACTCAAAATTGCTCTTATAAGTCGTCTGGTGCGTACCCTGGAAAAAAATGTTGCAACTTGACACCACTACCGTGATTATGTACAAAGTCTATGGAGAGTCAAGAAATTTTCTTAAGTATTTCCTAACAAAATTGGAATTGTTTCTCAGTTCCAGTTTCATGTCTTATCATCATTTTTGCAATGACTGGCCTTCATTGAGATGATATATGAAGAAAAAAGTGGCATCAGGTTGCATCATTTTTTCCTATATCATTTTACTAGCTAAAAACTTTACATAGGATTTGCATGTGATTTATTTATTTATTTATTTATTTGTGGTTTATTAAAACACTGCTTATAGCAGCCCACAGGCTGAATTACAAGTCAGTTTACATACAAATTTCAATAAAAATTAGATGAGGTTAAAATCACAAAGAGTAAACGGTAAAAACAAAGGAAAATTGTAAGTACAAAAAATATAGTATACATATCAAAAATTGCACAGAAAAACAAAAGTGCCACATCAAGTGCCACTGGACAGATTCTGGTATTTGGAGGCTTATTTGTGCAGACATGGGTTTCAACTTTTGGCCAATGGTGTATGCTTATTCTTGGCATTGATGAAAACAACACCCTATGGACTTTCTGTACAAGCAAATACAGGGCGCTTTCTGAGCAGATCCCCAGTTGGGGTGCGTTTGGGTTTTGCACGAAGCGTGCATGACCAATTTATTTTACTTTTTTGTTGCTGTGCGTTTAATCTCTCCACTCCACCAGATGATGGACTGTTGAATCCTTTCCAGACCAATGCCTGGAAGGATCCCTTCCGACCCTTCATCCCTGAGGACATCCAAGAAGAATTCTTCCTGAGTTTCCGGGAAGACTTCTACACCCCTCGCCCGTTCAGCCGCGTCGGGCGCGAGGATCCGGCCGACTGGCAGCGCTTCGTGACCTTCAGCGAGCTGCCGGACTACAGCGATCTGAGCGAGGTCTTGAAACTGACGGCAGAGGAGATTTCGCAGTACGGACACCAATTCAGTGACTTTATTCTGCAGTGTACGTACGACGGCATTGATTGCACCTACGGGTAGGTTCAACCCTTCGCATACAGGTGCCTGCTGGATAACAGTACATTAATTGTGCAAATCTATCTACTCTGTACGTTAATTCCTTACCTATAGCGTTGCCAGTGAGTCCGTGTCAATACATAAGGCCTGTTCCCGTTAAAACAAGTATAAAGTTGCCAAGTGTCATGTGGGAGAACTTTTTGAAAGAGATATTCCTCCTAACTCTTATTGATGTAATATTGCCCGATTTGCCTTTGACTCATTTTTATAATGTGTTAATTTCAAAGACCTGACGTCAGTCGATATCACTAGTGTTGTATATTAAGGGAATAAATGTGTGCTTCGGAGGTTTTTATCACTCTGTTTAAGACCGCTTAGAGTCTGGGTGCTGATAATTACCCGAGCCGGAGGCGAGGGTAATTATCAGCACCCAGACTCTAAGCGGTCTTAAACAGAGTGATAAATACCGACCGAGCAAAAAAATCAAATAATTCGTTCAAAAAATCCCTGTTTTGTTCAACAAGTTCACTTCATGCTTTTTGAAACATCCCTCTAGCAAAATAATTGAGTGTTCAGCTGGCGAGTAAGATGTAAACGACCCTTTTATGGAGATTGACGCGCGCGTAGCATGTTCTGCGCGATGTCGCACAGAACGCACCTGGGGCGTTGCGTTTTGAATTTAGAGATTGTGAACGTTCAACCAATGAAATGGTAAGAGGCACTGGATTTTTAGGAGTCCACATTTTATGTGACACTGGAAAAGTGTTTAAGACCAGCTAGCCATGTCTTTATCATCCGTTTAAGACCGGCCACGTGACGGGCTCTCGACCAATAGGAATAGCTGCAAGGACATTGCAAGATCGCAACAAAAGCTGGTTAAATTACATGATATGAAAATCAGGAAAATCCAGAAACAGTTTATCTGACAAGCACGTCTTTAAAGAAGTCAGTCAGCTTAAAAGTCACTGACTAATTTTGTAGAACTTTGTCTTAATATCTGTTTTTTTCTGCAGTCAGTTCATTCATATCCAGAATGAGAAGTACGGCAACTGTTTCACGTTCAATTATCGAGAAGAATCGGGAGAAGCAGTACGGAACTCTTCAAGGACGGGGGAACAGTCAGGTGCGTCATCACATACAAATGGTCGTATTTTTGGAAAGGAGCTTGTAAACTTTCACTCGGGAGGTAACACACTGAGTATACAGTGTTTATACGTCGGTGAAGGGCAAAACCTAATTTGATTTACATCACCCCGACGCAGAAAGTCCCATCTTATTAATAGTTAATGCGGTACCCGCTGCTATGTATATTAGATTCGAACCAGCCAACCGATCCCGTTAGCTCGGTGGTCGAGTGGCAAGACATCTGCACTAGAAGGCAGGAGGTCGTGGGTTCGAGTCCCACCCGAGTGATTTTTTCCAACTTTCACTCGGGAGGTAACACACTGAGTATACATTGTTTATACGTCTGTGAAGGGCAAAACCTAATTTGATTTACATTACCCCGACGCAAAAATAATTCCCATCTTATTAGGAGCTTGTAAATTTGTCTCTTCTTGAAAAGAGTGTGGGTTCTCATTGAACATGCGTTTCAAAAGTGTTTTTGAGAAAAAAAATTTTATATTATATTTATAAAGCGCACGTATCCACCAGTATTGGTGCTCAAGGCGCTACATCATTATTACCCTGCTATCATTGGGCCAATGAAACATTAACAAATACTGTCTCAGCTCCCTGGGGAGACAGCTCGATGCTGCCATTTTGGCACAAAGCGGCTAAATTTAGCCACAATAACCATCTCTGCCCTCCCAGGCACCCATTCACTCGTGGGTAGGGGAAGCAATGAGTGACAAAGTGCCCTGCCCAAGGACACACGCACCACAAACCCCAGGCTGGACTCGAACCCACAACCTGCAGAATTACTCACAGACCACAAATTCAATGCTCCAGACCGCGAGACCACGGCACTTCACAGTGTAGACCAGGAAAAGATTCTCAGCAGTCAAAAGACATTCTGAATCAAATGAAAAGAACTGTGCGTGCCCTTGGTCCAACTTTAAAGGCCTTGCCTTGTCTTGTTTTTTAACGCAGGTCTTTCACTGACCCTGTTCGTCGAGCAGGACGAGTATTTGAGTCTCCACGGTCGAGAGGTAGGGGTCAGGGTATCTATCACCACGCCTGACGTCGCTCCGTTGCCCGCTAACGAAGGAATCAACTTGTCGCCGGGTGCTGTAACTTCCATCGGGGTCAGATATGTAAGGAAGTATTCAACCCTAAGCGGCCATGACACACCATAAATTTACGGGCAAATAGTTCCGGGCAATCTCCGCGAAAGAAAATGAAAAGGAACGACTCAGGAATAACTAAGACTGTTCTCTAGGGCATTTCTATACACTGTCGGAAAAATGTAATCTGTTCACTGTTGGGGTTCCTTTAGCTTGTAATCTATTTGGTTTCCTCCAAGTTGCCTGTAAAAAATTGCCTTTTTTTCTTTTGAAAATGTTGATCCTGTTTTTCTACTTTAGTACCTGGGTCTGCTTAAAAGCCTGCTGTACACAATGTAAAATAGTTCTTTAGGTAAACACAGCTTTAAACAGCACCTTGGAAATTGCCAAAGTAGTTGTTGCAATGAAAGCTTACAACCACTGTATTTTCACATAGAAACTATTTCTATGGGCTCCATGCGCCAACAAAAGAGGGCGCGTTTTTACCTCTTTTGAGAGCTCCGTGGACGAGACACACATCGTGCGGGTACTGTACTGTACTGGTTCGCGCGCAAAGTACGCACAACTTCCTCAATGTGCAGAAGTTATAGCCACCGCGTCTTCGCCTGAGGGTCATGGTGAGTGATGGTCTCCGTGACGCCTCCAATAACTTTGGATACATTGGAAATACGCAGTGGATGGATCGGGAACCAGTCTAGGTCACCCCAACTCTCCTTTTCTGGCTGTTGATGGGGTACTAATGTGCACGGAGCCCATAACGATGGTCCACTTTCTCTCTTCACTAGAATGTAATTAGTCGGAAGCCACATCCGTTTGGCACTTGCCAAGTGAACACGACTACAGTTTTGGAGATCGTGAACGGCAAGATAGTCCAAGTCGAAACCAATAACTACAATCGCAAGGTGAGCAAGTGAATGTGCTAGTTATTGTTATCGTTATTATTGTTATTAATCATTTCTGGTAATGAAACCAAGGATTCCTCAAAAGCGCCCAAGGCACTGTAGCTCGCAAGCCTGAAGAAACCTGTAGAGAGAAGACAATGAGAAGAAATTACAGTTTTAGAGGTGGGAGGAAAAGCCCAGGAGAATATTCTGGGGAAAACCCACGGAATCAGGTAGGGACTGAAAACCCAATCCACATATTGGCCCAGGCGGGATTCAAACCCGGGTCACAGCTGTGGAAGGCGAGGAAAGTACCGCTACGCCAACCTGACTCCCCAAGTTTTCAAGTTTTTTTTGTTTTCTTTCAAATAAACCATAAAAGGAAACTGACTAGGTGCATAATATTAATTTTGTTTAAAGTTGAATAAAGAAATTTACTGGAGCTTGGGTTTGAACCTGCGACCTCCGGATTGCCATTCCGTGCTCTACCAACTGAGCTATCCAGCCCTATGTTGGTGGTTCCCCATTTTGTCTTTGTTCAAGGACGCTTGTCATTTAACAATCTTGCATCTCAAATGATAGTGCTTTTTGTTGTAAATATCTAGTGCATCATCAGACTGTCCACATAGATGTTTATTTTCCGAATATTTGAACCAGCAGAGAGCCATTCAAATATTCGGTAGATGATCGAAGACTCGGTTTATGCAGGGCATCCCGGGTAACATACTCAATTATTTGTTTTCTACATTTTGTCATTTTTTCCCCTCCAGCACTGTCTTCGGGTTTGCGTCCTTCAAAAAGTCCTTCAGATTTGCAATTGTTCTGACTCTATGGAACTGGATGGAGAAAGATGCAAACTCCTGGATGCGACGCAAGGTAACCAAGACATTTTCAAGGAGTACAGTTGCTCCAAGATGAACCTTAGAGTGCCGTGACCTAGTGGTCTGGAGCATTGAATTTGTGCTCTGCAGGTAATTTTGCAGGTTGTGGGTTCGATCATCAACTTCCTGTTCACTGCACCTTGTTGAGATCATTTGCTGTATACGGCCCCAGAATCTGGAACAAACTTCCAGAATACATTAGAGATATACCACCTCACTGCATACATTTAAAACACTCTTGAAAGCTCACCTGTTTCAGGAGGCATACCATCAATAATGTTGTCTTCTTTTTGGTGCCCCATCAGCGCCTTAGAGCAAACTTTTTGATTTTAGCGCTTTATAAATTTCTTTTGATTGATTGATTCGAGTCTAGCCCGGGGTTATGGTGCGTGTGCCCTTGAGCAAGGCGCTTTGTCACTCATTGCTTCTCTCCACCCAGGAGTAGATGGGTACCTATGAGGGCAGAGTTGGTTACTGTGAGAGGTTGATTATGGCCAAGAGCGCTAAAATGGCTGCCCACCGGGCCGTGTATGCTCCCCAGGGAGTTGAGAAGCAAACCCTCCTCGCAAATGTTTTTAATAGACAAATTTTGGGTTCACAATTTGAATAGAAAACCCCCAAACCGAACAGAGTCTTCCTGAAATGACATCACAGCAACAGCGCCCACAGTTGTCCGAAAAAGCATGGACAATTTGTAATTTTTTAGAGAAGTGCACTTTTCAATAAAATTCACCAAAAGGGATGTCAAATAGTTTTTATACATCTAGGAGGAGTAGAAAGTTGCACAAAATGTTCATCGCATGGACCCTTTACAGGAAAGTAAGTTTTGATAAGGGTTAGTCAGGCATCAAGTTAACTACCAAATGTGCCATATTTTGACTACAGGCTAATAGAGACCAGAATTGATTAATATTTTAGACCTCCTTTATACTTTTCCTTTCAGATCTGTGCAAGCAGATGGTGTACTATCTTCACTCTCATGGTTTTCTGAATTGCTCTTGCGGTACCCAATGCATGTAAGTTGTCTTGATTTTGGGGAGTTTCTGTGTAATTTCTCATCAGAAATCTTTGTCAAGAAGAAAAAATTCAAAATTCTCAAATAAAAAAAAAAAAAAACTTCTTTGCTTACCATTTCTACTTTGCAATGTCTTCAGAGAACTGTTTTGCTCAAAAGACAATTTCACTATTCATTTATGCTTATTCCACCTTAATTACTCAATTTGTAGGCCAAGGGTTATTTTCCTATACTTAATACAATTATTTTACACAAATATAATAAAAAAAAACTGTCCATAAATTTCTTGGCTCAATAGTTTGAGCAGAAAGCGGGTTAGGAGTACATGATGATTTCAAGAATCTTTTCGTGTTTAAAGGGGCACAATTTAAGTTTGTACATCTACAGTAACACAGCCGTCTATGGGAAGTAGATTCGGCTGATTGCATTGGTGCGTGTACCTTTAATGCAGATTCAGCCACACTGTGTCATTACCATGTGTAGCATTTGAATGCTATACATGCAAATAACACTCAATTTGAAAGAATGTAATAATGTGCATTAAAGCTATAGTCCATCATTTGTAATTTGTGCATTTTGTTCGTTTGAAGCAACAACAGTGTTCAAAATCTAATGAAGGATACTCATTACTGAACAACTAACCTGATGAAGTTTCAGCTCAGCTTCAGCTGTATATTCCGAGAAAAACAGCATTCTAGGATCTCAATCTCAAATCAAAAGTTGCTGAATCATGTTTTGAATTGGGCCTGAATTCAGCATCCGAGACGCGTTCTCACTGAGCCAATTACAGCTATACGCGATGTCGCGCACTGATCCGACGAATTATAGCAACCGCACGCGTGTGCGTCGTGCCAATGCTTGCACGCGCTTCGCCGAATAACAAAATGAACTACTTATTTAAATATTCCTACGGTGCGTTTTAAGATGCACCGTTGGAAAGGCCTTCTTTCGTTGATTACTTCAAAATGACAGCTTGCCAGAAAGAGTAATTTCACAGGGAGTTTAGTCCCCTTACTATCTTTCAATCAAGTATGTTTTTCAACAATAATTACGCCAGTTACTTTTTGGATGGCTGCAAATGATGGACTATAGCTTTAAATTACTGCATTTTTTTATTTCTTCATTCAGTGATCGTCTGTACACTACAACTGTGTCCCAGTCTGCGTGGCCATCAGACGCTTTCAGGGTAATTGTAGCACACCAATTATTGAGCAAATTTACTCCTTGTTATATAATGAGGCATTCTGGCTACCTGCGATAGAACTGGTCAGAGGTCGAAATGGGGTTTGCGGGTATTAGGAAAGAGAATAAAATTCTCCCGTCAAAACTTGTTGTCGCACTTCAATCAGCCATTCCATTGACAAGTTACGGCTGTTTAAAGCTCACATTTGTCAACAGGTCAAAAAAGTAAAAATGCTGAGATAATGACACTTACAGTTTTGACTTTTGTTGTCATGGGAATGAAATATGCCAATCATTTTCACCGATTTTCTGTAAAATATGCGCAGTAGACATAATCAAAGATTACAAATATCAATAAATCAAAAAAAAAAACATGTTGTAATTATTAGGCTTGATTGTCTTGCGTTTTAGCCACACCTTCTACGTAACATCCACTACTTGAACCCTAAAACCAGCAAAATCCGATCAGAAGAACAGATACGGTATGTATGTAGTCATACTTTAAAGGGAATATACATCATTTGCTTTTGCTGTAATTTTTAGAAATGGATGGATTTGGGGGGTTGGAAATATATAGCAAATATAGTTACACTGACTTTTTTTACGTTTTGGGTTCGTAGATGCTATAAAAACCAAGAAAAGCAATCATTTTCCTGTAGTCTGGTTCCCTGACTCCATTTAAGATGAAACGGAGCAATTTATTGACGTTGGAGAATTGTAAGGTCATGGAACCAGTCTAGATGGCTTGTACCCGTTCACAGGTGTGTAATCGATTGCAAACAAAACCAGACTAACTAAATATGGTCAACTGGGGCCAGTATTTGAAAAAAGCCAGTTTTTTTCCAACGCTGGTTGGCCGACCAGCGTTGGAAATTGATACGAAAATACCACTTTTCTTGAAAATGACAGTATACCAGGTGCCATGATTTTACAGGATGCTTTAGACTGTCATTCACTAACAGTCCAGCAAGGTATTTCAAAATAATTTGGTAGTTTTATTTCTTAATGTTTGCAAATGTTGTATTTTCCCTTTAAAATACAGTCTTTAATTTTAATTCTGAATGGGGAAAAAAAAAAAATAATAATAAAAAGCTGTTGCCTCTCTGAGTGATCCCCCTTTGTTATCTCCCGAGTTTGCAGCATCGCTAATGTTGCTAGCATTGTGACCTTGGGCGTGATCTCTGGCTACATGGAATATAAGGAATTATGGCTTCTGATTAGTACCCTATAACAAAGACATTGACAAATTGGGGAACTGCCAACATAGGGCTGCATAGCTCAGTTCGTAGAGCACCAGAACGGCGATCCAGAAGTCGCATGTTTAAACCCGCTCCAGTTAATTTCTTTGCTCAATGTCGGAGAAAAAAAAATGGAGTAAAGCCCGGTTCATACTTCACTTGAAAGCGAAAGCAAAGTGAAATTTGTGACGTCAACAATACATTTGAAGCGTGTCCACCATTGTTGACGACATAAATTTCGCTTCGCACATGCCTTCACGTGAAGTATGAACCGGGCTTTAGAATGGTTGTAATAGCCATTTTAACAAGTGAATTTAATAGTACCGGTACATTGTAAATGAGTTCAGATTTCGTGTTATATGTGAAGGTAGAAAAAATATATATAATTGTCCTGTATGGAAGTATATGAAGTAAAGGTAAGTGGTTTGATCATTAATATCCGTAACTTTTGCGTATGTTTTATTTATCTTCTTTCAGTAAAAACCTGGTGCGATTGAAGATATTTTTTGAAGAATTGAATTATCAGGAGACGCGAGAGGTGGAGGATTACTCGGTAAGATGACTTACAGGAAAATAATTCCTTTGTTATTTCAAACACACTATGATCACGAGTGAACAATTAATCTGCACACTGAACAGTTTGGGGGAAAAGACATCATTGGATTTGAAACTCAATCTGTTCAATCAAAACAAAAAATCCCCTTTAAACGTCGCGTCTCTGTTTCCAGTCAGACAAAGTGAATTTTCATTCTTTATGGGGTTTCTATAAATTTTGGGTCCACTTTTTTTTCTAGTTCGTGTGACATATTTGATTTTATAATTCTGATATCTTCCTTTATGCTATCGTTCTCCAAGGTGCATGACTATGAAGGGCAAACTACCTTCCAAAAAAATTTAAAATGTGACATCTTAATGATACTTGAATGGCAAACTTACAAAATACCAAGGTAAGGCCAAAAAAAAAAAATATTCGGTCTCTCGTCAGACCAAAGTTCCGAAATTGGTGTCCTCATGTACATTGGTGTCCTCCATAATTTGCCTTGGTGCTCTCGATCATTTGCCTTGGTGCAATTTCCCATTCCTTGGTGCTCTTTGGTAAAAAAAATTGAGGAGGTGCGGCAATAGAGGGCGCTGTTGGAGCTACCGCGGATTATTTTGAAAAAAAAAGATTGACGCGCATGATTAAAATCGACGCGCGTGCTGACCAGAGACCGACTTATTTTTTTTTTGGCCTAACAGGGACAGGAAAAACGTCACATTTTGGACCCTAAATTGATAGAATGACCCATATGTGAAGCAAGAGTTTAACAAGTTTGGAAACACTCTTTAATACTATCATTTTGTATGGTTGTTTTTGCAGGGCACCAGTCTCTTTGGTGACATCGGTGGCACCATTGGGTTGTACATCGGCTTCTCCATCATCACTTTCATTGAGTTCATCGAACTGCTCTTGTACCTCATTCGCACAAGTTGCTGTAAATGGACTAAAGCACGCAACAATTAAAATCTTGGACACAAGCAAAATTGCCTTCGTTCTTTCTCTCCAGTATTCCACTAATTGCACGTATTTCATGTACATGTACTTTAGTTTGACTCTTTTGCAATGAAATAAAACGAAATAAATTTGTCTTCAATACACACACTGTAGTGAAGAGCTTATGGTCAATACCTTTAATTAACAAGTTCACGATGGGATTATTTTGACAAGAATGGAACGAGGCGCGGAGTTACTTTTCACCTGACCTCAAGCCAGGCGGGTTCAATTAAGCCATCTCCCTCGGGCAGCACCCTCATTATCTGGCCTCGCTCGTCGCTGACGGATATTTCCAGCCTCGCTCATTGCATGTTATCTGTCATCCGTTCGGAATACCACAAAACCTTTGTGTATCCTGCAAAACCTTTGCTTGTATATAAGGTCTCCGGCGCGAACTGGTTAAAACCAGTACTTCTACTTGCATGAAGTCTAATTCAATGTTTTACAATTGATGCAATGAAATAAATAATTTGTCAATTTTGTATTCATGTTTTTGGTGATGACAATTGTCAAAATCTTAGTATTATGGCCTCTGCTTACATGAACTTTAATTCAAAATGTTCTGCAATGAAGTGAAAGAAAGTTACTCGCCTGTCCTTTCATTGTTATATGTTGACTGTCCCAGATTATTAACATTAACATTTTATTTTATTTTTTATTTTATCACCAGACAATAATAACAGTAAACGTTTTCAGTACTAAACCCCTGTTTTTAGAGTTGGGGACTTTTAAAGACTATGCTGCTAAGATATTCATTAATCAATTGTTGATTTTTAGTTACATATACAATTGAAAGTATGTAAGAGAAATACTATGAAGAGTTGTTACTTCTTCTTCAGTGTTTTATCAGAAAGTAGGGAAGGGTCGGCTTTACAAAAGAATGAGAGATATTTTGGACTGTGAGACAATGAGCTGCAGTTTCGAAAATCACAGGCCCAGTTGCCAACCCAGGCTGCATAAAGGAATTTTTATTGAAACTTTACCTGACATATTGAACTGCTGGACTATATCAATTTCAACTGAACAAAATACAGTATTTTCCTAATTACTTTCCTAATAAGCTACATTTTGTACAAGATGAAAAAATAGCAAAGTCTGAATTTTTGTAATGTTCCAAGAAATACAAACCATTGTTTTAAATTGTTAGTAGAGAAAGAAATAAAGTAGTAGAAAATAATTCTTTCCGTGAAAAATTTATATATCAAAAAAACCCAAATGCACAGTGTTTCCATTCTTGTAGATATTTTAGTTGGAAATCATGTAGACTGGTCGCAGCTGTTAACTAAAATTATTTTTATGAAATTAGTTTCAACCAAAAAAAAAGTATTCCTGATAAATAAAGTTATATTTTCACCATACATCTTACACAGAGACAGCTTAGTTTGACTTGCAGCCAGAGTAATATATCACCTAGCATGATTAATACCAAGAAAGGAAACATCTAGATATGTATGAAATAATTTTAATATAATGTGAGAGATGTTGATGTTATCAAAACAATCTTATTTTACATGTATTCTTATAGAATTTATGCCAAGTTTATTAAGTTCAGACTGAAACTTTTCTAGCAAAGAGAATAAAGTATATTTTTTTCCAAATAGAAGTAAAGCGTAAGTGTATTTTACTCAGTTTTGTTTGCCCCTAACTTCGAATTCCCACGTCTGAGCTGGTGCCGTTTTCCGTTTGCCGTTTGTGGCTCTTCCCTTTTCTGATCCCTTCATCTTCAAAACTCCCCCGGAAAAAAAGAAAAGAAAATGCGGATTTAGGAGTAGCACTGGACTCCTAGGACAAAACAAATGTTATCCTCATGCTTTCCAGACTAGTTAATGGTAATTTTGTTTCCTTTGAAAACCTAAATGGATTTTTTACGTGTACGTCCCTTTAAAAGGCGGTTTCCTTTAATGTCCGATTGTTCCTTTTTTTTTAATCTAAAATAAACCAACAATTTCAAAAAAACTGAAGAAATTTTTTTCCTCTTAAGTAAACACAAATTATAATTTTTTTGCAAGCACTTTTAATTTAGCTTGGTCGTACAAAAGCACCACTATGATCAATAATGATTAGCTGGAAAAGATTAATTTTTTTAACAATTTTATTTTAGTGACGAAGCCCGAGGCACTATTTCAAGATGGCGACCAGAGAGTAAACTTCTGCAAACTTTCTGCCCTTGGAACAGACGCACAAATGTTGCAAATGTGAACTGAACTTTGAAGTAAATTAGTAAAAAGCTTGCAGATAGATGTCCTCTCCTTTCGTGGGAAAACTTTTGGGACCGAATTCGTAAGGAAAAGTGTAGAAAACTTCTAGCCATTCGGGTGACTGAAAGTGAAACAAGTGTGGAAACGCGGGAAACGACGCACGTACGGGCCGTACACGTGTGTTCAATGGCGGCCTTTATGCCGGAGATACGTGTGGAGTTGCTACACCAACATGCGGTAAGCAGGCGTTTATTCTTCAAGTTCGTGTGGAAATACGGTAAGTCAGTGATTCAGGAATCTTTTGAGGTAAAGTGTACTTTAGGACCCCTCTTTTTTTTAGTTGTAAAAAAGTTCTTACTAGCACTTAAAAGAAAAATGAGTTCTTAGTGCTCCAAAAATGACTTCAAAAACCTGTCGTTTTCATATTTTCAACGGATTTTTTTTTACAGAATGTATCATTTCTCCCCTCTCAACTTGATGCAGTGGGAATCAACAGTTTTGTGCATTCACTTATTTATAACATAAGACATGACCTGTCACACTCTATTTTTAGTTTCGTGTTCTGTTTTTTTCGCCATTTTAATCAAGTTTACCCATGATAATTCCCCTCTTAATCACACTGCCCTCACTCCATGACATTCTTGATGCTTTTCAAGAACACCAGGTTTTTTTGGGTAGCTGATGATCAGACAGTCAAGTGGGCAGAGCCACGATTGTGCGAGGGGTTACTCCATAGACTCGTAAGGTGGGCGAGTCCAATCAATAAGATAAAAGTGGATTTATCTTACAGGAAAGGGGTCCTGAAGTACACTTTTTTGTTTACATATTTTGCACATTATATGTCAAGAAAACAAAGACTCTGTGTTCTGTAAACATAAAGTAGGTTGTGCCATGAACCAAAATTGTTGTTGCTGCCTACCAGACTCCTAGGCAAATGCCAGACTAGATATTTGTACAGCCCTGGCTTTAAACTGAAAGTTAAACACGTGTAATATTTAACAGTTATACTGTGGCTCTCTGTGTGTTTGGCATTGTTTAGAAAGAGGTGAAAGTCAAGTACATATCATACATCATACATTTGCTAATAAGTTTGTTGTAATGATATTGACTGCTTAATAGGCCTGACTTGGTCACTGTAAACATGACTCAGTATAATGCCCTTGGAAGGTTATGCCACTGTGTTGCTTCTAGGCAGTGCTAGGCCAGCACAGCCAAGTTTGCTTGTGAACTAGAGGAAAAATAGGCCTAGGCCTATACATGGAAAATATCAAAGTGAAACTATCACGCGTGAGTGTGTCTTGTATTGCCTAATGAAGTCAAACATTTCTGCTGTAATTGTATAAGTTTGCTGTACAACTTTACCACTTATTTACATGTACATGCCCTAGGCCTACTCATCAACCTGCACTGTAGCTATGACTCATTGAGAGTTAGTCCTGGGTAGGTTATATCTCTGTGACCCTACTCATTAACTCTTGGCAGTCTAGACTTGACTCGCCCTATAGGGCCTACACTGTAACTATAAATGTAAGCCCTAGTGATGTTATACCACTCTGATCTGTGGCTGCTAGGCAAAGCTAGGTCAACTTGCTATATATAGCCCTTTGCTTGTGAACTAGATGGAAAATAGTCCTAGGTCTTTGTCATGTATAATCTCAAAGTGGTTTGTCTTGAATTGATTAGAAGGATGGAGGTGAGAGATGAACATTCCTGCCATTACTGAAGTTGCATTGCTTGCATTCCCTAATGAAGTCAAACATTCCTGCCATTACTGAAGTTCGTTGTGATCGTCCATGCTTATTACGTATGCCCTAAATGATATTCGTGTTAGTTTTTATTTGCTCCATTAGGCGCGGGAGGTGTGTGGCTAGCCCACACAAACATGTAGTTACACACGACAATATAAGCCTGCATTGTGATACGATATAGTTTCGGATTATTCTTTTTCAGGTCTGCAAATCGTAGCACTGGCCCTATCTAGCTACTCCCCTCGTCTTGTGACATTTGTTTCCAAATTGGATGTTGTGATCACGTGATGCCAACTTTCAGCGAATGGTTCTCTTCTGCAATGCATGTGTATCTCTTGAAATATGAGTGGTTTAAGAAATGCTGACATACTGTTTAATGTGGGTCGAATAACATGCAAAAGATGCTTAAATGTTTCGGTTGCCAGTCAGTTGCCCGTCGGTGCCCGTTGGTATGACGTCACAGGGCACATGGTATATATTTTGAATTGTTTGCATTCATACACTCGTTGCTTATTTCATCAAATAAATTGAAATTCATATTTCAAGTATTGTAACTCAACATATTGTGTGTAAATGCATTGATGGATTTACACAGGCCTAGAATTCATAATCATTCAAATCAAAATTTGAATTCCATGATTCGGGAAGAGTCATTACTCAATAGGGTTTTATATTTCACGTTCATTGTCTTAAATTCGTTGAAACATTTGGATGACAAGCAGGTTATAAAAAAAAAATAGGTTTCGAATCGTAAATCGCGCATCTTTGTGTCAGATTCATCATTGGACTAATAACAGCGTCAACAACAATTTCACAAGAAAAACAATTGATCAGCCTTGCTGAAATCAATTTCTTGCCGGTATAGGCTTAAGGTTTGTGTTCCTAGAAAAAGCATTTTATCATTAATTACTTGAAAGTGTGATTTTAAGCTCACGCGGAATTTAATTTTTTGTTTTTAACGGTTAGGCCTACACCGCTCCAGACTGTTTTGTAAATGCCCGTACAGTTGAACAGTAATTTATTCTGAAGTAGTGCACGCCAGTTATTACAAAGATATAAACGGTGATTAAGAGATGAAAAGAAACTAACTTGAACAAGCCTTGGCCCGGGAAAATTAAATGTCAAATTAATCGTGGGACTATTACCGTCGCGCAAAAAACACCTTCACGAAAAATAAAACAGTGAAATTGAAACAGCCTTGCACATCATGTTCCTGCCGATGGGCTTAAGGTCAGTGTGTCCCCAGGGAATAAAATGGGTAATTACTGGGAATCGGGAATCGGAGCTCACGCTGAAATAATAATCTAGCGTTTTTAATAGCTATGTTTAATTATATCCCTTCTGTTTTGTAAATGCCCGTATATTTGTATAGTAATCTATTCTGAAGTAGTACATGCCAGTTGTGCAGCCTTGATGCAAAGAAATGAACGGCGATTTGGGAACAAACAGAAATTCCCTTGAACATGCTTAGGCCGGGAAAAAAATGTTTTTGTTGTCTTTGGTGAAATTCGGGTATAGCGGCCTTGACACAAATTTGAGTGTTGGTTTATCTTGAAATGCACCGTACAATGTTGAGCTCGAAAAAGAAGCCAAACATTTTGAACCGGAAAAAGAGCGGCTCGACGTCCAAGCTGAATGTCAGAAATGGTACAAAACAATTTGCTAAAAGGTATTAAGCAGTAAGCACACCATTAAAAAAAAATCAGCTGGGTACATAAGATTGTCTGGAGATACCGTGAAAGTCAGTAGTTGACATCTTCAACTGTATCCAGCAGCTGCTAAAGAGTTACTTAACCATGCTAAGGTTAAGCTTGCACTTTTCGCAATATCGAGCCAGTTATATGAAACTGTCAGTAGATATTACATCATTTTCCCCACAACAATATTATTTTTATTTTAATACAATCCCATAGGCCCCTAGTACCAGATAGTTCATTGGAGCATGGAAACCTGCGCCATCAGGAAGCATTATCTATATGCATTACTTCCGGTGTATGAATTGTCATTCGTCAAAGCTCACACAAACAAATCAAAGGTTAAGGTCGCGTGGAAGTGCAAAAACAATTTCTCGAACCATCTCTTGGAATGATTGCCAGTTGTTTAATGCAAGAACGGTCGATGAATACTTCACGGTGGATCAACAGTGGCCTTCACCGGGTTTTCGCTGGTTTTCACTTTGAGCGAAGATCGGTTCAATGTGACAAGTGTTTGTGCTTCTGTGATCAATGATTTTTCGGATGTCATACCATCAAAAGATCTCATCAAGATTTTTGTATTAAGTGTTATGGCGATGTTGACTTATGCTGACCTTCAAGCGCCGTGAGTGTACCAAGTGATGAGTGTACCAAATGGCCTGAGTTACTTCACTGAAGCATAAACTCACGTTCGGTGTCTTTTTTCTCGAAAACTATAGGATTCGGCCTAATTTTAAACATGTTGACCCGATTCTTAGATATTTATTTCAACAACATCTTACATGACGAAACGAAATATAAATTTTAAGATATTATATAATTAATACAACAGATGTAATAGCGCCCCTTGAACAAAGACATGGACAAAATCGGGAATCGCGGACAAAGGGCTGGATAGCTCAGTTGGTAGCGCACCGGAACGGCATTCCAGAGGTCGCAGGTTCAAACCCCGCTCCAGTCATTTTTAATTTTTGAAACACATACAATGCACCTATGGTCAGTTTCCGTTTGTGGTTGATTTGAATATTTATAACAGATATTTATGAACAAGCTAGTAAGTAGCTTATTCATTTCACCTAATTTAAAAGTTAAAATGCACTTTATATATTAAAACACCTTAGGGGCAATTCCGTAAATTCGGACGCACATGTCAGACAGTTTGATGAGCTTCTGTTGGTAGTGTGAATGTGATATATTACTAATATGTGAAATCTAATAAAGAGAACAAAATTACAGGCCAAACAAAATGTGTACTGTCACCTTTACGACCTTGTAAAATCATCACGGAATTGCCACTTATGTACAAATTGTTTACATCAAATGAGGTTGGTAAAGACAAACTAAGCTTGATACGTAACGCTTTTTTATTTACAGTATACTTCTTTTTGAATACATTTTAATCTAAAGTTTTAAATGTTTGCATTATCCTTTTCACAATTGTTCGGAATTGTCAGTGTTTCTGGTAAGTTCACAGGTATCTACCTCATGGTTTTCGGCATAAAGTTGCACATTTGAGATGGAGCTTGTAAGTTTTACAGTTGAAACACTCGCAGGGAGGTCGCTGCGTCTAGTTTCCTGTGTCGATTGCGTCTGTGGTGTCGATTGCGTCTTCTTCCTACAGAACAATACCCGGGCAAAGGCCTTCCTGAAATCCGGGTGTTTCGTCCCATAGATGATTGGATTGATACAACTGTTGGCCATAAGGATAGCTGATGCAATCGGTAGGATCCTGGCGACGAGTGCCGACGGTAAACCGAGAAGAGCAAAGTAGGGAAATATGCAGAGCAAGAAGACGCACACGACGATGAACAGGTTCTTGGTCACCGCTACTTGTCGCTTGAGGAGCTGTTTCTGGAGGATCTGGTTTGACGCGCTGGCATCCCCGGCTCTATCTTGTCTGAGGGTTGATCGGGTTGTCTTTCTGACAAATAGGTAGATTTTGAGATAGCTTACGAAGAGCATGACGAATTGTACCGGGAAGTACACGAATGCCACAAGCGTTGAATATCTAGGCTGATAGGCCCTGTTGGAGCGCCAGGTACATGTGTTGTGGAGCGAGTTGTAGCCAAGTTCTCCGTAGTCAGAAACAAGTGGGATCGTGGCTACTGCGATAGGAATGCCCCACGTCAGGACGATCATGAAGGAGATCTTAAAGGGGGTGTAGAGCTTGCGAAAGCCGCTGTGTGCCGTGGTTGTGATACCCACGAGACGATTCAAGGCGATAGCCACTAAGGTGTTGACGCTGCACCCGATGCAGATGAGTATACCAAATGCCATGACTTGGCATAACCAATACGGCAAGAGGAGTTCATCACTGAGGAACGCCACGCTCTGCAGAAAAGCATCGACGCACGTCAGGAAATCTGCCACAGCGAGATTCACTACGAACGCATTGGTGGTGGTCTGCAGCGTCTTCACCGCGAGAACGGCGGCAACCACCGCCGTGTTCCCGAGGATGCCGACAGCAGAAGTGAGAAAGAGGAAGCCTGATATGACTTGACGTTCAGCGGAGGATCGGAGAACAATCGGAGCGTCTGTGGAATTCAGAAAATTGTCAACCATCTCTGATGAGTTAACGAAACTGTCGTTCAATAAGTAATCCATGATTCACTTCAGCAGATCGCAAGACAGTGTCGGGATGGCAACAATACAGTTCCAGGCGACTTTGAGTGAGAGTACAGTAATGCGGATTAGTTACTCAGTGACTTGTTCAACTCACGTGTCGGAATGGCAGCTACATGCATTCCACCTGAACACGTCGGGATGTCCTTTGTTATTGTGATATTGAGCGGCACGAAATGTTTACTCATGCAAATCCAGGCGATACAAAACCATTGCGGAGCATCTCCACATGCCGCATAAAATGTCTATAACACAAGGCTTAGACTGTTGAAAATTGTGTCGCTGCAGACTATAGGGGTCGATCTCATCTACCCCTTGTTCATTCGGTAGTGAGCTGATTTCTCCATCAGCGCCGCTTATAAACCTTCAGATCTCTCAAATTTTAAATGGCTTTTAGCTAAAAAGGTAATTGATACCTGCAAATTAATACCCTGTTTCCATTTCAAGGTTATTGTGTCTGTCATTAACATCGAGGGTAATTATCGATTGTATGCTTCAAAAACAATTAATAAGGAAAAAGTTTGGCATGCGTGTCAACGGATATTATAATGGCCATGCTTGCCTCATTACCTCTAAAATCAGAATTAAGCAGAGGAACAAAAGATTTACCTGGAAATTTGATAGAAGTCACGTTTTACTCGCTGTAAAAGGGTGACTTCCTGGCCTCGTTTATCACTTAATTTCCGCCAAAAGGAGAACTGAATGACTGATGATGCGATGGCAATCAGACGCACGCGTAATAATACAGGCTGCCATTATTTCGGAGGACAACTTAGTTGATAGAAAGCATGGTCTTTTTCCGTGAATCAATTACCGAGACTGGAAAATGATGCTTTTGCTTTCAAAACGTTTCCTGCACTAATTGACGGATTGTGAGGGCTTAAATTGAAAGGTCTATTCGTGGTTTGAACCAACTACCGGGTGAGTCAAAAACGCGAAACCCAAATGGCAAGACCAATTTTTGAATGAAGTTTTGCCTGTAGCACTTTCAGAATGTATAGGATATGAAAGCCCAATCAATAAGCTTTTTTTGGTACAAGAATCATTCGAATTACTTGTGTACTTTTTAAGTTACGGAATTTTAAACACAAACACCGTTTTAGAGTTCTGTCCACGAATCACAAAAAAGAGGAAATTTTTCTTTTAGCAAAACGAAAACAATTAACATGCATCCCAATGAGAATTGTTTTCGGCTTGCTGAAAGAACACTTACTTTTTTGTGATCCGTGGACAGAACGCGGTGTTTGTGTTCAAAATTTCGCAACTTGAAAAGTACATGAGTGATTTGAAAGATGCTTGTACTAAAAGAAAGCTCAGGCCTAATGACTGGGATTTCATATCCTAGATTCTGAAAGTGCTACAGGCAAAACTTCCTTCAAAAATTGGTCCTGCCAATTTGGGTTTCGTTATTTTACTCACTCTGTAAAACTGTGTTCAGAGTTTAACACGTTTCTAAAAGCATAATGAACCCGCATGTTTGAATCTACGACATAATAATGTTCATGGATGTCTGTGACATGTTAAGGTACACGACGAAAGCCTGTATACTACCATCATAAGTATAATAGTAAAAGTAAAATGGCTCCACGACACCTTTATCACTTTTTTTATCACCTGTCTCAGACTAATGGTCTGTGGGTAAAGCTGCAGGTTGTGGGTTCGAGTCCTGGCGGGGTCATGGTGCGTGTGCCCTTGAGCAAGGCACTTTGTCACTCATTGCTTCTCTCCACCCAGGGGTAAATGGGTACCTGTGAGGGCAGAGATGGTTATGTGATTGATTTAGCTTGCTTGCACCTAACAGGCAGCATCGAGCTGTATACTCCACAGGGAGCTGAGATGGTATTTGGAATGTTAGATTGGCCCGATGATCAGGGATAATAATAATACTGTAAGCGCTGTGATTTAGTGTACTAAAAAGAGCGTTCTTAAATGCCTATTATTATTATTATTATTAATGAACTTTAAAATATAGAATTGACTTTTTACATTAAAGTTAACCAAGATGGCATTAACAGGAATTCATAATGTTGCAAAAAAATGTAAACATGTCTCACACTAAACATGTGAAAAAGAGGGTACAAAAAGATGCTTAAACTCTAAGCACCATTTTTACAGTGCGTGTATGACTAATCTTGCACGCTGGCGTCAAGATACAAACCGTTCAAAATGGTTTTATTGTGTTTTTTTTTATATTTAATGCAGGTGAATAAAATGGTTTCATTGTAATGGTTTAAATTTGAATGATTCTCACTCCTGAAAAAAATTTTGATTATTGTTCCTCCCACAGCATTTGTTGTGGGAAAATAATGTTCGAAATGTTTTAAAAAAAGATCATCATTTTAGGTTCAAAACCTGTAAACATAGGCTAACATTTTACCAAACTGATAGTAAGTGTGTTCCATAGAAAAAACAAATAAGCTTGGAATAAAAATTATGTAAGGGATAGATCATAATAGAGTTTGGATATTTCTTCTGAAATGAACGTGCTGAGAGAGGTTCCACTCATAATAAATCATGAAACGAAAAGTCGGTATTACTCGGTATTTTCGCCCGAAAAAAAGTAACAATTATTTTGTGGACTCACTCATCAGATTGATAGCAATTACACGGAAAATGGCTGTTGACAATGGTTGAGTTGTTAGTTTCACTGATTATTTGAATCCAGGAAAGTTTCAGTCCTTGGGCATTCGGAGAGAATTGTCTTCGTGTGAGCATGTCAATGGTTCTTCTTTTCACACAAGATTTTAAGTGAACGTCTCTTAGTGAAACCGATGTTTTGTTCCGTAGATGATGAGCTGTGTGGAATGTTTTACCTCAGGCAAAAGATGTTAGGTGCTTACATTGTATTAGAGCCTAAGTGGATGCCATCCTTCTCGCCACGATCTTTGTCATTCTGGTTTGCACGTCCCTGGGTCTGGGGTTTCTTACACCTGCAACAGAGGACTTGCCCAAACACCATCCTAAAATCCGGATGCTTTACAGCGTAGATGGTCGGATTGACGCAGGCGTTTGCCATCAGGATTGTTCCAGCGATCCCAAGGTACTCTTTTGCGAAACCAGGTATCCCAGAAATGACGAAGTAGGGCAAGATACAAAGAAGAAACGCGCACACCACTAGGAATAGGTTTTTAGTCACCGCCACCTGACGCTTCCAAAGTCGCCTTTGCAGGTCCTGGTTTTCGTTGTTGGTGTTTTCAGAGCTGCGCAAAGTTGATCGAGTTATCCTTCTCACGTACACGAACATTCTGAAGTAGCTTGTCACAAGGACAGTAAATTGAAAAGGGAAAAACAAAATGGCCATCAGCATCGTATAAAACAGGCCATACGATCTGTTAGAGCGCCAGACGCAGGTGTTATACATTGGGTTGTAACCGTACTCTGCGTAGTCGGACAAGAACGGGAGAGTGGCCACTGCAGTAGGCACGCACCACGTCAAGGCGACCGTCAGAGACAGATTCAGTGGCGTAAACAGCTTGCGGTACCTGCTGTGCGCTGGGGTCGTGATACCAATCAGGCGGTTAACCGCGATACAAGCCAGGGTATTGACGTTGCAGCCTAAGCACGTTAGCTTACCGAAGGCAACTGTCCGACACAGCCAGATCGGGAAGACGAGCTCGTCATTCAAGAGGGCAACAACTTGCCAGGGAAGCAAGGCACACGTCAGGACATCAGATACGGCAAGATTCAGGACGAAGACGTTGGTGGATGTTTGCAGTTTCTTGACCGACAGAACCGCTAGTATGACTGCCGTGTTTCCAAGGAACCGAACACACAAACGAAGGAAATAATGCCGGAGATGACCTGACGCTCAACAAATGAGCGATAAACGCTTAGAGATTGGCTTTCATTGTGTGTGTCCAAGTCCAGTGTTGCGTCATAACTGTCATTTACATAGATATCCATGATTCAAATATTATCAAGAGAAACTGCAATTAGTAGAATCTGTTCTGACGGCCTTCGGATAATCTTGATCTTGATCTAGTACGTGTCGAAAGATCCAGTAGGAGCTATGAAGAGCCACGGAAGAGGTCTGAGTGGTCACTAGTCCGTCACTGTGTTTTATGTAATCTGTGACTGCCCTTAAAGGCCTTGTTTAATGGTGTCATGCGTTCGTTGCAAATTCGGTGTATTTATTTGTGTGTGTGTGTTAGGTACCCGCATCTCTAAGATTTTAAGGCAATGAACTCCAGTAAATCCCTTTATGCACTACTTCAGCGAACAAAATTAGAAGCCATTAGTAGGTGGAACCACTTTCAAGCGCATGCGTCACGCGTTCTTAAAGATAAGGCGCGCGTGCACTTTTGTAAAACCCTATTGGTCGAAGGAGCCCGAAGTGCGTGCGTACCACCAGAGCGCGTACGGGGTTCCATCTTGAAAATGGCTTCCAATTTTGTTAACGAAACGAGTCTGTATCCACGTGCAAAAAATTGACTGTGTAGGCCATGTCACATATATCATCTTGCTTGTCACTTGCTACGGAGTGTCTCGTGTTATTTCCTCGATGTTATTGCATACATTTACATCCCCTTTTGAACCAACCCAACTGCAGTGTACCTCATCTTTTTGTGCAAAAAGTGGTGCAATGTGACCACAAAACACAGTGTTACATGGGTTATCTGGCAGTGTTGTGTGAAAAGTATTTATATTGCATATGTGTCCCTTAAAAAAACCCAATTAAATCGTATAATCGGCAATCATAAAAGAATTCATACAGAGTTAGTTTCGTTGTAGTGAAGTACGTACCAGTAAAACTGCTGCAATTGGCGCATATGGAAACGAGAAAGCAAGAAAGTTGTTTTATACTGCTAACAGTAGCTTCTACAAACACAGTAAAAATTTATTCCCTGAGAAATATCTTCTTTTATTTCCTGTGTTTTACTCTATCTATGCAAATTATTCATGCATGTAAAATTTTCCCATAAAATTTTATTACATATATAGAAGTAAACTGTTCATTTGAACTATTTGATCAACAAAGCATGGCGTAAACTGGCTTATAAAAAGGTTGTTGGTGGCGCCACCATTGCCGATATAGTTAAAACAAATCTTTATATCGCACGTATGCACCAACGCACACATTGTGTCCTGGTTTTATTACCTCCTTGACGCATTTACTGCCATATTTCCAGTACAGCCATTCTATCCGCTGACCGATCGTGCTCTAAAATCAAGTCCGGTTTGCTTAATTACTCTGACATTTTTCGGTCACAAAATTTCCTCTTTCACAAGTTCCTCATTGGAACCTAGTCAAAGAACAACTTGGGTGCTCCTTTAAAGTGGGTTCAACTAGCGACTCTGGAAATCCTAGCCAAGCACCAGACCCTCGGATAAGAACCACATGTTTGTGTAATAAAATCCTCATAGTAAAAATAGCTTTCCCCGTCCGCGAATTATTCTATCCCAAACAACGTCGTATAGATGGTTGTGTAGCGCCCTCTACGATACTTTTATTTTACGTACGCAGGTATATAATGCCATGAATTACGATTTGATGTCGAGCTCTTTGATGGCTCAGCTAGAAAATGTTTGCAGTGTATACAACATTTTAATTACAATAGCCTGAACTTAAAAGGGCTTTTCTTTTATAAGTGCCTGGCTAGAAAAATGGACTTCACACTCAACTTTTCCAACATTGATAAGTTGTGGGATATCAAGTCAGTGATGCAATCAGTCAACGATTTTTTAAATTCGACATGACTCATATGAATTATTAGTTTATACTGTTTGCTGTTGTTCGTGCGTGCAAAGACGTGTCAGAGGTTCGTTCCTCATCCTTCTTCAACGCAAGATGTGAGCAAACGCGATCATGAGATCCGGATGTTTAGTTATGTAGATGATTGACATGACTGTATACTCTTGCTCATTAGATTCAAATTTTGCGAACACAAAATAACTGATAGTTATTGTTTCATAAAAAAAATACATAAACTTGAGATAAAAATGATATTAGCGACGATTCATGAAATTTGGAAAAATCTTTCTTTTAATAAATGTAAATGCCAGGGGAAAAGAGCTCCACTCATAAATGGAAATCCTTGTGCAAAAAAGACGGTACTTTAAATGAGATGTCAGGGAATTATTGAGTCATTGTTATTTATATATGTATGTAATTATTATTATTTATTTATTCCATTTCTTTACCCATGGTATGCCCAAACAGTTAAAAAAATGGTTTCCATTGGGGTTCTGCATATATAACAAATTATTTAATAATGTTTAGTAAAGTTAAGCTCGTAAGGAAAATTACATTGGTGAAACCATACGACGAGCATTACTATTTACAAATACAAGTATCTCAGAAATATTAAACAAAAGGTATATGCATTGTACATATTTTAAACATTTAACTATAAGGCATAAGTTGCTGATCACGGGATGGGCGAAAACCCCTTTGGAAAAAAAACTACTTTTCTGCTACCTGAAAAACAAGTATATAACTCCGTAGATCAGAGCATTTTGAACTACATATCACTCACTTATGGCTTTGCGTAGTTCGGATTTGAAGAAATTCTATAATTCTGAGTTGGTCATGCAAATTATTTCATGTATTCGCACCACGCACAGCAAAACTTTGGCATAACATTCCTTTTTCGGCTAAAGGAACAATAAATACCTTGTTAGTTGATTGTCTTGTTTCACTAATCTGTGTAAAGGGTATGGACAGATTCGTCATGTACAAAGGAGTCATTTTGTTTAGACATTTAAAATCACAAAGAGCCTATTTTTACCTAGCTGTTTGAGAAAATGGGACCCAGATTAGTCTAGCAAACATATCCGCTGAAGGGTTGAGGGAGGTACATTTAAAGATCATCCGTGCTGCTCTTTTCAGACATTTATTGAGAACTCTTTTCGTGAGATATGCACCTTCCTCTCCATGCAGTACAACAGTATTCTAAAGTAGAACTAAGCTTACTAAAACTATGTGCATGCTGCTTTGTGTAACATAGTCACGAATTGTGTTTACCATACCCAGTTTAGACGAAACTGTTTTCTTTAGCCCGAAAATAAATAGTTGGACCCACTCGTTAGGTAGGATGGCGGGTGTACAGTGAAAAAATGGCGGTTGTAATGTTAGTTTTACTGATTAATTGTCTCCAGAAAAAAGTTTTAATATTTGAACAAGACTTAAAGTATTTGGAGAGGATTTGAACCGTCTCAGTTTCTTCCTTTCACAGTAGATATTGAGAGAAGCTCCCGGTAAAATTCGAGTGTGTCAAATACCGTTTACACTGCAGTGTAGCGGATGTCTTTCTTCTCACGATCTTTGTCATTGTGGTTTGCACGTCCCTGAGTCTGGGGTCTCTTACATTTGTAGCAGAGGACGCGGCCAAACACCAGCCTGAAATCTGGATGCCTCGTGGCATAGATAATCGGATTGACGCAGGAGTTTGCCATCAGGATTGTTTTGGCATACCCGAGGTATTCTTTTGCGAAACCAGGGATCCCAAGAACGACAAAGTAGGGCAAGATGCAAAAAAGAAACGCGCAAACTACTAGGAACAGGTTTTTAGTCACCGCCAACTGACGCGTCCAAAGTCGCCTTTGCAGGTCCTGGTCGACATCGTTGGTGCTTCCTGAGTTGCGCAAAGTTGTTCGAGTAATCTTTCTTACGTATAGGAAAATTTTGAAGTAACTTATGAGAAGGACAGTAAATTGGAAAGGGAAGAACATAATGGCCAACACCATCGCGTAAGCCAGACCATACGATCTGTTAGAGTGCCAGACGCAAGTGTTGTACAGTGGGTTGTAGCCGTACTCTGCGTAGTCGGACAAGAACGGGAAAGTGGCCACTGCAGCGGGCACGCACCACGTCAAGGCGACCATCAGAGACAGATTCAGTGGCGTAAACAGCTTGCGGTACCTGCTGTGCGCTGGGGTCGTGATACCAATCAGGCTGTTGGCAGCAATACAAGCCAGGGTGTTGACGTTGCAGCCTGAGCATGTTAGCTGAACAAAGGCTACTGTCCGACACAGCCAGATCGGGAAGACGAGCTCGTCATTCAAGAGGGCAACAACTTGCCAGGGAAGCAAGGCACACGTCAGGACATCAGCTACGGCAAGATTCAGGACGAAGACGTTGGTGGATGTTTGCAGTTTCTTGACCAACAGAACAGCCAGTATGACTGCCGTGTTTCCAAGGATACCGAACACACTGATGAAGGAAATTACGCTGGAGAGAACCTGCCGCTCAACGAATGAGCGATAAACGCTGAAAGATTGACTTTCATTGTACCCATTCATATCCAATGTACCGTTGAACCTGCCATTTCCATAGGCATCCATAGTTGCAGCCGAAGCGTAACATCTATTGTCGGATGTCATGCGTTTCTGGCAAAATCAATGTATTTATACATTACTGGTTCTTGTCAGGTACCCGCATCTTTTAAAGCGTCTTACCTACGTACATTCCTGTAAAACCTTGAACTTCAGCCCACCATTTATTTTCAGGTGTAAAAATTGGCTGTCTAGACCAAGTCACCTATATGACGTTGTGCCTGTAGCACGCTACTGGATGCCTTTCTTGTTTTTTTTTTATCATTGTATGGCAAACAGCAGCCTTTACAACCTCCTCATGTTTCGAGGCATCTGCAGTGTGCAGTGGCTCTCATTTGTTAGGAGGAGGGAAGATTTGATTTGATGTGATCACAAAGCCTAGTTTCGTCAATAAGTGTGGCTAGGTATATATGACCATGTCTGGAAAAACAAAGCCAAACACTGCCCGCAACGATAGGAACATCGGCTGCTCTTGAAAAGTAAACTGAAATCACATAATCGGCATTGATTTGTTTTGTGGACATCAAGGAAGTACAGTAAACTTCTTTTTTTTTTATTGATTTGTTTTATCTGCAGTAGCTTTAGCAGTGACGGTTATTTGCAGTAACAGAAGCTTTCCAAAACGCAGTTAATATTTAATACATGAGCAGTGCCTTATTGTTGTCTTGACACACTCACAGCTCTGCTTCCGATGATTGGACACTCCCTTTTTTCCAGTGAAATGAAGGGGAGTCTGAAAGATCTAGAATTTGAGGACGCTCCTACTGAAATGGTGCAACTGACTTTTTTCAAACGTGGGCTGCTTTTTTTTTTTGATGTCGCAATTCAAACGAATATGCAGAAAAACGGGGTCTTTTTTTATGAAAATCCATTTCGAGTGGTGCCACGACCGGGAAGTATGTATAAGTTTATAGCTTTAATATTGACTACAGAGCAGACATTATAAACAATAAATAAGTATATAACGCAATAATATATACGAGTTATTCAACATTAATAACCTTATGTTTTCACACTGTTTGCTGTGGTAATGCACAAATAGTACACTTCTGTCTAGAAATAACCCTCACCGTCTGAGAATTTCTTCTGTGACACAAGACGTGAGCAAACGCCGTCCTGAAATCCGGGTGTTTAGTTCCGTAGATGATCGGATTGACTGCACTGTTGCTCATGAGGCACACGGATGCGTAGGACAGGAGGCTTTTGGCGACATTGCTTGGTAGTGCAAGTGTTGCGAAGTACGGGCACATGCAGAGGAAGAACACGCACACCACTGTGAACAAATTCTTGGTAACAGTCACCTGACGTTTCCAAAGTTGTCTTTGAAGTGTTTGCTGTCCTGCGCCTTCGCTGCCTCTATAGTTGTCCAGTCTCAGCATGAGCTTTGCGTATGTAAAAATGTCTGTCTTGTTGGACGACCAAGTGCAGGATTTATAGATGGGGTTGAATCCATATTTGGAGTAATTGGTGAAGAGTGGAATAGTGGCTACGGCAAACGGCAAGCCCCATGATATGACAATCATCAGAAAGAGCTTGAAAGGGGTGTAAAGTTTGTGGTACATAGCCGTAGTCGTGATACCAACTAGTCGGTTGACGGCAATTAAGGCTAGGGTGTTAATACTGCAGCCAATGCAAGATATAATACAAAACGCAAGAAGTTTGCACAACCAAGACGGTATGACTAGCTCGTCGTTCAAGATGGTCACCGCTTGCAGAGGAGCCACGGTGCAGGTCAGTACATCGGCAACTGCGAGATTCAGAACAAACACATTGGTTTTAGTCTGCAGTTTCTTGACAGTCAGAATGGCAAAAATGACCGCCAAGTTTCCCAGGAGACCGACGAAAGAAGCGACAAATCCGACTCCAGACAAGATTTGGCGTTCAGCGTACGTCCCGTAGATAGATTCGGTGGTATTAACATGGTTAGGACATTCCAATATAATACAAGTTTCATTTGTGTTGGATGAGAATTCCATCTTGAAGTTAAACACAGGATGCTTGACCACTAGCTAATGAGCTTGTATCATATAGATCTTGAATTGTCCTTGTTTCAGAATCGTTGCTACAATCTATCTTCGTCTCCACGTCAATGACTCCATAAAATCAGAGACCTGTTGTATGTTTAAAGTCAGATATCGAGAGAGAATACAGGAAAATCTGTTCCCCCACAACGATTTTTCAAATCCACTCTCTTTTCCTTCTGCAGTGAGTCCTTGACGGTGCCCGTTATATATAGTGTCTGAACTTCTATACCTAATATATGGCCTACAATGCCTTTTTAGCGGCAATAGAATTAACACCCGATTAGCAATTACCGGAACTGCTACCCGATTGAAGCAACTTAGTCTGCATTCGCCGAAACGCGGATACACAGACTCACGGCTTCATCCGTCACTTCCCATCTCCGAGACACGTTATCAAATGGCTGAAATGGCGCCGGAACGCACATATATCAATTATACCGTTATTGTAGTGGACGTTTAGAGAGGTAATAAGGGATAGAATGCATGGTGTTTGCGGTGATGATGTCATTACCAAACCAGACTAATGGGTCTCTGCTTTCCAAATGATTTCTGGTGGGGCGAGTTCCTCAGGAGGTCTACCTAGAAATGTGCAATGTCTATCAGAGGTTCAACCAGGTATAACAAGCCTTCACACAACAATTTTTACAATAAGAAGGTGTTTTGTTTTGGATACGTCAGTTTTTATTGATATATCCTGATATTAAATCAGAGATGTGTTGTCTGTTTAAAGTTGAACGATATCAAGAAAATGCAGGAAAATCTGTTCCCCAACGATGATTCAAATCAACTCTCTTCCTTCTGCAGTGAGTACTTGACATGTAGTGCCCTTTATATACAGCGTCTGAACTTCTATGCCTAATATACATTGCCTTTTTTGAGCGGCAAATGGAATTAACACCTGATTAGAAGTTACCGGAACTGCTAACCGATAGAAGCAACTTTCGTCTGTATTCGCTGAAAAGGTAGTATACGGTGTACATAATCGCGGTTTCATCCGTCACTTGCCATCCCAAAGACAAGTTATCAAATGTCTGAAATGCGCAAATAGGCACATATATCAATTACCGTTATTGCAATGGACTTTTAGAGGGGCAATTATGGATAGAATGCATGGTGTTTGTCGTGATGAAGCCATTACCGAACCCGGATAATGGGTCGCTGCTTTCAACATTTTTTTTTTTATCTCCGCCAAGGAGGTTATGTTTTCATCGGCGTTTGTTGTTGGTTGGTTGGTTGGCTGGTTGGGTTGGTTGATTGATTGGCTTTTCTGTTAACATAATAACTCGAAAAGTTATGGGCGGATTTGCATGAAAACATTTTTAGGGGTGGTCCGTGGTACAAGTACAAATCGATTAGATTTTGAAGGTGATGCGGATCTGAGTCTGGATCCAAGATTTTTTTTAAGGATTCTTCACCATTGATGCGAGTATTTCTTTGTTTAGCCTTGGCGAAAGTTTGCGCTCTATGAGTGCCTTCTAAGTTTCCTGTGTGGCGAGTTCTATATCTATATCAGTTCTATATATGGCGAATATCTATATCAGAGGTTCAACCAAGTATAACAAACCTTCACACAACAATTTATACAATAAGAAGTGTGTTTTGTTTTGGATACGTCAGTTTTTCTTTGTGATATTTTATAGTCGTTTGATTTGGATCGATGTGTTTCACGAAGACAGTGTATTAAGTTTCTCCCGCTAAATTCAGTACCATTTTGCTCAGTGGCCCATTATAAAACCGAAACAAATATATACAGTTATGAAGGTTTGAGTGTGAATATTAGTTTTACATTCAAGCTTGATTATAAGATCATCTTGGTGCAGCTGGAAATAGTAAAAACTAGTATATTCGTAGTCAGGATAATTACCTTGACATCTGCTGTGAATGGCAGTTTAGCATGAGGCGGAAATGATTGTTTTCCTTAGCGAGTAGGCTACCAGTCTTTTCTCTAAGTTAGTTCTCCAAACAAGGGAAACCAGTTTGTCTTCAGTAAACATAATATGTTAAGTTTTTTCCGTCCTGTATCTCAATTAAAGATCAGATAAGAGGGCCATTGCTGGAAATTTGAAAAGTCTTTCTTTGAAAAAAGGCCTTGCTGAAAAAGACGGCTATACTGCATAAATTCCCGTTTGGCTATGACATAATATAAGATGATTAATCTTCAGTTAACAAATGATTCAAATTGGAAAAGAACACTATATTATAATATAAAAAACGGAAGAGGCACTGACGTTCCAATCTTCACAAGACCTTCTTCGGAGGCCTCTGAAGGAGATCTTGTTAAGATCGAAACTTGGGGCCCTCTTTTTATTTCTACATTTCATGTCAATTCAGTCAGTAAAGTAGTTTGTAGCAGTTTAATTCATGTTCCGATATTAAAAAAAATGTTAAACATTAATTACACGAGCTGTCGGAATATGCTTGTGGAGACCAGAAAATAACCTATTCATAATCAGTTGCTGTTTTTCGTTCTGTATCTCAATTAAAAATCAGATATAAGCCTAAACAGCATTGCTGAAAAAAAATCCATTTAGTTTAAAGATTCCACGCCCGAACGCACAGCATTGCATAGCTTAGATATTAGCTAAATGTACACAATTATTATGTTAGACATTAGTCTTTTTTTTAAAGTCTTTCTTGTATTTAAAAGCCCTTGCTGAAAAAAGATGCATCTATACTGAACGTTTTCTCTATTTAACGCTATTGTGACCTACTGATATTTATCAGCAGTTGACTCGAATTTGGGCTTAATCTCATAAAACAATATCAAGGGTAAATTTGGTAAAGGGTTACACGAGCTGTATGCTTGCAGATATAGTTCTTATATTGGTACTATTCTGCCCCAAGAGAGCCGTCTGAGGTGTATACTTCATCCTTCTACAACGCAACATGTGAGCAAACGCCGTTCTGAAATCCGGGTGTTTAGTTCCGTAGATGATCGGATTGACTGCACTGTTGCTCATGAGGATCAAGGATGCGTAGGACAGGAGGTTTTTGGCGACATTGCTTGGTAGTCCGAGTGTTGCGAAGAAGGGGCACAAGCAGAGGACGAACACGCATACCACTGTGAACAAGTTCTTTGTAACAGTCACCTGACGTTTCCAAAGTTGTCTTTGAAGTGTTTGCTGTCCTGCACCTTCGCTCTCTCCATCGTTGTCCAGTCTCAGCATGGATTGAGTTGTCCTTGTCACATACAAGTAGATTTTCAAGTAGCTGACAAAGAGGATGGTAAACTGGAGAGGGAAATACAGTACACATATGAGTTTTGCGTATGTAAAAATATCGGACTTGTTGGACGACCAAGAACAGGATTTGTAGATAGGGTTGAATCCATACTTGGCGTAACTGGTGAAGAGTGGGATAGTGGCTGTGGCTACAGGCACGCCCCATGATACGAAGATCATCAGAAAGAGCTTGAAATGGGTGTACAGGTTGTGGTACTTAGCCGTAGTCGTGATACCAACCAGTCGGTTGACGGCAATTAAGGCTAGGGTGTTAATACTGCACCCAATGCAAGTTAGAAAACAAAACGCGGCAAAATTGCACATCCAAGAAGGTATGACTAGCTCGTCGCTCAAGACGGTCACGGCTTGCAAGGGACCCTGGATACCTGTCAGCACATCGGCTAGAGCGAGATTCAGAACAAACACATTGGTTTTAGTCTGCAGTTTCTTGACGGTCAGAATGGCATAAATGACTGCCAGGTTTCCGAGGAGACCGATGAAAGTGGCGACAAATCCGACTCCAGACAAGATTTGGCGTTCAACGTACGTCCCGTAGATAGACTCGGTTGTATTGATCTTGCTCGGTGAGTTGATTGGAGTTGAGAAGGTATAGTTTTCACTGATGTTCCATGAAAACTCCATGATAGATTCGAACAATATCTGTGTCCAGCTGCTAATAATACCGTGACAAGCAAGTGACTGCTCCTTTTGTTATCATTCTATCATATGGCAAATTGTACGGTATTGCCCGAACTAACGGTTGGCTATATGCAACCTGCAATTCCATCTCCTATAATTTGATGCGTGATAATTTTAGGACATGTGGTAAATGTGCAGGTCAGTCTGGAATAGAGTTGAATTATGTTTCTGTGTTAAGGACTTTTTAATGACTCGAGACTTTAAAGGGACATTTTTAATAAGTATTTGTTCACGTTAAAAAGGGGATTACGTCCTGGAATGCGCCTAATTATACTACAAAACGCCTTTTTAACGAACTGGTGTTAATTAGAACCTGAGTCTTTAATAAGGGAATAAATGTGTGCTCCGGAGGTTTTTATCACTCTGCTTAAGACCACTTAGAGTCTGGGTGCTGATAATTACCCGAGCCGGAGGCGAGGGTAATTATCAGCACCCAGACTCTAAGTGGTCTTAAACAGAGTGATAAATACCGACGGAGCACATATTTATTCCCATTCATAAATACCTTTCGGTAAAAAAAATCATATAATTCGTTCAAAACATCCCGATTTTGTTCAACAAATTCACTTTATGCTTTTTGAAACATCCCTCTTGCAAAATAATGGAGTGTTCAGCTGGCGAGTAAGATGTAAACAACCCTTTTATGGAGATTGACGCGCGCGTATCATGTTTTGCGCGATGTCGCGCAGAACGCACCTGGCGCGTTGCGTTTTGAATTTAGAACTATAAAATTCTGACTCCCTGGTAGTGTTGCGCATGCCTACGTGAGGATTGTGAACGTTCAACCAATGAAACGATAAGAGGCACTGGATTTTTAGGAGTCCACATCATTGTGACACTGGAAAAGTGTTCAAGACCAGCTAGCCATGTCTTTATCATCCGTTTAAGACCGGCCACGTGACGGGCTCTCGACCAATAGGAATGCGTAAACTGTCTTAGGTATTTATGAATGTAGGATATAAACATCCACACAGCCATTCTTTGAAAACTGGACGTTTTGTGTTATTCTTGCAATGGCACGCGTAGAACGAATGTCGGGTCAACATTTTGACTCTGAAAAATCGAGATGTTTCGGTGCTAGTCGTGATTCCTGTCACTCACCTGTTTCTTTGAAAACATTTCTCAACATTTCGTGTGCGTTCATCGGTTGAGTGTGAATATTTACATATTTGTGTGCTAAAACCAATGCTTTTTTTTTTTAAAGATTAATCAAAATACCGCAGCTATTTGCGGCACCAGTCTGATGTTGTTAGCTCGCCGAAATATAGCCCCTAATTCCACGAATTATTTACGGCTGGAAATACGTATAAGTATGCCTCAAAATGTCCGCCACGTCCGATGTAAACAACCACTTTATTCGTCTTTACTCGAGAACGGTAAGACATTAGTTTCCTTTCAACCAGACCTTTAAAATAGGATAAGTAAACAATCCGAAACATAACACTTTCGGTGATTTCAGGCATATATGTCCCTTTAACAGTAGGTTGAGTGTGAATATTTACAATGTCAACAGCTTATGCTGAGAGTTGAACTCATTTTTTAACTTATAATTGTACCCAATTTTTTCACGTTTGAATTACGACGTAGGTTTATGGATGTCTATAACACGTTTATTTACACGACGACAACCATGAAGTATAAACAGTAACAATAAAAAATCGACTTCGTGTTATAGTGCAATGATCTGACACTTTGGTTACTTTTTTCATTACCTTTTGCAGCAAGAAAAACGAAGTTTAAAGAGAAATTTGACCTGTTTTTATAAGTTCTTATTGATAAAATTAATACAGATTTGAAAAAATCCTGTATAATAATTAAAAAAAATCAAGGGGACCTGACGTTCTGATCTTAACATGATCTTCAAGTGTCTGAGGCCTCTGAAGAATATCTTAAAATCGAATAGTCAGGCACTTATATTTTTTTTTGTATTTGTGTATGTCAGGTCAATCCAATCTGTTAGCATTTTGCTGCAGTTGAATTCATTTTCTGTAATATAATATGACAAGAAATGGATTACGCGATGAGTTGTTATATGCTTGTGGAAACCAGATAATCATCCGTATTCATAATCAGTTACTTATTTATTCCATGTCTTAATTAAAAATCAGGTTTAAAGAGCATTGCTGAAAATTCAGTCTCGATAATTATGACCGAAAGTAGGGGAAGCGGACCTAACTTAGATTTGAGCTAAATGTACACACTTGTTTTAATCATTAGTCCTTTTTTGAAAAGTATTTCTTGTATTAAAAAACCCTTGCTGAAAGAGATGCATAATGAAGCTTTTCCCTAACGAACGCTATTTTGACTTACTTATATACACCTGTAGTCAGCAAATGACTCGAATTTAGGCTAAATATCCATTAACAATGTAAAGGGTTACACGAGCTCTCGTGGAATGCTTGCAGATATAGTTGTCATATTGGCACGATTCTGCCCCGAGAGTGCCTTCTGAGATCTACACGTCTCTCTCCTACAACGCAAGATGTGAGCAAACGCCGCCCTGAAATCCGGGTGTTTAGTTCCGTAGATGATCGGATTGACTGCACTGTTGCTCATGAGGATCACGGATGCGTAGGACAGGAGGCTTTTGCCGACATTGATTGGCAGTCCAATTGTTGCGCAGAACGGACCCATACAGAGGAAGAACAAGCATACCACTGTGAACAAGTTCTTGGTAACAGTCACTTGACGTTTCCAAAGTTGTCTTTGAAGTGTTGTCGGACCTGCTCCTTTGTTGTTTCCACTTTCGTCGTGTCTAAGCATCGCTTTACTTGTCTTTTTGACATACAAGTAGATTTTCAAATAGCTGATGAAGAGGATGGTTAACTGGAGAGGGAAATACACTGTACCAATGAACTTTGAGTACGTGAAATTGTAGGTTTCGTTGGAGGACCAAGTGCAGGATTTGTAGATAGGGTTGAATCCATATTTGGCGTAATTGGTGAAGACTGGGATAGTGGCTACAGCAACGGGCACGCCCCATGACACGAAGATCATCAGGAAGAGCTTGAAACGGGTGTAAAGTTTGTGGTACATAGCCGTAGTCGTGATACCAACCAGTCGGTTGACGGCAATTAAGGCCAGGGTGTTAATACTGCAGCCAATACAAGTTATAATACAAAACGCAAGAAGTTTGCACAACCAAGACGGTATGACTCGCTCGTCGTTCAAGATGGTCACCGCTTGTATAGGAGCCACGGTGCAGGTCAGTACATCGGCTACGGCGAGATTAAGAACAAACACATTGGTTTTAGTCTGTAGTTTCTTGACAGTCAGAATGGCAAAAATGACAGCCAGGTTTCCCAGGAGACCGACAAAAGAAGCGACAAATCCGACTCCAGACAAGATTTGGCGTTCAGCGTACGTCCCGTAGATAGATTCGGTTGTATTGATATTGCTCGCTGAGTTGGTTGGATTTGAGAAGGTATAGTTTTCACTGATGTTCGATGAGAACTCCATGATAAAGTTGAACAGTGTCTATGTCCAGCTGTTCATATTAATACCGTGACAAGCAAGTGACTGCTCCTTTTGGGAACATTCTATCATATGGCAAATTGTGCGGTATTGCCCGTATTAATGGTGTGGTCCCGTGACACCTGCAACCTGCAATTCCAACTGTTTTATGGCAAATAGTACAGCAGTGTCTGTATTTATGGTGTGGTGTCGTGATGTCGTTATACCTGCAACTGTTTGATTCCTGTTATCTAAAATGAATTCGTGTCATGTCACAGTGTTTTCAGGACTGTTGTAAATATGCTGGTCATCATAAATGAAAATAATTACGTTTTGCGGTTATTACCTTTTTAAAGACTCGCGACTTTATGGGGTAGTTTTTGATGAGTACCTTTTCACGTTAACGGTGCACTGTAAAAACAAATGTGTTTACAGTTGAAAGACAATTCCAAAACATTTAATTGTACCCGCCTTTTTCACATATTGCAATTACGACGTGTTTATGTTGATGGACGTCTAGAGCAGTTTTATTTACGAGATGAAAACCTGTACCATGTAGTATAAAAAGTAACAGTTAAAACAATTACTTTGTGTTAAAATCCAATGACCTCACACTCTTTTTTTTATTACCTGTCTCAGATAAAAATTAATTACTTTTTTAAAAAGTTTTATTGATGGCACTAACAGGCTTTCATATATGACACAACTTTTTAAACATGTATTAAACATGACTAAAGATGTAAACAAAGTGGGTACAAAAAGTAATTTTTACTTTTCAAGTTCCATTTTACAGTGTGAACACCGGTACTAAATTCAGATGAAAAATTATGGCTAAAAATAATTGCTCACGTTTTAGACCTCAAACCGCTTGTATTTTGATACATGATGACGTAATCAATCGTTTGGAAGAAACTAGGTTCGTTTATATATTTGAAGCTTCTATCTGCATTTTCAATTCACCTAAATTTGACCTTCCGTTTGACCCAGAACTCCGGATGTAAAGGTCAAAGGACTTCACGTTCCCGACAAAAATGTGTTAATCAATGAATGACCTATCCAATTGCAAAATACAAGCATGATTAATCATTTTGTTCAAGAGTTATAACTGAATACAAATGGTCATTTTTTAACTGAAATATCTTGTAATTTGATATCTGATGACATCATCATGACGTCAGAGTAATATGCACCACTCGGGATCAGGGTCGATATATGCTCAAAGTTACAAGTTCAAGCCATCAACTGTTCGGGGGAAAACCCGCAGAGAATTATTGTCTCGAAAAAAATTATTAATTTGTTTCATATTGAAAATTTAAGGTGATCGGGTCGTGCCATATCTCCCAATTAACACCTATAATAACAAAAATCTCCGCAACTGCTACCCGATTAAGTGACATACGTCTGTATTCGCTGTTGATAGTACGAAGTGCACAGGCTTACGAAACATCAGTCACTTGCAGAAAGGCCCTGAAAATGGCACTCCTGCACAAACAATTCTACAGCTATTGCAATAAACAGTTGGAGAGGTCAAAGCCGATGGAAAGCCCGGTGTTTGCCGTGGTATCATAACCGAACCCAGAAAACTGGTCTCCGCCTCAATTTTCAACATGATTCCTTGATGATGATTTCGTCGTTGGGCCTTACCTAGAATTGTTTTTTCCGGTCTATCCGGGGATTCGAACCAGGATAATGAAACCTGTACAGACAAATAAGGAAGAGTGTTTTTCTACATATGTCAAATTTATTCTGATATTTGTAATACTCTGGATTAGACATTTCGAAGACATCCCCATAGACTTGTGCACAAAATTGTTCAAACTTAAATGTGCCCTAACCCAATATGCCCTTTTCCTTTCCCACGAATTTCAGTATGTTTACTAATTAGACCACGATCAACAAATATAACCTAATTGCGACAATAAATTGTGCCTCTAAAGGGGGACTGTCTCCCTAATGACCGATGTCTCCCACCGTTCGAAGAAATTACGATACCGTGTCTCCGTAATGGCACATTTAGTCTAATAGTCCTTCGACTTGGATCGAAGTGTTTCATTGAAGCAGCGTTTCAGTCCCGCGTAATTCAGTATAATATGCCGACGGGTTCATATAAAGCCAAAAACCTTATCGTTATTAGTAAGGTTTACATTTTAATTTGACAGTCAAATGTTCATAGTATACATTTCAGGTCAATAAAAAACAACACCAGCATAAGCCGAAGTCAAGAAATCCAGCTTAAATCTGCTATGACCTGACATGTTAGCATAAGCATAAACAAGCATTTTACAGTGCATTTAGTAGACTTTCAAACTTACAATTGGAACAGATTCCAGAAAGAGAGTTCAATGTGTACGTTTCTCGTAGCTAACCAAGTAGCTAACCAGTCATTTCTAAGACATTTCTAAACAAGTGAGTCATCTGTATGCTTACATTTTGCAGCCTACTTTTTCAATTCATTATAGGCAGATAAAGGCATTAAAATTAAGGCCTTGAAATGAAGCCTCGCTGAAAAGACACATCTATTGAAGTATTTCCCGTTTTAATAATACGTAATGATAAATATTAATGAAATTATTCGAAAAATATTAATCCTATTACGCATTGTTTAAAAGTGGGTTACACAAGCTGTAGTTGCAAGTTTGCAGAGATAGTTGCAATAGTGGTACTGTTCTGTCCCGATTTAGTCCTGGGCGTCTGAGGTTTGTACTTCTTCCTTTTACAACGCAAGATGTGAGCAAACGCCGTCCTGAAATCCGGGTGTTTAGTTCCGTAGATGATCGGATTGACTGCACTGTTGCTCATGAGGACCAATGATGCGTAGGACAGGAGGCTTTTGCCGACATTGCTTGGCAGTCCGAGAGTGGCGAAGTACGGGCACATGCAGAGGAAGAACACGCATACCACTGTGAACAAGTTCTTGGTAACAGTCACCTGACGTTTCCAAAGTTGTATTTGAAGTGTTTGTGAACCTAAGCCTGTGGTACCTCCATATTTGTCAAGTCTCAGCATCGATTGAGTTGTCCTTGTCACATACAAGTAGATTTTCAAGTAGCTGACAAAGAGGATGGTAAACTGGAGCGGGAAATACATTACACTGATGAGCTTCGCGTATGTAATAATGTAGGACATGTTTGACGACCAAGTACATGATTTGTAGATAGGGTTGAAGCCATATTTGGCATAATTTGAGAACAGTGGAATAGTTGCTACGGCTATGGGCACGGCCCATGACATGACGATCATCAGAAAGAGCCTGATAGGAGTGTAAACTTTGTGGTACATAGCCGTAGTCGTGATACCAACCAGTCGGTTGACGGCAATTAAGGCCAGGGTGTTAATACTGCAGCCAATGCAAGTTATAATACAAAACGCAACGAGTTTGCACAACCAAGATGGTATGACTAGCTCGTCGCTCAAGATGGTCACGGCTTGTAGGGGAGCCACAGTGCAGGTCAGCACATCGGCTACGGCGAGATTAAGAACAAACACATTGGTTTTAGTCTGTAGTTTCTTGACAGTCAGAATGGCAAAAATGACCGCCAGGTTTCCCAGGAGACCGACAAAAGTAGCGACGAATCCGACTCCTGACAAGATTTGGCGTTCAGCGTACGTCCCGTAGATAGACTCGGTAGCACTGATATTATGAGGTTTGATTGAATTTGAGAAGTTGGTATAGTTTTCACTGATGTTCGATGAGAACGCCATGATAAAGTTGAGCAATATCTCTGTCCAGCTCCTCGTAATACGCATGGCAAGCAAGTGACTGCTCCTTCTGGGATCATTCTATCTTATGGCAAATTGTGCGACATTGTCCGCATTATATTTTCGTGATAAAATAATATCGACATGCCTAGAGTCGTGATACCTGCAACCGTTTAATAAAAGCCACTTCGACTGAATTCCTGGTAAATTCACTGCCTTTTCAGGACATGGGAAATATGCAGGTCATTTCAGCATGCAAGTTAATTACGTTTTGCGATTCATTTTTTTTTAACGAGTTAGGAGCTGTAAAGGGAGATTTTAATGAATACCTTTCAGGTTAACACGGATCAGTCAAGCTTACTATGCGATATGTTTTTGGCTTAGGGACTGTTAAATGCGTCACGACTTTTGGAGGGAAATTTTAATGAGATTGTTTTCAGGAACAGAGCAATAGAGCCTGCTGTATTGATTGATTTTTTTTTGGGCGGTAAGGGACTTTGTAACAGTCGGCTCTTTTAAAGGGATTTTTTTATGAGTATCCCGGCTTTCAGGTAATAGCATCGAACACAAACACTTTTCTATGCTGTCATTTCGTGTCTTTAACCGGGTTTTTTGAATAAAGGATAAATCGCGGACTTCTGACACGATGTTGCGACCCCGAAAAGTGCAATGTGTCTTTTTCAGTGAGCCATAGTGTTGATAATTCAAGTATCCACGAATTTGATGATTATGTCATAATTAAGTAATCAATATCATTACCAATTCAGTATCAAAGTATTCTCGTTCATTGTCTTTTCTGTTGTTATCGCCATGTCTTTAAACTTTTGTATCCCCTTGTGCCCAACCTGACATTTATTGGATCTTAAACTGGTCGTCAAGCTCATCAAGTGGCACTTTACGGAATGCTTTAACCTCCCGAGTGGAAACAAGTTGGCTACAAAAGCTGTAGTGGTATGCTCAAAGAGACAGTTACAATACTGGTGCGATTCTGCACCCTTTTGGGCCTCAACGTCTGAGGTGTATACTTCTTTCTTCTGTAACCCAGGATGTGAGCAAACGCCGTCCTGAAATCCGGGTGTTTAGTTCCGTAGATGATCGGATTGACTGCACTGTTGCTCATAAGGATCAAGGATGCGTAGGACAGGAGGCTTTTGCCGACATTGCTTGGTAGTCCCAGTGTTGCAAAGAACGGGCACATACAGAGGACGAACACGCATACCACTGTGAACAAGTTCTTGGTAACAGTCACCTGACGTTTCCAAAGTTGTCTTTGAAGTGTCTGAAGTGCTGCGCCTTCGCTGTCTCCATAGTTGTCCAGTCTCAGCATGGATTGAGTTTTCCTTCTTACATACAAGTAGATTTTCAAGTAGCTGACAAAGAGGATGGTAAACTGGAGCGGGAAATACATTACACCGATGAGCTTTGCGTATGTGATAACATCGGACTCGTTGGACGACCAAGTACAGGATTTGTAGATAGGGTTGAAGCCATATTTGGCGTAATTTGAGAACAGTGGAATAGTTGCTACGGCTATGGGCACGCCCCATGATACGAAGATCATCAGAGAGAGCTTGAAAGTCGTGTACAGTTTGCTGTACATATCCGTAGTCGTGATACCGACCAATCGGTTTACAGCAATTAAGGCCAGGGTGTTAATACTGCAGCCTATGGAAGTTATGATACAAAACGCAACGAGTTTGCACAACCAAGACGGTATGACTAGCTCGTCGTTCAAGATGCTCACGGCTTGCAGAGGAGCCACGGCGCACGTCAGTACATCAGCCACTGAGAGATTAAAGACAAATACATTGGTTGTAGTCTGAAGTTTTTTGACCGTCAGAATTGCAAAAATGACTGCCAGGTTTCCCAGGAATCCTACGAAGGAAGCGGCAAATCCGACCGCAGACAAGACTTGGCGTTCAACGTACGTCCCATAGACAGACTCGCTGGTATTAAAATTGTCAGGACCTTCCAGTGTAAACGTTTCGTTGATGTCAAACAGGAATTCCATCGCTAAGTTGACGAGCAGTATCCTTGAACAGTAGCTAATAGCATGTATAACGTTGTGGCAGTCTGAACGGTATTTAAATACGTCAATCTCATGTAAACACTTCCCGCGTTCATGTTCATACAGTCCAACCTTCATCTACAAGTCTATGACTCCATAACAGCGAAAATATGTTGTGTGCGAAGTCAAATTGTATCGAGAAATTGCTGTAAATACCAATGACTCAAATCGACTCTTTCTCTCTGTTCCTTATGCATTGGGTCCGCGATAGTGCTCCATATAGTGCGTGTGCTAAATGGCTATGAGCGGCAAACACAATTAACACCTAAACAGAAGTCTCCGCCTATGTTACCCGATTGAAGCGACGCACGCATTCGCTGTTGACAGTGAGAACTGCACAGGCTCACGGGTTCATCCGTCACTTGCCATTCCAAAGACAAGTCATCAAATGGCTTAAACGGCTCGGCATGCACACTTGACAAATACTACATTTGACATTTGGAGAGCTAATAGGGCCTAGTGGATACAAAGCATGGTGTGTGTACCGTGATGCCATCCCGAAAGCAGGTATTCGTTATTCTCTGCTTTTAAAAATATTTCCTGTATGACGAATTCGTCATAGGGCCTACATACAAAATTCCAGGGTTTATGGTTCGAACCAGATGTAACGAAACCTGCACACAACAAATGTATAGAATAAGCAGGGTTTTCTGGTTAAGATTTGGCCCTTTTTATTTGTGATATTTTATACACTGTAAAAATGATGTTTAGGTTTTAAACACGTTTAAAACGTCTTTGCAGTCAGACTTTCTGATATTTAAACATTAAACAGCAAGTGATTTGAATTTGAACGGAATCTCGTATCAGTTCATACCGCAAGACCTCACAAAGGACCACCCGACCATCCGCCATTACAATAGGCAAGCATTGCTTAGCATCCACGTCGTGCCTTGTAAACTAGACAGTGGGGCTTATTTTCATCTATAAAAACAGCGAATTATTTATCGAATTAATGGCATAACGGTCACTTCCTGTGCCGTGTACGGTTATCATAATTGTGCCGACCCAGCACCGGTTCTCGACTTTTTAATTAGCTTTTTTTAATGAGTACTTTTCTTTTAGGTTAACACGGAGCAAAAAAAAATAGATATGCTGACTTTGCGTCTCACGAACTGGGTAATTTGAATAAAGGATGAATCGTGGGCTTCTGACACGATATTGCGACCCCTGAAAGTGCAGTGTGTTTTATCAATAGGCCATATTTTTCAGCCATTTCAGGTTATGTACTGGCACCATTTTTTGAGTTAAAAACGGTACAAATTACACGCACTTTGAAGTAATTCATTAACAACACTTAAATTTAAATAACAAAGATGGGAGTGCGTTTCAGTTAGTGTAGCTTGGTGGGGTTTCATGCAAATGATATTCAAATATGATTTGAATGTCTATAATAATAAAGTTCGGATGATGCAACTAATGAATAGTGTACCACCAAGGGCGTAAATCCCGGGGGATGCCCCCTCCCCGCCCCGCTTTTTGAATTTCCACAATCGGGCAATTTCAGGATTTTGGTCATCCCCGATCCCCCCCCCACCCCGCCGGTATTGGTTTACGCCACTGTGTACGACTACTCTTTAAAGCCCGAGTCCATCATTTGCAGCTATCCAAAAAAGTAACCGGCGTAATTATTGTTGAAAAACATACTGGTTGAAAGGTAGTAAGGGGACTGTGAAATTATCCTTTCTGGCAAGCTCTCATTTTGAAGAAATCAACGAAAGAAGGCATTTCCAACGGTGCGTCTTAAGAAGCACCGTAGGAAAATTTAATTTAGTTGTTCGTTTTGTTATTCGGCGCAGCGCGCACAAGCATTGGAACGACGCACAGGCGCGCGCGGTTGCTATAATTCGTTGGATCAGTGCGCAACATCGCGTAAAGCTGCAATTCAAAACAATTCGAAACATGATTTAGCAACTTTTGATTTTAAATTGAGATCCTAGAATGCTGTTTTTCTCGGAATATGAAGCTGAAGCTGAGCTGAAACTTCATCAAGTAAATTGTTCAGTATCCTTCATTAGATTTTGAACACTTTTGTTGCTTCAAACGAACAAATGCACTAATTACAAATGATGGACTGTAGCTTTAAATACGAATTAAGTTGTCATGCCTTTCACTGTACTCATCAGTCCGAATAAGATAATTTCATTTGTCATGCTTCGCTGATGAATGACTAACGATTTTGAAATATTGTTTCGTATCATTTTGGTATTTCGTTTTGTTTTCATAAGAGTGTTGAGTCTACGGTCTCACAATGTAACTAGTCTGTTTCGTGGGTTTATTAGGTTTTGAAAAGAACCGGAGGAAACTCATAACCCCACAAGCTCGCGAAAGAGATGTGATACATGGTGCAACCGTAAACATACTCTTTATATTGCTGTGTTCACCATGCAAACCTTCAAAACTTAATTATTTAAGATAGCTCTATATTCGACAGCTCTATACTGAAGCTTTTCCCGATATAATGGCATGTCGTACGGGGTTACTGATATACATTTTTCTCGACCATTGATTCAAATTAGAAAACAATACTTTTTATAATACAGTAAACAAAAAGGCAGGTTACACAAGCTGCAGTGTTATGCTTGCAGAAGCAGTTACAATATTGGTACGATTCTGTCCCGAGATACCCTTCGCCGACTCAGGTTTACGCTTCTTCCTTCTACAACGCAAGATGTGAGCAAACGCCGTTCTGAAATCCGGGTGTTTAGTTCCGTAGATGATCGGATTGACTGCACTGTTGCTGATGAGGATCACGCCTGCGTAGGACAGGAGGCTTTTGGCGACATTGCTTTGTAATCCGAGTGTTATGAAGTACGGGGTTATACAAAGGAAGAACACGCATACCACTTTGAACAAGTTCTTGGTAACAGTCACCTGACGTTTCCAAAGTTGTCTTTGACATTTCTGTGGGCCCGAACCATTAGTGTCGTGTCTCATCATCGATTTAGTTGTCCTTCTCACATACAGGTAGATTTTCAAATAGCTGAGAAAGAGTATTGCAAACTGGAGCGGGAAATACATTACACTGATGAACTTCGCGTATGTGATAATGTCCGACTTGTTGGAAGTCCAAGTGCAAGATTTGAAGATTGGGTTGAAGCCATATTTGGCGTAACCGGTGAAGAGTGGGATAGTGGCTGTGGCTACAGGCACGCCCCATGATACGACAATCATCAGAAAGAGCTTGAAAGCCGTGTAAAGTTTGTGGTACATAGCCGTAGTCGTGATACCAACTAGTCGGTTGACGGCAATTAAGGCTAGGCTGTTAATGCTGCACCCAATGCAAGTTAGCGAACAAAACGCAACGAGTTTGCACAACCAAGACGGTATGACTAGCTCGTCGTTCAAGATGGTCACTGCTTGTACAGGAACCACGGCGCACGTCAGTACATCAGCCACTGCGAGATTAAAGACAAATACATTGGTTGTAGTCTGAAGTTTCTTGTCGGTCAGAATGACACAAATGACCGCTAGGTTTCCCAGGAATCCAACGAAAGAAGCGACAAAACAGACGCCAGACAAGATTTGGCGTTCAAAGTACTTTCCGTAAACAGATTCGTTTGTATTAAAATTGTCATAACTTTCCAATGTAAAAGTTTCATTGATGAATTCCATCTTTAAGTTTAGCAGTATCCTTGACCACTAGCTAAAAACATCGATGATGGTGTGGTAGTCTGCATGGTATTTTAATACTTTAATTTTAACTTGTCCCTGTGAAAACGTCCCGTGTCTACAGACTATCTTTGTGTACAAGTCTATGACTCCAAAAGGCAAATGTATCGAGAGAATGCTGAAAACACCGATGACTCAAATCAACTGCTTTCCTCTCTTCCTTCTGCTGTGAGTCTCGATAGTTCTCCATATATAATATTGTGTAAACTTGTACACCTAATGTCAAATGGCTTGAATCGGCAAATACAATGAACATCTAAGCAGAAGTCTCCGCAAGTGCCACCCGATTGAAGTGACATACGCCTGCACCCGCCGTTGAAAGTACGAGGTGCACATAAACTGCAGACTCTCGAGTTCATCCGTCACTTGCCATTCCACAGAAAAATCATCAAATATGGCTTAAACGGCACACTTAACAAATACTGCATTGGGCATTTGGAGAAATAACAGCGGATACAAAGCATGGTGTGTACCGTGATGCTACGTGTATTTCGAAAGCGGACATTCTCTGCTTTGAAAACAAATATTTCCTGTATGACGATTTCATCATAGGGCCTAGCTAGAAATTCCAGGGTTTATCCAGGGTTCGAACCAGATATAACGAAACCTGCACAAAACACTGTATACAATAGAAAGGGTTGTTTTTATTTGGATGTTTCCGTGTTTTATTCATGATATTTACAGTCCTTTGATTTGGAATTGAAGACGGTGTTTCACTCCCGGTGAATTCAGTACTGTTTTGTCTGAGGGGCTCATATCAAGCAAAACACCATATCACATTCAGGAAGGTTTATATATTAGTTTTACAATCAGAGTCAATTATACATGTACATAAAGGGGTCATCTTCGTGCAACTGGAAATAAAAAACAGCATAGTCAGGATAATGATCTTGCCATCTGTGGTGGAAACGATTGTTGTATATGTTTCCTGTTGCGAGTAGATCAGCGGTCATTTGCTAGTTCTCGAAATAAAGGGAAAGTAATCTGTATTATTACATTTCTGTACCCAGGGTGTGGCCATAAGCAGTTTAAAACTGGTTTCCATTGGGGCCCTGCATACACTACTTATGATTATACACACATGTACAATTATAATGCATTACAATACAATACAACACAAGGAAATAAATAAAAGCATATGGGATTACTGCATGACTATACAAATGACCATACACACATGTACAAATACAATACATTACAAATACACTACAACACAAGGAAATAAAATAAAAGCATACGGGATAACTGCATGACTATACAAGTGACCATACACACATGTACAAATACAATACATTACAAAATACAGTACACCACAATGAAATAAAATAAGAACATACGAGATTACTGCATGATTGTAAAGCAACTATTACTTATCATGGTTCAGTTTTCCGGCCTATGTCTCATTTAAAAATCAGATAAAAATGACATTGCTGAAAATATATCTATTCGGTTTCGATATTTATTGTTAATGATACCACGCCCGAAAGGCATCGTACTTTTTGAGCTTAAAGTGCACAGTGACTATAATGTAAAACATTAATCCTTTTTGAAAAACTTGTATTAACAAAAATCTTGCTGAAAAGAGATGCATCCATACTTAAGTACTTCCTGATTTAAAGGTTCCTTAAGACGATTTTTTTCTGAGGAAAACATTTTGTGCAACATTTTACTCCTCTTAAATGTATGAAAACTAATTGACACTCCGTTGTGGTTAATTAGATTGAAAAGAGCACCTCTCTTCCATGAATTTCCGGAAAACTGATGCCTCGATGTCATTTCTGGAAGACACTGTTCAGCTTGGGGATTTTGTGTTCAAATTGTGAACCAAAAATGTGTTCATTGAAAACACTTTGCTGACTGGCTTAGGCCAAAAAAAAAAAAGTCGGTCTCTGGTCAGCGCGCGCGTCCATTTTAATCATGTGCGTCGCTCTTTTTTTTTTCCTAAATGTTCCGCGGTAGCTCCAACAGCGCCCTCTATTTTCGCACCTCCTCAATTTTGTTTACCAAAGAGCACCAAGGAATGGGAAATTGCACCAAGGCAAATGATCGAAAGCACCAAGGCAAATTATGGAGGACACCAATGTACATTGGCTTGAAGAACGAAAAAAAAGCCGCGTGGCCGCGTCAATTCCGGAACTTTGGTCTGACCAGAGACCGAATATTTATTTTTTTTGGCCTTACTGCCATGTACTGACACAACAACGAATCACCGAAGAAAAGGAAGTTTGAAACAGCAGAATATCCACAATTCTGGCATTTTTTGGTTCTGAAATAGCTGTAACATTGTGGTTTCTGCCTGAAATGACTTCACACGTTCGCTCATGAATGTGGAAAATAACATAAGCACAAAAACCAAAAAAGGCACAAAAATACCCTTGAAAAGGGCAAAACACCAATTGAAAATAAGGTTCAATGGCACACAAAGGTGCTTTTTCAAGGAGTGCATTAAAAATTACATTGCATGTGCCCTTTTATGCTATTGTGAATTTATGATATTTAAACATTTAAACAGCAATTGATAAGAATTTGAACTGAATCTCCTATTGGTTCCTATCGCATGACTTCAAAGAACCACGTGACCATCCGGTTTCCATGATCGGCCGCCATTACAGTAGGCAAGCGTTTTAGCAACCACGTCGTGCGCTGTAAATTAGACAGTAGGGCTTCATATTTCCACGTAAAATAATCCCCAACTCCTTATCAAATTGAATAATAGTTGCTACATGTGCCGTGTACGGTTGTCATAATCGTGCCGACCCAGCACCGGGTGTTCCCTTTGTGTTTTTTTCCCTTGAGTTTTTGCTATCCATCATAGCTTTGAAGGCTTGCCCGTGCTACCTACTACGTGGTGCGTTATACGACCTTTGCCTACTACATAGTTTGTAGGCGACGCTGTCTTTCAGTTGCCCGGATGTAGGGTGGATCGTGCACTGAAAACATTTGGTGCGTGGGTTCTGGTCATAGTGACAAGAACCCATTTTGTTAATGGAAAACAACGAGATCCGTTTGTCATACTGACAAGATATATGTACGCTGAAAGTGCCAGATGACAGGATTATTATCGAGAAATGTTCGCGCGTAGCGTGGGGAGCGGCTATTGGCTGTTGATTCACGCGCACGCATGCGTGCGAACTGCGAAGCCGAGTCCATTCTTGCACGAATCTACAGTTCCAAGTCTGTTGCCGACTTAAAAGCATTTCTTACAACAAGAACAGTTTATGCAAATAGATCCCTGGTTTGCCACATTGAATCTCTATGCATATCGTACAATCTCTTCAACAGACTGTTCCTGGCACTGTGTACGTGTTCATCTTTTCAAACCGTGGACCAAAAATACCAGAGAACAACAATATCGTCCACGATTCCCAGCATACGTCCGCGATCGGGGTCGTGTACAAAACCTATGGGAGTCTTCCTACAGAGTACAAACAAAAGAGGGACAATATATGACGTCCACGATCGACGGTGAACACACATTTTCGTGCGTGCATCAAGATAAGATCCTATTGTTAACCCTTCGAATGTGTACACATGTTCCATTCGTCAGGATGCTCATGCAGTGCATTTGAGCTGTTCTAGAAATCCATGGAAAGTCACACAGAGTAATACTCTCTTCGTTCCCCAGAAGCCAAATGAATTTTAAACATAAGTGTGTGTTGCAGCTACATGATTTCCTTCCTTCCATATAAAGGAAACTTCTGCAATGAGAAGAACAACGCACTGCAGGTGCTAGTTAAAGCTATAGTCCATCATTTGCAGCCATACGAAAAGTAACTGGCGTAATTATTGTTGAAAAGCATACTTGGTTGAAAGATAGTAAGGGAACTAATCTCCCTGTGAAATTATTCTTTCTAGCAAACTGTCATTTAAAAGTAATCAATAAAAGAAGGCCTTTCCAACGGTGCGTCTTAATACGCACCGTAGGAAATTTAAATTAGTAGTTGGTTTTGTTAATCAGCGAAGCGCGCGCAAGCATTGGCACGACGCACACGCGCGCGCGGTTGCTATAATTCGTCGGATCAGTGCGCGACATCGCGTATAGCTGCAATCGGCTCAGTGAGAACGCGTCTCGGACGCTGAATTCAGGCCCAATTCAAAACATGATTCAGCAACTTTTGATTTGAAATTGAGATCCTAGAATGCTGTTTTTTCGGAATATACAGCTGAAGCTGAGCTGAAACTTCATCAGGTTAGTTGTTCAGTATCCTTCATTAGATTTTGAACACTTTTGTTGCTTCAAACGAACAAAATGCACAAATTACAAATGATGGACTATATCTTTAACTGCCTCCAAGCGCGAGCGCGTAAAAACAGGGGCCTCTCACCGGAAATTTAGGTGATGACAAAATATAAACAAGATATTGACAAGATTAAAGCTTAGTCAGTTTGACAAGTGAATTCCTGTCAGTGCAGACCCTCGAAGATAGATTTATCTTAATATCAGCATGACCAGTTTTTGTTTCAGTTTGAAAGAGCCTCACATCAATGTAAGCCCAGACGGACTACAACATCTGCAGCGGAATGATTGGAGGGATAGTAGCAATGTTGATACGATTCTGTCCCCTTATGGGCCTCAACGTTGGAAGTTTGTACTTCTTCCTTCTGCACACCAAGATGTGGGCAAACGCCGTCCTGAAATCCGGGTGTTTAGTGCCGTAGATGATCGGATTGACTGCACTGTTGCTCAAGAGGATAAAGGATGTGTAGGTCAGGAGGCTTTTGCCAACACTGCTTGGTAGTGCGAGCGTTGTGAAGTACGGGCACATGCAGAGGAAGAACACGCATACCACTGTGAACAAGTTCTTGGTAACAGTCACCTGACGTTTCCAAAGTTGTCTTTGAAGTGTCTGTGAGCCTAAACTTGTAGTACCTCCATATTTGTCATGTCTCAGCATGGATTTAGTTGTCCTTCTCACATACAGGTAGATTTTCAAGTAGCTGACAAAGAGGATGGTAAACTGGAGAGGGAAATACATTGCACTGATGAGCTTCGCGTATGTGATAATGTAGGACATGTTTGACGACCAAGTACATGATTTGTAGATAGGGTTGAAGCCATATTGGGCATAATTGGTGAAGAGTGGGAGAGTGGCTATGGCAATTGGCACACCCCATGATACGAAGATCATCAGAAAGAGCTTAAAATTGGTGTAAAGTTTGTGATACACAGCCGTAGTCGTAATACCAACCAGTCGGTTGACGGCAATTAAGGCTAGGTTGTTAATACTGCAGCCAACGCAAGTAATCAGACAAAAAGATACAGATGTGCACAACCAAGACGGTATGACTAGCTCGTCGTTCAAGATGGTCACTGCTTCTAGGGTAGCCACGGTGCATGTCAGCACATCGGCTACTGCGAGATTAAGAACAAACACATTGGTTTTAGTCTGCAGTTTCTTGACAGTCAGAATGGCAAAAATGACTGCCAGGTTTCCCAGGAGACCGACGAAAGTAGCAACAAATGCAACTCCAGACAAGATTTGGCGTTCAACGTACGTCCCGTAGATAGATTCGGTTGTATTGATATCGTTCGGTTGGATTGGATTTGAGAAGTTGCAGTTTTCACTGATGTTTGATGAGAGCTCCATTGCAAAGTGGAAATCTGTGTTCAGCTGCTCTTAATGCCGTAACAAGCAAGTGTTCCTTTTGCTATCGTATGGGAAATTGTACGGTCATGTCCAAATGAATTGTTCCTAGTAATTAAGTCAACGTACGTGATGTACACGTGCAAACAATTAGCTCAGTTGGTGTGATTCAATAGTAAATATCAAATAATTTCGGAACAATATTTTGCCGTTGGGGACTTTTTAATGAGTCATGACCTTTTTAGGGAACTTTAATGGGCATTCTTTTTTAGGTTAACGAGGAACACTCCACCATGCTGTTCAATGTGTTCGCTTAATACGTGATGGGTTTCTTAATGCCTCATGGTTTCATGACAGTAATTCTAATGAGATTTTTTCCCAGGTTAATACAGAGCGTAACTTGTTATACTGATTGATGTTTTGAGGTCAGTGACTTTTTAATGAGTTTGAACTTTCTAAGATGTCTTTTTAATGAGTACCTGTTCAGGATTACACCGAACACAACAAATGCAATGCTGACTATGCGTGTCTGGAACCGGGTAATTTGAATGAAGCATCAGCGTGGACTTATAACACGATATTGCTACTCAGAAAAGTGTTGTGCGTCTTATCAATAGACCATATTTTATCAGCCACTGTTTTTCAGCCATTAGAGGTACTGCAAAGCCAGGATTTGTTGGGGGTGGGGCAGGGTGGCACCATCATGTTATGAGGGGGAACCAAGGGCGGACCCAACAAAACAATTTACCCCAAATGTCCAGGTCACCGACTGGCCAGGCAAGTGCTGCAAATCTTAAAACCGCGGAAGGGGGGGGGGGGGCCTGGACATCTTTTGACGCTAGAAGGCGCGCTTACCAATATATTTACATGTTATGAAGCCGTAGGGTTAAGAAGCAAGAGAAATATAGCTATCTACATTGCTCTTCTGTTTAATTGCTCAAACAGATTCGTGAAAAAGTTAGAAAGACATTTCCTTGGCAAGCGGCAATTTATTTTTTGTGGGGGGGGGGGGGGGGGGGGGGGTGGAGGGGGCACTGGGAATTTGTGGGAGCCTCTTGGCTTTGCCACTGTGCAGTAATGACGACATTTGTACGGTCGTGTCCAAATTAATTGTTCCTAATAATTAGTCAACGTACGTGATGTGCACCTGCAAACAATTAGTTCAGTTGATATGATTCAGTGGTAAATATCAAATCATTTCGGGAAAATGCTTTGCCGTTGGGGACTTTTTAATAGTCATGACCTTTTTAGGGAACTGTAATGCCACAAATTGAGGCAAAGTATTCTATATCTGGAATTTTCTTCAACGTCTTTGGCCTCAAGGCCCTTCCTGTTTGCCAGCTTTCAAATAAGCTTTCAAACAATTTATAGTTTTGTGTAGAATTTCTCATGGTAAGGTACCTTTTGACTGCGATATAGAGAGCAAGTATCGCTGGCGATGACAGACATTACTGTCATATTTACTGCACAAATTGAGGCATAATGTTCTATATCTAAAATTTTCTCCAAAAGTCTTTGGCCTCAAGACTTGCCCGTTTGCAGCTTGTTGGCCTACTCATAAGCTTCCGAACAATTAATAGTTTGTGTAGAATTTCTCATGGTAAAGTACCTTTTAACTGCGATATAGAGAGCAAGTATCGCTGGCGATGACAGACATTACTGTTAGATTTACTGCACAAATTGAGGCATAGTGTTCTATATCTTAAATTTTCTCCAAAAGTCTGCATATTTTTTAATCACATATAATGCTAACTCTGATCGTCCTAAAACTTGGTTAGTAGGTAAATACCATTACTAGTATACAATCCCGAAGTGTCGTCATGTTGATGTCATCACTTGTTTTTTTTTAATGTTTACAATTTTTTTCTTTTGCAAATATGAAGAAAAAATGCAATCCGATTGATTCCAAACTGTGCACAGACAAAAAACCTTTAAAAGATTAAATTAGCCCTAGACAACTGATGTCATGATGACGTCATCAGGGGTCACGTGACGTCATCTTAGTGTATTTTTTAATATGTTATATCTAAGGAACTGTACCTCTGATTGGAACTAGGTATGAACATATAGACAGGGACGTGTTACAGAAAAAAAAAACATTGGTATGACGTCATCATGGGTCATGAAACGTCATCTTGGTTATCTAAAGGTGGATGTTTTAAAAACCTATATCTGAAGAACAAAGGCAACAGCTCAATAAGTCACGGAACTATGTTCTTTCATATAATTTATGTGACTGCATAATGCACAAAACCAAGCATAAACTCATAAAAAACGTTATACGGAAAAGCCCTATGTTCTGTTCATCGAACAGACAAAGTTCTAGTTCAATCTGATATTCTTCCTGTATTTTTTCATACACGCAACATTGTTTCACCTAGTTGCACAAGCTGGATGTGTCTTGGTGTTCGTGCTGTCACTGGTCGTCCTGAACGCCCCGTGTTCATATCTTTGGTGATGACATGTTTTTCGTATTTTACGACGTTTCTGCGGGCTGTCAGAGCGTTGGCTGCCGCACCTCTGGAAATTGTTCTCCAAGTTGACGTATCGTGTCTTGTTCCCTACCTGTTTCATAAAACGTTCTGACCATAAAGGCCATTTGGGAAGTAGTAAACTGTGGCCTTGCCATTGCTACTGTGAAATGCTCTGTCTAGCAGTGTGCCTGCCCTTAAATAAGTATCCCCTTAAGAATAATAGGATTAAACATTATGTTGGTAGTGTTTTCGGGCAGTCAGAAAGAAAGGAATGTGTCCTATTTGTGCATGGCTGAATATCAGTGATAATTTTACAGAACGTGGTCGATACCCAGACCGATTGTTCGCTGAAATATAACTCTGGTATTCCCTTTCCCGTTTTTGTGGCAGATCTTTTTTTTGTGACGATCTTTTTACTCGCCCTGTACAATATATATCCGAGGCTTTGTCGAGAATAACAAACAAAGCTACCAGCAGCCTATTTCTTACACACACATCGGACAGCTTCACACCTGTGATTTGTTAAAGCAAATGTTGAACTACATAGTGCATAGACTGTAGATCTTCTCGTACCCAAACTAGCCAAACTCGGACACTATAAGCCGTAGCATGTCATAATGTTGATAGAGGTTTATACAGAGGTTTGTAGTTCAAAGTCAGTGTTGGTTGTCGTTTTGTAAGAGACCCGGCCACGAGGTGCTACCACAGGCTGAGATGATTGCCCCTTCCTACCGCAGTGCACCATACCCGCGAAAGCCGTACGAAAATCCGGATGTCTCGTTGCGTAGATGATCGGATTGACGGAACTGTTAGCCACGAGGATCGTGGACGCATAGGAGAGGGCGCTACTTGCAGTTTTGACCAATGCCAAAATCAGGAAGTACGGACTCAGACACAGCAGGAAGACGCACACCACCAGAAAGAGGTTTTTGGTGACTGCCACTTGGCGCTCCCAGAGTTGCCTCTGGAGTGCCAGATTGGTGTAAGCGGCGCTGTCCTGTCCGAGCGTGGATCGAGACGTCTTCCTCACGTAGAGAAAAATTCTTAGATAACTGACGAAGAGGACGAGGAATTGGATTGGGAAAAACACGACAGCAACCAGCATAGCGTAACTGAATGTGTACGATCGGCTGGATTGCCAAGTACATGAGTTGTAGATGGGGTTGTATCCATATTCTGCGTAATCAGACAATAGGGGGGTGGTTGCCACAACCAAAGGAGGGAACCAAGTCAGGACAAGTGCAAAGGAGAGTTTACAAGGGGTGAGGAGCTTACGATACACGCTGTGTGCTGCGGTCGTGATGCCAATAAGACGGTTGACTGCGATGCAGACGAGGCAGTTGATGCTGCATCCGATGCAGGTGATGAGACAAAACGCAACGAGTTTGCACACCCATAACGGGAAGACCAGCTCGTCGTTCAAGATGGTCACCGCTTGTAGGGGAGCCACCGTGCAGGTAAGCACATCGGCCACAGCGAGATTGAAGACGAAGACATTGGTTGTAGTCTGCAATTTCTTGACGGTCAGAATGGCACAAATGACCGCCAGGTTTCCCAGGAGACCGACGAAAGAAGCGACGAAAGTTGCTGCTGAGGGAACCTGACGCTCAGCATACGAGGCGTAAATGGATTCAGTTGTATTGCTTCCCAAGCTTTCGTCAGACGTATTCCAAGCATCCATGTTTCAAATCAAAATGCTGCTCAGCAGATGAGATATAATAATGGTATAGAGCATTTGTTGCGTTTTGAGTACCGGTAGTGTCTTTTATAACCATTTTGTGTGCTGGCCGTATATTTCTATTACGTTTGACAGTGACGTGAGCCATTCAAATAACGATTTTAGCTGGTAGGTTTTTAATGCGTGTTCAAAGTTGACTGCAGTTTAAGGCCCCTTGCCGTTTATTCTTATATTCTTCCTATAATTGATACCCGCAACATTGCTACACTGAGAATCGCAATCTGAATAGTATTTATAAAAAGGTATGACAAACAATACTTTGCATACAATGCTTGTTTATAATTAATACTTAAAAACACTGACATAAAATTGTAAAGTCAAATATAAAAAATAATAATAATAATGCCATGTACATCGAAGGCGTTGTCGAGGGTAACACAGCCAAAGCTACCTGCAATTTATATCCCTCTGAATATAGTACATTTCGATTTTCGTGCACGCACATCAGACACGCGCATCGTATAGCTCTGTTATCACCACCAAAGTCTTTCATATTTCACAGCTGTGATTGGTTAAACCACCAGTGGCAGGGCTTAATGATCGGTCCAGTTTGGCAACCTAATTGGTCGAAGGCGCACTGATTGCGCACGCATGACCTTCCCTTGAGTATGTACATGTACCACTTGAAGTTATAGCCTTGCATGAATCTCATTCCTATAATATACGGGTCACGTGTTATTATTACCTTCGGAGCTTTGTTATCACCACCAAAGTATTTCATATAATAATCCTGGAGGCAAGAAAAAACAATAAAACTTTACCATTTTACAATGTGCGGCCATGAAAACATAATAGTTCCAGCTCGGACACGACCTTGTTCGAGCTCACGTTCCAGGTTTTCACTCCCAATAGAGAGCGCCCTCTTTAGGCATTATTTTCCGATCCACAGAAAGTAAACCACATGCACTCATAAAATAAAACCACTGAAGATAGAAAAGTCACAATCTGAATTACATGTACATTCAGGCCTGATATTAAATAACGCATTGTCCATTAGTGTTGGAGTCTTCTATCGTATATAGAACTCACATTTACGTAAGACCGTCACAAAGTTTAGATTTAGAAAAATGACATACACTCCCTAATCTATGTAATATGCGTGTAGACTAGGCGATTCCTTATGCAGCAAGACTGTGTATGACCTAGAGAAACTGACCAATCAGCGGGCGCCTTCTAGACTCTTGTAACACGAACTCCCCGCGGGCGTAAACATCACCCCCACGACGAGTAGCATTTTCCTAACAGTACAATCGAAATTGACAGTACATCGAATTGACCAATCAAAATCTTTTTTCCAGATTTCGGAATGAAATGACGTCAAGATTGCATGCTTAGATATTGGACCGGAGAGATGGCTCCGTTCGACAACGGCTGATTCTCAGACTATACACTCACATGAAATTAATGAAAAACAACTAGACACTTCACTTTTCTCTGTGCAGTATACAAGCAAATATATTTCCACCAAATCCAAAAAGCATAAAAAGATTACACAAATGTACTCACTCACTAGTCCAAACAATTTGCAAATTCATGTGCGGATTTTCTCAATGACCAATTAATTCTCAATCCATAAAATTCTGAAATTTTGAAATTCCTCAAACCTAGTCACAATCTCCAAAAATGACTTCCAAATTCAGATAGGACAATTTCAATCAAATCAAATTCAGTTACGAAAATATAAAACTTAGCTAATTCTCAATCTGTAAAATTCTCCAAAATTCGGGTGTTCTTAAAACGTCCAATAACTTCAAATTTTACCAAATTCATATGCAAATATAACAATCTCAAATTGTGCAGTGTACCAATTCCTATATCTAATGAAACTTCACAATATAACAACATTCTTTTACTCCAACGTATTAAATAATACAATTTCTGGTTTCACCTTCTGATTTCAAACCAAAATTCTAACGAGAATTTGAATGTTGGCAAAGTCTTTTCAATTCTGCAGTTCCATCTTTCAGTCTTCACCTATTTACAATATTCCACCAAAAAAAAACTATATCAGTGAACCTCAATTAATATTAACCTTTACCTTTTTAAATCTGTTATTGGCAACCTCAATATGTAGTTCGAATATACAAAGTAGCCACTGTTCTAAAGGATTACCTCAAACCTGAAACTTTTCAAAATCTTCTGAAAACCTAAACTTCAATGACATGTACCATGAACCTTCCACTGTTTGTGAACAAGTTTTTACATTTTTAGAAATATGCTCAAGCTTTAGATCAGGATATCTTGGGGGGGGTTACAGAATTTTTACAACACTTTATTATACTAACGAAAACAAGTCAAAACAAGTCAAAAATAATAAATTTCCAACGATTTTGATCAACTATTTTACTTCACGTTTTTCGGGACACTCCTCTAGCTATATTATGATATGTCCTACTCACGAGTATCCGTAAACAACTCCTTATATGCATATTGGCGCGCGCGTCACGCGTACTGCGCCGTGTGGCGCAGAACGCAGCTGTGCTGTTGTATTGTGAATTTAGGACTATGATATGCGGACTCACAAGTATTGTGAATGTCTTCGTTAGGATTGTGAACGTTCAACCAATAAAATGGTAATAGGCACCAGGTTTTAAAGGTGTCCAAATTTCATGTAACACTGGAAAAGTGATGAAGCAAGCCGGTCTTTATCAACCGTATAAACCAGCCACCTGACGGGCTCTCGACCAGTAGGTGCTAATCCGTCCTAAGTATTTATGCATAAATATTCATAAGGCCTGAACTATTAGCCGATCACGATAACAGGGCAATAGAATATGCATACAGCCGGGTTCTTAAAGGAAACCGTATTCATTTAACTGAACAACTTGTACACACTACAACAATACAAATGTAAAGTTCAAATGTGACAAAGACTGTAGAATCTCCCGAGGTTTCATGTAATTGAAACAAAACTGTCTGTAAATAACGTTTAGTTGTTAATCCTCATAAGGAAGAAAACGAGCACATATGATGCGTGGACAATATCGGGGAAACCCGCTATTTCAACCAGTTTGTATGTTGGAATATAGTACATGCATGACTCCAATGCGTGTTGAATGTGTTGTATCTCTCGTTATTTCTACCGAACTGTTGGTCTCGATGACATGGGGGGGGGGGTTAAATGGTGTTAACAGAGATTGGCCAAAAAGTACGGCGTCTGTGATATTGCGAAAGCCAGCAAGATGTACTCGAGGTTTTTGGTAAGATTTTGCTCTGCCACAGCTTTTTGTTGAAACCCGTGACGCTGGCGCTAGCGCTGACTTCATGGTCGACGCACAGAGACGATGGTCACATCGCGGATGTTTGGGCGGACGAAAGCAAAGGTGGATGTGTAGCGGTAATTGTCGTGACGAACTAAAATGGATGAGCAACAGAAAGCACAAGGATGTTCAAGTACGTGGATAATGGGTTGCTGGTGTCCCAGGAGCAGATACTTTAGATCATCTCATAGCCCAACTGCCATAATCGCACATTATAGACCGTGGCATGTCATAATGTTGATAGAGGCTTATGCGGGGGTTTGTAGTTCAACGTCAGTGTTGGTTGTCGTTTTGGAACAGACCCGGCCAGGCGGTGCTACAGTCGTCTGAGATGATCGCCTCTTTCTACGGCAGTGCACCATACCTGCGAACGCCGCACGAAAGTCCTGATGCCTCGTTGCGTAAATGATCGGATTGATGGAACTGTTAGACACAAGGATCGTGGCCGCATAGGACAGGGCATTGTTTGAATATTTGAATAAGGCCAAAAAAAGGAAGTACGGACTCAGACACAGCAGGAAGACGCACAACACCAAAAAGAGGTTTTTGGTGACTGCCACTTGGCGCTCCCAGAGTTGCCTCTGGAGTGCCAGGTTGGTGGTAGAGGTGGCGTCATGTCCGAGCGTGGATCGAGACGTCTTCCTCACGTAGAGAAAGATTTTTAGATAACTGACGAAGAGGACGAGGAATTGGATGGGTAAAAACACAACAGCAATCAGCATGGCGTAGGTGAATGTGTATGATAGGCTGGATTGCCAAGTACATGAGAGGAAGGTGGGGTTGTAGCCGAATTCTGCGTAATCAGACACAAGTGGGATGGTTGTCACAACCAAAGGAGGGAACCAAGTTAGGACAAGTGCAAAGGAGAGTTTACAAGGGGTGAGGAGCTTACGATACACGCTGTGTGCTGCGGTCGTGATGCCAATAAGACGGTTGACTGCGATGCAGACAAGGCAGTTGATGCTGCAGCCGATGCAGGTGAGGAGACCAAACGCAACGAGTTTGCAGACCCATATCGGGAAGACCAGCTCGTCATACAAGATGGTCACCCCTTGTAGAGTAGCCAAGATGCAGGTGAGCACATCGGCCACAGCGAGATTAAAGACAAATACATTGGTTGCAGTCTGGAGTTTCTTGACGGTCAGAATGGCAAAAATGACAGCCAGGTTTCCCAGGAGACCGACGAAACAAGCGACGAAAGTTGCTCCTGAGATAAACAGACGCTCAGCATACGAGGCGTAAACGTTGCCTCCCAGGCTACCGTTAGAAGTATTCCAAGCATCCATGTTTCAAATCCAAATGAAGATCAGCAGATGAGAAGGGATGACGGTATGGAAAATTTGTAGCGACTTTAATAGTATAAATGTCTTAGTAACCATCTTTGTGTATAATGCTGGCAGTTTAATTCGATTACCATTGTCCATAAAATTAGTCATTCTAATTATGATTTCAGCTGGTAGGTTTGTTTTATATGTTGATACTTGCCGTTTTATGCAAGTTGGCACTTAATTGTAATTTTTTTTGGATTTACATTGCAACGCTTTGGATATACATTGTCGTTTGCAGGGTCACTTGCCGTTAATTCATTCTTATATTGTTAATTCTTGCGTTTTCATACATAAAACATCGTTACCTGAGAAACGCACCCTGATGGAAAGGTACGACAAACAAGCCATGTCAAACAATGTTTGTTTGTTTGTATGTTTATATTTCATATTTGACAATCTCCACGGATAGCTTACAAATAACAATTGGACATAATATTTAAACGTGAACACATACTACAACGTATATCCGAGGCGTTGTCGAAGATAACACACAAAAAACGACCTTCCGTTGAGTGTGTACCACCTTCAGTTCTAGACTTATATGTATTTTCGTCCCATATATACCGGGTGTATCAAAACAAGGAAACCCATATGTAAATGTAAATTATGAAAAAAAATCATATAAATATTTTCAAATCATTTAAAGATCATGTAAATCGCTAAGGCCAAAAAAAAAATAAGTCGGTCTCTGATCAGCGTGCGCGTCGATTTTAATCATGCGCGTCAATCTTTTTTTTCCAAAATGTTCCGCGGTAGCTCCAACAGCGCCCTCTATTGCTGCACCTCCTCAATTTTTTTCTACCAAAGAGCACCAAGGAATGGGAAATTGCACCAAGGCAAATGATCGAGAGCACCAAGGCAAATTATGGAGGACACCAATGTACATGAGGACACCAAAAAAAGCAAAATAGTACCCCACACTTTCTGTACAATCCAAGCTTGAAGAAGAAAAAAAAGGCCAAAAAAAAAAAAGCCGCGTCGCCGCGTCAATTCCGGAACTTTGGTCTGACCAGAGACCGAATATTTTTTTTTTGGCCTAAAATGTCCTCTTTTCAATGATACCTTGATATTGCCTGCATGTGGCAAAGATGACTGAGCATTCGTTATTCTGTCAAGGGTCAAAACCTGTAGTGGGCCACGTTTTACGTGCAGAACTCTGTGTGTAAAGAGGTGGAGGCCACGTTGAAGGCATTTGGCCATGGATGTGAATATTTGCTGTTAATTAAATTTCTTTTCAAGTTAATTAGTATACATGTATTCACCTGATACCATTCAGCCAAGTGTATCTACATATTAATTTATTAGCTTAATTTGCAATTGCGGGTTCCAAGTCTTGTACAAGCATATGCTTTTTACCTGGATCCCTCGTTTCATTTCTTTCATTCTTTATATAGATTCTTGTTATTTATGTTTTTGTGATATGATATGAAAAAACAACTAAACCATAAACCATGAATGCCTAACTTCAACAATGAGAGTATCTAAATCACTTTGTCAAAATTAAATACATTATTTTAAAGGAAAGGATGTCTTTTTTCTTTAAATTAAGCCGTTCCACACCCCACCCCAGAACACAACGTTTGCACTAACTTTGCCAATTGCAGGTTTGGACCCTTGACAGAATAACAACGAATGCTCATACATCCGTGGCCACAGACACACAATCAATGTGTCATTGGAAAAGACGACACATTGGTGTTTCACCTGCTTTTTATCTTAATTCAAAATGGTTAACTTTTTTATAAATTACATTTACATCTGGGTTTCCTTTTTTGACACACCCTGTACTTGCTTTAAATGAACGGGTTCCATGTTATTTTTATCTTCAGAGCTCTGTTATCATCCTTAACCACCAACGTCTTTCATATTATATTTCATGAGGCACGACATCAATACAACTTTACCACTTTACGATGAGCGGGCGTGGAAATCTACAGTTCTAGCTCGGACACTACCTTGTTCGAGCTCACGTTCAAGGTTTTGACATTGGAGAGCGCCCTCTTCGGTTATATTTTCTGCTTCACGGGAAAAGAAAACCTCCACAGCAACTTGTACAATAAAACTACTGTTGTTAGAGTGGCCGCGATCTGGATAATTTGGACTTTCAGTCTTAAATCATGATATTTTATCACGAATTGGCCTTTGTTATCATAACATCTTCAACTTTATTAAGACTGATAATTCTCAATTAGGTAAGACACTGTTGGATCGCCCGATGTTTCGTTTATTTGAGGAAACAATGTCTATATATTATGTTAAGTTCTTAATACTCATAAGGAATCAAATTAGCACATACGATGTCCGGGAAACCCGCTTTTCCAACCAGTTTATGTTGTCATGGATGTAATTACTCAAGTGCATGTTGAATAACAAGGTGTTTCTCTCGTTATTTCTGTCGAACCATACATCTTGATGATGAAGGGGGTCAAACGGTATAAACTGAGATCGGTGTAAAACGGTAACACCACGAGGTACGGCGTCTGGGATATTACGAAAGCAAGTTCGATGTACACGAGGTTCTTTGTATTGTCCATTTCCTCTGACACCGTTTTTGTTTTTGCGAAAACTCGTGGTGCCTGAGGTGAAGGTTATCTCGCGGTTGTTTGTGCGAACAAAAGCAAAGATGCAGGTGTAGCAGAAATCATCGTGACGAGCTGATCTGGATAACCACAAGAAAGTACAAGGATGTTCAAGTACATGAAGTAATAGGTTGCTGGTGTCCCTGGAGCAGAGACGATCTTATGTAGCCCAACTCGCATTAATCGGATACTACCGGCCGGGGCATGTCATAAGGTTGATAGAGGTTTATGCGGGGGGTTGAAGTTCAATGTCATCAGTATTAGTTTTCGTTTTGGGACAGACTCGGCCAGGAGGTGCCACAACAGGCTGAGATGATCGCCTCTTCCTACCGCAGTGCACCATTCCCGCGAAAGCCGTGCGAAAGTCCGGATGTCTCGTTGCGTAGATGATCGGATTGACGGAACTGTTAGCCACGAGGATCGTGGACGCATAGGAGAGGGCGCTACTTGCAGTTTTGACCAATGCCAAAATCAGGAAGTACGGACTCAGACACAGCAGGAAGACGCACACCACTAGAAAGAGGTTTTTGGTGACTGCCACTTGGCGCTCCCATAGTTGCCTCTGGAGTGCCAGGTTGGTGGTAGCGGTGCCGTCATGTCCGAGCGTGGATCGAGACGTCTTCCTCACGTAGAGAAAGATTTTTAGATAACTGACGAAGAGGACGAGGAATTGGATTGGGAAAAACACAACAGCAATCAGCATGGCGTAGGTGAATGTGTATGATCGGCTGGATTGCCAAGCACATGAGTAAAAAATTGGATCGTAACCGGATTTTGCGTAATCAGACAAAAGCGGGATGATTGCCACAACCAAAGGAGGGAACCAAGTCAGGATAAGTGCAAAGGAGAGTTTACAAGGGGTGAGGAGCTTACGATACACGCTGTGTGCTGCGGTCGTGATGCCAATAAGACGGTTGACTGCGATGCAGACGAGACAGTTGATGCTGCAGCCGATGCAGGTGAGGAGACCAAACGCAACGAGTTTGCACACCCATAACGGGAAGACCAGCTCATCGTTCAAGCTGGTCAAGGCTTGTAGGGGAGCCACTGTGCAGGTGAGCACATCGGCCACAGCGAGATTGAAGACGAAGACATTGGTTGTAGTCTGCAGTTTCTTGACGGTCAGAATGGCACAAATGACCGCCAGGTTTCCCAGGAGACCGACGAAAGAAGCGACGAAAGTCGCTGCGGAGAGAAACTGACGCTCAGCATACGAGGCGTAAACATTGCCTCCCCAGCTTGCGTTAGAAGTATTCCAAGCATTCATGTTTTAAATCAAAATACTGCTCAGCAGATGAGAGATAATAATTGTATACAACAGTTGTAGCGACTTCAGCAGCATCAGTGCCTTTTATAATAATTTGTATACTTGCATTTTATCTCTTTACGTGTGACAATGACGTGGACTCATCAAATTAAGATTGTAGCTGGTAGGTTTGTCTTTTAAGTGTTGATACTTGACCGGAATTCAGGGTCTTTTGCCGTTCATTCCAATATTTTTCCTGTATTTTTATACATGCGCCATTGTTAATTACACTTACAAGCGCGTCCTGAATTGCATTTAAAAAGGTATAACAAATGAGGCATTGTGAACAAAATTTCGCGTTTGTTTGTTTGTTTGATTGTTTGGTTACGTGGTGTCGGGGTGTTTGTTCATTTGTTTGTTGGGGTTGTTGGGTGTTGGGGTTGTTGGTGTGTTTGTTGGGGTATTGGGGTGTTTGTTTGTTTGTTTGTTTGTTTGTTGATTTGTTGGTTTATATCTCACCGAATATTCAAATAACAGCAGGCATAAAATTTTAAATTCAGACAAAAAAATTAACACTTAACACGAAATAATCAAAGTCTTTGTCGAGAATAACACAAAAAGCTGTCAGCAGTTGATTTACATCTCAATGTATGCAAGAAAGATGTAAGTATTTCATACACGCACATATAGGACAGACTCACACCTGTGATTGGTTAAAACATCTCTGGGCGGGACTATTCTGGCAACCTCATTGGTGGAGGGGGCACTGATTGCGCGCGCTACCTTCCCTTGAGTATGTACCACCTTTAGTTCTAGCCTTGCATGTATTTTCATCCCATATATATGGGTCACGGTGTTATTATTACCTTCAGAGCTCTGTTATCACCACCAGAGTCTTCCTGGAGACACGAAGTCAATAAAACGTTACCACTTAAGGCCAACAATGTGCGGATGCGGACACCTACGGATGTAGCTCTCGACGCTCGTGTCGGACACGACCTCATTGGAACTCGCGTTCAAGGTTTTGTGTATTGGAGAGCGCCCTCTTTAGTCGTGTTTTCCGCTTCACGGCTAATAAACCACAGTGACACATAACATAAAGAAACTACTGTTGATTCAGAAGTTACGATCTGGATTATGCAAATACAGCCCTGAATCGTTATACTTCATCATAAATTGTCAATTGTATGTTAAAGTCTTCAACATACGAAGAAATCATATGTAGGTAAGACTGTTTCGTCGCAAGGTTGACCTTAGGGCGGCCTGAGGACATCACATGGCTGGCTTCAATTCCAGCTAGCAAATGGTGAGAGTTTGCGATACCGGTTTCTTGTAAGATGTTGACGTACGTCGATAAAAAAAAGAATACAGTTGCTTTCGCACATCTGTTATGCATGATCGTACACAAACCCCGTGGCGTCCTGAGAGCGCGCGCGATTGATCGCCTCAAGGAGACTTTTCGCGCCATTTCCGTCGTTTACCCGCACCAGGAATATTGCCAAGGACATTGCTGTTTACAATAATATTGAGCGTTTTTATACACTGTGCTCATATAGTTCTGCTCTAAGTCCATAGAGTTTGTTTTTCCTAAAAGATGATGACAGTTGGTAACGTCATCACATTCAAGACCATGGATGAAGAACAATTTTGAAATATAACAAGTTCAATGTGCTCAACCCTATAATATCCCTTTCGCCACATAAAACATTATCTCCAAAGGATCCTATAAATAGTTATTATTTCAGTGTAACAGCGCCCTCATGTATAAACCATCGTCACTTAAAAAGGTCTTTGATATCTTGTCTCGATCAATGCAATGATGAATTTTAAAAAGGCTCTTACGCCGAGGACGAAAGTTCCTTTAAGGATCCTTGATCCGTTGTAGGCACATGTTAAAAAGTTGACATGAATTTCGACAGCCTCGTTCACTTGCATTGTGACAAAAACACTTGAATTCCCTCGGTTGTATGAGTCAGCAGCTTTGACTAGCTGACAAAGATATTTGTCTTTTCATCCTTAGCCATGAACCTTTTCATCCTAATAAGACTTTCACAGCTAGCTCTTTTATCGTCAGTTGTTGGCCTTTTGGTACTTAGACCAACTTCTTTGTAGGCATTTTTTCAAGCTTAACATCTGGACAATCTCATCTCACACCGCAAGAGCTGCGCTGGGAAATTAAATGGCCCACGACATGCATTTTACGTGGGAACATATTTTGTGCAAATATCTACTCTCAAATGTATGGAAACTTTTTGACATCCCTTAACCATATAACCACGAGCATTTGTTTGCAGTGTGAAAACCTTCGATCAGACTGAGAATCCAATACACTCAATATTCCGTCACAAGCCATATTTTGTAATGTCATGAGTCTTTTTCCGTGCTGGATTTGTTTTCCCAGAATTTGCGCATCAGTGGGAATGATAAAGTCTAATAAGTGACCACAGTGTGTTACACAAATCCGTCACGCAGCAGACTGATCACGTCACAGCGGCCTTACTGAAGCAATGAACAAGACGGTGCCAATTTCTCCGAATAAGACACAAATAACATTCTCTTCCTCGATCGTGCGAGGTCTAGCCCATCAAATGGGATTTAGGTTAAGTCCACTTGGCACGTGCTTGTAATTGAAGTTGCCCATGTTCAATCATTGCCGAATCATGTTTCCAATCTTGTTAAAAGCACCCAAGGCGGAACGGAAAACCGTTCTACTGCGGATTTATCGTGGATTGAGTCGAATTGCGACCTTGGATATATTTGATTTTTTTCCCTGGTAAAGCATGTAAGGCCCTATGCACAACCTACAAGTGCTCTTAATGTTTAAACCTCCTGCATGATTATTAACATCTACCTATTCAGTAGTTCATCTTTTGTTTTATAGGCGTACACATATTCCAAGCACACTTTTGAATTCATTTTCAACCTAGAATTGATATTGCGATAGATTCCAGTGTAATTCCGACTTAAACGATGGAAAAGGTTAAATGTAGTTTTTTTATTTCAAATCATAAATTTCCTTCAACGTTACTGTGAAATTACTTGACCAATAGTAGTTCAAATATGTTGACATAAAGTTGCTTCATTTATTTGATGTTCGTTCTTCAATACATCCTATACACAAGCAGTTAAATAGACACAAACAGATTTCACACTTGAAAACGACAGAGTGATATTTTATTGATCCCTTATTGCCGAACATTCCATCTGATCTTCCCCCGAAAAAAAAATCAAACCAAACCGCCTTCTGACAACTTGGTGAAAGGGTACTCTATCTGTGGCCGCTAATAATCTCAATGTGGTGAAATTCTGCCAATCATTTATGCCTATGATTCCGAAAACATAACCAAGCAATTAGTGCATGCAATGGCTCATTTTACGTGGATTTTGCGGCACAACGTGGCACAAAGTGCATTGTACATTATGTGTTTATAATTGAACCGCGTCCAAAGAGATGGAGAACGTCGTGCATTGATGCATTGCTGCTTTAATCAAGTGGACATTTTAATGAAAAAAATATTGTCACGCCCCAAGTGAATTGCTTGGCTTTCCGGCTTTCCATTTTTCTCCCTTTTTTGTCCTTTTTTTCTGAGAAGTAACATTAGTTTCTCATGGGACCCCAATCAAGCGGATTGGATTTTTTTTATTGTTTAATAGAAAGAGCGGCAGTTGGAATCCCGTAAAGTGGGATTTGATTGTCTGTACGTGCAAAATGCATTTGCGAAATGACGTTCACGCCGCTCTCACGAGAATTTCGCCCATCATTTCGCTGAAATGCGTTTCTGATGCCAGTTTTCCATTCTTGAATAACGTTGGAAAAAAAATTGTGACATGGAGTTATGCGAAATGTGCTGCATTGACGAGAAAAGAAAGGCGGCACCAAACCTATAGAAAAAAATCAATGCCCGGAAATTTTGCAGACGTGGTACATCTACACGATTTGTTGAATAAATAGGTCAAACATTTGCCTTACAAACATATGCATGTGCCCTCAGATAACTATTTGTGAAATGGAGTAGGGAATCAAAAAGTTGGACAATGAGATTGAAGTTTGCTTAAAGGTAAAAGAAAAAGAAGAGGAAAAACATGTGAGGAAGTTCCCTTGTGAATTAGTGACGACCAGTGCTTTTCTGTATGTTTAGGAGTGAAAATGATTGTAACATTAAAGCCTTAATATCATATTTTAACCGGCGTTTGTGGTTTTTTTTACAGCAATAATGCAGAAAGGTTAAGAATTTCTCAAGGATTGGGACAGCGCAAATATTTTTCAGCATGATTACTTTAAAACGTCTATCTTGAAATTACAGGTGTTACGAATAGGATTGCATTGTCAATCACAGTGTACTCATAGAGAGATATTAGCGATTACCGGTGACATAATATGCCTCGAAAAAAGATTTGTCGGGTTAGTCGGGTACGTGCGGGTCATGATTTCAATTTTGTTCATTCAATCGCTCATTCATTCTGTCCACTTATTCAAGCATTCATCAATATTCCTATCCATGTTGTCAATCAAGCACATCCATTAACTTGATCGCCCATAACATCCACTCATGCAACTTCACAGTACATGTACTTTTTTTATACGCAGTGCAAGTAGGAGGGTATACGACATTACAGACTTAAACAGAATCAGCGTGCTGTACCAGCCAAAAGCTTCTTATGTATACATTGTTAATGAAATCATGTTTTTAGTCTACAGTGAATAAGACAAATGAAACCATAATAATCGGAATGAAACCAGCAGAGCTCAATGAAAATGACAAGGTGCAGATGTTGAACTTCGCGATATTTTTTAATAAAAACAGTTTACATTATTTTCTGCCACGTAAAGTTAACAGAGCTTGTTATACAGGGTGGATAAAAAAAAAAACCGAAACCGAGATATTAGTGCTAATTGGAACAGAAGTAGGGCACATGTGAATCAAAGGGAGATATCTTCTGCTAGGGTTGAATCTCCTCTTTCAAATGACACCTTGGTCATGTCATTATATTCACGTTTGACTGAGCCATTCAAGGCAAGTGGGGAAAAAAGAAAATTCACCATGAAAAGTGGCGCAAGTCTCTAAATAGACGCTTTCATAAAATTGGTCACTGCTCAGTCAACCATGAATGTAAGGATATGATCAGGGTGCCATTTTAAAGAGGAGATTCAACCCTAACAGAGGATATCTCACTTTGATTCACATGTGCCCTACTTCTGTTCCAATTAGCAATAATATATCTCGGTTTCGTTGTTTTTTTATCCAGCCTGTAAAAGTTCATGTTTGGTAAGATGCAAGATGGCGTTTGTTTTCCTATTAAAGAGTAACCACTTTCACCGCATTCATCAGTTTTCAATGCTGCTGCGTAATTATCACAGCTTGTCATTGCTTTCAGTTTGGTCGGATGTAAGTTGGTGTTTCTGCTGTCCGTTCCTTTGATAAGACTGTGGTATCTCCCTCCGTCTGCATTTTATCATGTGTCTAAAGGCCTCCTTAAAATCGGGATGGGACGTTGCGTAGATGATCGGATTCACGCAGCAGTTACAGAAGAGAATGACGGCAAAGTAGGGTGTAAGGCGGTAACTGAGATCGGTGTACAACAGCAACACCACACAGTACGGCGTCTGTGACACTGCGAAGGCCAGCACGATGTACACGAGGTTTTTGGTAACGTCCAATTTCCTCTGCCACAACTTCTTGCGGAGACTCGTGGTGCTAACGCTGGCGCTGACTTTGGCGGACACGCTCGGGGCGCGCTGCTTTGAGGCCATGGTCATCTCGCGGTTGTTTCTGCGGACGAAAGCGAAGATGGAGGTGTAGCAGAAGATGATCGTGACGAACTGAACCGGATAGCCAATAGCAAGCAGGAGGATGTTGAAGTACATGGAGTATGGATTGCTGGTGTCCCAGGAGCAGAGACTGTAGATCTTCTCGTAGCCCAACTCGCCGAAATCGGAGACGAGGGGTACGAGTACACAGCCGCACGGAATGAGCCAGGTTAGCGCGACCATCACGGCGAGCGTACGGTGGGATCGCATCCTGTGAGCGGTGTGTTTCGGTTTGGTGATCCCCACCCAACGAGTGACGGCAATCAGGGCGAGGTTGTTGATACTACAAGTTCCGCAGGTGATCAAGACCGAGGCAGAGGCCACACATATCCAGTAAGCATCCTCCAGCGGCCAGCCGTCCTCGTGAAGTACCGAGAGGGACTGCCACGGAAGGGCCGTGCACGCCAACAGGTCCGCTATGGCCAGATTTACCACGAAGACGTTGGTAGGAGTACGGAGCTTTTTGGACAAGGCTACGGCTATGATGACCAGACTATTGCCCGTTGTTCCTACGATGGCAGCCATGATGAACAAAGCTGCGATAATCTGCCTCTCAAAATAGTGTTGGTAAATAATAATCATCCTCTCAGAAGACGTGGTGTTGTCGTATGAGGTTGTATTCATTTCGGATATTAATGTTTCGTTCGCCATTATTACGAAAAGTCCTTCGAAACGTTTAGGCGATCCAACTTGCCAGGGCGAGTAAGATCGAGACTTATTTCTATCTCCAGACGTAACTCGAGTTATTCAACTTATCGGATGCCGTTTTTACTTGGCGTTTATACCATGAACTCACTAACAGATACATCTTTCTGACTGTTGATGTATGGTGACAACGCCAAGTCAAACTGGAAACTGTAGATCTTCAAGTAGCTCTTCCCTTCTTGTAGACTTGAACGCCACGCCGCGATCTGCTGCATTCTTGAGGTGATCTGATCATGTTTAAACAGGAACCCTCTCATAACAATCAGACAAACATAATGGATGGCTCGATACTTGATGTGACATTCCTGGACAAACCATCGGCATAGACGTGTTGCGCAGAGCGATCCACCCGTCTGGAGCACTCTCACAGCTTAGCACTTGCAAGTGAACCGGTGCGCAAAGTCTGCACCATGACTTATCCATTAAAATGGATAGTTTCATTATACCGGCCTTGTCGATTTCCTTGAGTGTTTATTTATTGCAGATTTTGATTCACCCGTCCATCACTTAAGTCAAGAACCCAAGATGATTGCAACCAGCAGGGCTCCTTTGGCTACCGAATGGAAAATGACATGTGTGCTGTATGTATTTTACAGTACTGCACGCGGAGAATTGTCTCGATGACTAATCACTGTTGATTGTTGTCGTTTTTATAGGCGTTGGTGGCCGTTGTGTCTGATAGCGCGGGTAACAAGTGTCCGCATGCAAACACGCACCACTAAATCGCTCCGACAATCGAGGCCAGTCATTAGAAGACTGAACTCCACAAGGAAATTATTTCAATAATAATGCTAGGCCAGAATAAACGGAAGTTCGCATTTGAAGTCTTGCATAGGATGCTGTTATCTACACAGTATTAGGTTGCGGAAATGTTGCATTTTATAAAAACAAACCACTACATGGCTGTGCCAAAGATAACCGAGAACAATAAGAGCGGTTTTCCCCACGGCATAGGAAAAAAGTCTGCCAGAAGAATACAATTGCAATGACTTGCATGCTTTTGCTTGTTTCATTTTCGATTGCTCAGGCCTCACCATGGCGCAAACGTTTTGAATAGAATAACGCCAATGGATTGGCTTATGATCCGGCCCATATATTCATGAGAAAATTCCATGTAAATAGTCTTTAGCCTAGAGCGGCTGAGCTGCGAAAAATAACGAAGCGACTGGAGCAAAGACCAAGCCCGTGTTCGCGAGTAGCGAAGCCACGAGGCCTGTTCTAACTTTGTTTAGGTGCGTGTGCGCACACATACGCGCGTCACGCGTCCGGGTAGTAGCCACGCAAGCATTTATAAGGCTAATGATTGGTTGGAATTTTGCTACCCTTTTAGGGTAGTAAAAATCAAGAAATAGTGTGGCCTCCGCTCCAGTCACTTCGCAGCTTCGCCGCTCCGTCTAATAATGCCGGTTAAAACCACGATGGCCTTGGCGAAAGGCCAAGTAATAGCCATTCGGAATCGATTGAATTTTGCCTCTGGGGACCAGCTCTCCCAGGCTTGTCTTGTCCTGTTTTCAATTCATCTTCACATAGACAGTAAACTGGCTGATATCGGTGTGCTAATTGGTGAGGAGGTTGCGTTTTGGACGCAGATTGCCCCCATCAATATAAGTTGTGGATACTAATGAAGGCATAATTGAAGATTATCTCTGCTGGCGATGTACAAACCTGGAAATAACCTTGAACCTTTGTTCTTTCAAATTTAATAGGAGAACAATGAAAACATAATGCTCTCCTCGATACCAGGATATCCGATATAAAAATTGTGCAAAGTGATCATGGAACTTCCTCATAAATAATACAGCGTGATATTGATGATTGATTTTGCAGTATGTTATCGTGCGAACGATATACACCGTTTTATATTTTCCTTTGTGTTAGAGGAAGTTGCCCCTACGAACAAATTGAATCGTAAAAAAAAAAAGCGCCTACGTTGAGAACGATTCGGGATTTTGAGATACCATTAACGTGAAGCATTCCGCGCACGACTGACGCGTGTATTTTTGGCCAATCACACTTCAGGTAATGCGGCATCGTCAGGGCGCGTAGCAACCAATAGGATTTTAGAATCTCTGAGGGCGTTGCCTTTCCTCATACGCGCGTGATAATGGTCTGGGCCCAATTTCATAAAGCTGTTTACCGGTCAGCAAAAGTGTTTAACACCTGCAATCGTGGACCCCTATTGTCCCTCTTTTGTTTGTACTCCACCTTTTAGGAAGACCTCCCATATGTTTCGTACACGATCGTCAATTGTGGACCTTCGGGAATCGTGGACCCTATTGTCCTATATTGTTCAACGTCCCCTATTGAATGCAAAAACAAACTCACGCACACCTATGTCCAAACCCATCCGCCACCGAAAAACACATAAGCATAACCCAAAAGAAACACAGTACTTACAAAATACTACTTACAAACAACTAACAAACAAGTAAAACATAATCAGCCATGTATCTTTGAGTTTTGTTACTGTCTTTTTATTATATTTCCTTCTTTCACAGATCACATATTCCACTTAACCACTATAAGAAGATCAACCAAAGTATGTAGAGCAGTATTTATATAAGGTTGTACAGTGCAGGCTTGCAACAGTAAATATTTTCTTTTGTTTGCTAATAAGAATATATATCTTTTTAATTGAAATTCGTGTCACTAGTAACAGTGGCACTTAATTGTGCAGTGCTTGAGAATTATCAGTTATTGTTTTAAAAAAGTAGATGCAATTTTTTGTCAAGCTTTAACGTAAATTTGTGAGTGCCGTTGCATCGTGGTCGGGAGTCAGCATTAAATTCGAGGTCTGTTAGGGTAATCTGCAGGTTGTGGGTTCGAGCCCAACCTGAGGTTATGGTGCGTGTGCCCTTGAGGGAGGCATTTTGTCACTTATTGCCTCTACCCACCTTGGAGTTAATGGGTACCTGTGAGGGCAGAGATGGTTATTGTGATTGATTGAAGCTCACTTGCGCCGAAATGGCAGCATCGAGCTGCATTCTCTCCAAAGAAATGAGATTTCTAAGTTCCATTACCCCAATGAGCAGGTTAATAATGATGTAGCGCCTTGTGCACCAATACTGGTGGAAACGTGCGCTTTGTAAATGCACATTATTATTATTTTTTTTGTGGACTCTTTTTTTTGTTACCTGCAAGTGTCAATGTTAATTCAACTTGTTCCAGTTTCCCATCCGGAATGCCCGATCACTTCACGAAGTGCTTTATTAGGTACAGGTACAATTTAACATCGTTGGCATTCCAGAATATGGTTGTCATTGATTTGTATTTCTGTTGGGTCTTTTTTTCTTTTTTCTTTTTTTTCCCATACATTTCAAATGGCCTTGAACACGAAACGATTGAAAGCTTTTATATTTTAACCCAGATTGAGGAAGCGTGGTGCGGGCGTGACATTTTCGATGTTCGTTTTGGGGCCCCAACAGATTGGTTAAAGCCTTGATTGGTTTACACGTGCTTGGTAAATATTTAAACGTCGTGCAACGAGAATAAATAAAGGTATGCTCCATCGTGGAATACAGTCCATACTGGAATTCAACAAATACAAACGGCATTCAGAGTAAACCTTTTTTAAAATCCCAAACTTATATTATTCTTATAAATCCTTGAGAATCAGATTGATGGTTCCTTCTTGCTCAATAAAATTTCAATAAAAAAAATACCCACGTGCAATTGTTTATAGTGATGTGCTGAAGTATCTGAGCTACCTTTTCCTGAAAAACTTTACAAGAAGTTAAAGGGCATGCAATGTACAATTTGTAATGTTATCCTTGAAAATGCACGTTTGTGTCCGTTTAAGCTTATTTTCAATTTTTCTAAGGTATTCTGGTGCCTGTTGGTTTGTATGCTTATGCGAATTTCCATATTCATAAGCAAAACTGTGATGTCGTTCCGGGCAGAAAACTCAATGTTTTTCAGCACAAACAGAATTTTTGGATACTTGCTGTCATGAATTTTCTTTTCTTTGGTGATTCGTTGTTGTGTAAGTACAAGGCAGTAAGCCAATCAGCAAACCTCTCTCAGAAATGTTTTTCAATGAGCAAATTGGGGGCTAACTGTTTGACCCAAAACACCCAAACCAAACAGTGCTTTCCTGAAATGACATCACAGAAATAGCGCCATCACTTGTCCGGAAAAGCATGGGCAGTATTTGTGTTCTAAGAAATGCACTTTTCAATAAAACTAACCAAGAAGGGATGTCAAATAGTTTTCGTACACTTAAGAGGAGTAGAAAGTTGTACAAAAACCGTTCATCAGAAAATTCACCGCATGGACCCTCTTAGTCAAACAGGTATCAAACATAAACTCTTGTAATAGTATTCCTCGGTGTCATTTCATAAAAACAAACCACGGGAATCGACGTCAACCATTAGCTTTGGGGAAATTAGCTTTGGGGAAACATGTTTAAATGTCACAACGCAAACAAGGCCGCACAGCGTGCACATCGTTAATGAACTACGTGTTCAGCCATCGATTTAACAATAATGCTCTTGCAGTATGACATTTTTGGTGTTTTGTATTGTGTATAGTATTGCTGTACACGAACATCTAATGCGCATATATAAATTGCTTTCAGCTATTCCAACAAAATGGTACCCTAAGGAGACACTTAATGATAAATTATTTTACTTCGTGGAGACATTGGTCATGAGGGAGACAGTTTAGTGTCTCCCTAATGGTTTAACTTCCATTTCTAAAACAAATTTCATCGTCACAAATTAAATAAAACGATTCCTTCCCTCGAGAAAAGTACATTTAAAAAGTCTGGCGGAGGGAGTATTTACAAATGGGCCTATGACAAGGGTTTTTTGGTGCACAAGTTTATTGGAATGTCTCCCTTCTGTACCATTTTCGGTTGTTTCCAGATGGGCATGTACAAGTGCATTCATTTCCCCAGCTTTTTGATAATCATCTATCCGTTAAGCTGTAGTGAGTAATAAACTATTGAGACTTGTGATTAGCTACGATTCCACTACTATTGAGTGCTAAATTACAAATGTTTAAACACTGCTACTTTTCCTTATTACTGTTAAGAATCTTTAAAACAGCATCAAAATATTAAAACCTTTATAGCCTCCGAGTCACATGACATTTTTTCCTTCTTTCCCCCCCCCCCCCAATTCTTTTAGAAAAGGCAAACATATATTGTCAAAGTAATCGATCTGTATAAATTCCGTTTAAAAAAGATGTAATTAATAGATCGGCATTGAAGGGAAAAATGAGCCACTGAAAGGATCTTAAGTCTGCCACAGGCGAAAACAAGTTGTTTTAAAGAGCTATACTAAACAATATTAACGATCGACCAAATGTTTTTTTTTATTTGTCAAGTGCCACAGTGAATTTTATACGCTACATGTAAAACATACATTATAGGATCGTGACGGCTTGTTCTTTACAGTTTCATAAAAAATAACTCAGCCAATCAATTATTTTCCTTGACAATAACAACGACGATAGTTCCTCAAACGATTCCCATTGTGTTTTGATTGACTCGATTAATCCCGTGGTGATCCTTACAAAAATTGGATAGATTGTTCACGGTTGATCCCTACACGCGAGGTTGAATATAATACATGTAATAACCGTTCCGTTGATTGGAACGGTATCGTTAATCTGGCAACGCGAAAGTCTCAGTGGCAGTCCGTTTGTAAGGCAATGCCCTGCAGTAGCTACCGGAGTCACGTGAAATTGCAAACCCCGAAGCAATTTGTTAAAAATAAACGGTCAACCACGGTCATGGCTACTAGATAAGGGTTGTCCATTTTTCGAATAATTTAGTATTCGATTACTCGAAACTGCGTTTTATCGAATGTTCGGGACAGCCGAAGGCTATGTTGTTTTCCTCGGGAATTTGTAGAGTTATGATTAAGAAGCGATGATTACTTTTTTTGACGAAGATATCGGAATATTTGTGTTTGTTATTCCTGAAAACCTTTTATCACATATTCATAAATAACTAAGACAGTTTACCCATCCATCAGTATTGGTCGAGAGCCCGTCACGTGGCCGGTTTTAAACGGTTGATAAAGACACGGCTGGTTGGTCTTAAACACTTTTCCAGCGTCACATGGAATTTTGACTATGAAATCCGGTCCCAGCACTTTTTTTTGGTTGAACGTTCACCATCCTCACGTAGGCATGCTCAATACTACCAGTGAGTCAGTATTTCATAGCCCTAAATTCACACTACACCGGTACATCGGCACTGTGTGCCACATCACGCAGTACGCGCGACGCTCGCGTCAATCTCCATAGGCCATGTAAGGAGTTGTTTACCAGAGAGCCTTACAGTAGGGGTGTTTTGTTGATCGAAACCGTTGAAAATATAAATCTTTTGACTTGTTTTGATTTTTGCACCTAAAAGTTTTGATTTTTTTACCGAAAAGGTATTTTGAAAGGGAATAAATATTATGTGCTTGGTCAGTAGTAAACACAATGTTTAAACCGGTTGGAGTCTGAATGCTGATAATTACTAATTATCAGCATCCAGACTCCAACCGGTCTTAAACATACGTTTAGTGTTTAAAACCTCCGGAGCACACATTTATTCCCTTGGGGTCATTCTTACCTTATTAAATGTAACAATATCGCAACTGCAATGTGGATGTCCACTTTAAAATATATATCAAGTATTAACCACCTAACATGGAATCCTGTAATAATATCCACTACATCGAAGAACACTTTGATCTATCAAGTTTCTGGCTAAAGATTTTGTGTTTGACATTCTTGCAAGTTATAGAGCACAGCTTTAAAATCGACGTGCGTTAATAATGCAGAATACTCACTAAATGTGCTTGTGCGAGAGGTGAGCTATGGCTCAGTTCAATTTTGATCCATGAATATGTTAATGAGAAAATAGGACAGTTTAAAATACAGTAAATAGACCGCTTTTGGGTCCGCTTTTTCTATTGAAGGAGTCTATTTGGCGGCTGGTGTTCAGAGTTTCTGAGTGTCTTCTGTCGTGTAGCCTGGGTTCACTTGGGAGCTTGAGGGGACTGTTGATTTGTACCGCTGGCTGGACCCACCTCTGGGAATTTTGCGACACCTTATCATGTGCCCGAAAGCCTCTTTGAAATCTGGATGCGAGGTGGCGTAGATGAATGGGTTGACGCAGCTGTTTCCGAACAAGATCATACCTGCCCAGGGGGTAAGACGGTAGGTCCAGTCCGCGGAAACTATGATGGCCGTGAAGTAAGGCGTGAGGCAGAGGATGAACGCCAAGACGATGTACAACAGGTTTTTGGTAACGTCTAGTTGTCTCTTCCACAGCTTTCTTCTCATGGCGCGGTTGGCACCTCCGCCGCTGACTTTCTCCGAGATGGACGGAGCGTCAGCACGTGTCATCTTACGCGATGTCTTGAAGACGTAACAGAAGATGGACGCGTAGCAGACCACGATGACGGTCAGCTGAATCGGGTAGTAGAGCACCGTGATCAGCATGTTGTAGTAGAACGAGTATGGGTTGGACCTGTCCCAGGTACAGGTAGAGTAAAGCTTCTCGTAGCCCAGTTCACCGAAGTCTGTCAGGACAGGCGTCAGGGCAGAGCAGATCGGTATAGTCCAGCAGAAGATGACCATCAGGGCGAGCTTACGGGTGGTGTAAATGCGACGGGTGGTGAAGCGAGACTTGGTGATGCCCACCCAACGGTTGACGGCGATCAGAGCAAGGCTGTTGACACTGCCGCCGAAGGTAATGACGATGACGAATCCTGCCATGGCGCAGATCCATCTCGCGTTCGGTATTGGCCAGTCGTCACCACCCAGGATCGCCACAGCCTGCCACGGCATGAACAGACAAGTCACCATGTCGCAGATGGCTAGATTGACGACAAACACGTTGGTTGTCGTCCGAAGCTTCTTGGACAATGCAACAGCGACGACGACAAAACTGTTACCGACGGCGCCCAGGACGGCAGCGGTGAAAAACACGGACGATATAATTTGTCTCTCGAAGAAATATCGGTAGACGAGAATGTCATTCTCCGAACCTTCGTAGTAATCTGACGAGCTGTCCTCTCCTGAATTGGCCGGTGTACAGTTAGTGAAATTTTCCATTATGTGTGTGTGTTAGATTGAGGTTGATAAAGACAGATTCAATGCAATAAGTATTAAAAGCAAACATTCATTATGAGCAAACATCCATCATGAAGCATTCACAAAGAAGCAATTTTCTGAGGACTGACAGTCAAATCGTCAGTACAACTTGTTGGTCAGTTAAACAAAATCTGTTCCCGCACATCGGATCTCGAAAAGAGAAATCGTTTCCTTTTCCTTTCCGATTTGACTCGGGCGTTTCTTGTATTTTGAAGAAGTTCCTTGTCGACAATACCCCTTCTCTGGCTTTCCTTTTATTTTCTGCAGCTCCTCGCTCGACGAAGATGCATTTCGTTGAAGAGACGATTATAAGTACCACAAATATTTACATGTACCACCGTCTGATCAGTGAAGTATAGCTGCAACAAAATGATAGACATTCACTCGATGCAGCGTGATCTTAAACCTTGAACGTTAAAATCCTCCGTAAGTGTTAAGATTATATAGAAAGGAACTGCGGTGAAAAGATGCTATTCAAATCCTTTTCCGCTTGGACTTGTATCGATGCAATCTTCGCGTGTTGATGAGGAGCACCTCCACCTATTGATGGAGATCATCTGCAAAAATCCCCCAGAAGTGCTTCCTCTTATAAGATTCGTAAGCGATCTGGTCTGCGCACGATGGGCTTGTTGATTTGACGCAGACAGGCGAACGTAATGGGCGACCTTATGATATATTGACGTATCGCAGCACTTATTGCATGATTGTCTCCAAGGTGCTTCAGTGCGCATGCGTTGTAGGTTGCTGGAAGGAAAACTCGAAAATACCACAAATAACGTAGAAATTGCACTCACGGGAAGACTTTTTTACATAGCATGTATAGGTACTGCAAAGAGGCAATTCAGAGCAAGATGATAATGAGCATAGAATCGATACCGACTTCAGTGCCGATTGCGCGTCAACGCCTGTACATGTTGTCTACAAATCTTCACCCATTGGTGAAGATTTGATTAATTACACATGCAAGTCGGGTTTACTCAACTGAACTCATTGTTTATAAAGGTACATACGGCAACCTTGAAGAAGGGGAAGTTGGTATACTGGATTTTAAAGGGAGGTGTTTTCCCTAATAACTGATTGTGAGTAAATCCATTGCTTTGGAAAAATCATAATTTTGCTGAAATAATGCGGGAAAAACACTGGAAACATGGTAAAACTGTCTTTTGATCAGATGTGTGCATCACTAATCACAATCACATTTAAGTGACGGCAGCATTTCACAGAAACCGTGCTCCCGGGTTGGACTTCCTTTTGTTCCTTTTTTTCCCATCATTGACTCAAAAACTGAAGCACCTCTTCAATTGCAAACGTAACGGTGTCCGCGATTATGAAAAGGTGGGATCAGTGAAATAATTTACACTCTTACATCCGACCTTGTGGCGTGTCCTTAATTTCTCTCAATGACTTCCGTATTGATATAAGAGGCGCACTGATCAATATTGCCATCGTAACGGAGATTGGTTACCTAATAATCTATTTTCTGAGTATGGCGATCAAGTATCTGGGAGTATACCAAAAGTATCAAATTTCCCTTGAGTTAATTGCATATGACCCATAACAAGCACAGCAGCTTTGGATCGAGGCTATCAAGAATGAAACCATTTTGATTAAATTTAATCATGCAAATGTATTAGTAATGTTATCACAGCAAAAAAGTACCATAGGAGATATTTTCTAGAAAAATTATCATACAACGGAGAGACACTGGTCGTTATTGAAATATTTTAGAGTCTCCTTATGTTTTAAATACCATTTCTAGAACAACTTTTATTTTCGGAAGGTGGTTGAAAACGATTCCGTCGGTCGAGATTAGCTCAAGTTTGGGCAGTGGGAGTATTTTCAAATGAGGTTATGGGAAATTGTTCTATAATGTCCCCATGAGGTAGCCTTTTTGACAATGTCCCCCTAAGATACCACTTTTTTGGTAATTTCCAAAACTCATGTCAACAAACTTTTATAATTTTGTTTTGAAAGCACGACAACACTTGCCCAGGGACGTTGCTCTGATGAAACGTATCGGAAATTCAACCAAAAAAATTATGAGACATTAGCCATCAGCCTGTCTTTAAAAGCAAGTTTCTCACATCTTCGATATCTGAAACGATCATGCAATGTATTTTTAATACAATGCTTGGAAATACACATTTTTGTCCTATTTAACCTAATTTTCAAGTGGTGGTTCCTTTTAGTTTTTTTATTCTAATGTGAATTTTTTTTTTCAATGAGCAATTTTTTTGGGGTTCATAATTTGAGCACAAAACCCCTAAACTGAAGTGTCTTCTTGAAATGACATCACAGCAATAGCGTCCTCAGTTGTCCGGAAAAGCATGGAAAATGTTGAATGCTTAAAGCAAAGTGCTTTCAATTTAAGAGGAGGAGAACGCTGCACGGAATATGTTCCTCAGAAATACTCATTGCGTGGACCCTTTAATCGTCATTTTACGGTCAGGGATAATCGAGCAGGGAGTGTCCTCAATTTTTAATCACCTTTTGCATGCCCCAAGCAATAGGCAAGAGGATGTGAACCAAACCGTTACGATTACTTCTAGTTGCGGAAAACAGTTCTCGTAAAGATTAAATGTAAACATTAAAGTTGTAGACTGCACAGTGTGATGTACAGTGTGAAAAACCAGCAGAAAACCCAAACAGTGCCCCCTATATTATAATGAATTTCTGCAGGTAACGTTTTCCAAATCTAGGACATGAAAGCCCAATTAATAAGCCTTTCTTTTAGTGAAGGAATCATTCCAATCGCACATGTACTTTTCTAATTGTGGAATTTTGAACACAAACACTGTTTTTTTTAACCTTGTCGACGGATCCCATTGAGGTACGTGATATTTCAGTAAAAATGAAACCATGTCGTATCCTGAAAATACATCAGAGTTATCCCAAAAGTCTCCGGGGTGGCCAAGTAGAAGGCAGGGCAAGACTTTAAACTCTTGACATTGTAAAATATGATATTTTAACATTGGAATCAACATGTTTTGCCAGTTATCATGGTTATGAGAGTGTTCTGATGTATTTGTTTTGGTATATGAATAGTTTTCGTTTTGCTGAAATATCACCTATTACCTCTATTGTGATCCGTGGACAGGGTAAAAAAAAAACGATCTCTGTGTTCAAAACTCCATAACTGGAAAAGTACGTAAGCGATTTGGAATGATTCTTTCACTAACAGAAAGCTTATGAATGGGCTTTCATATCTTAAAGATATGAAAGCCCATTCATATCTTAGATCTGGAAAGCGCTACATACAGAACGTCTTGAAAAAAATTGGGGCACCATTTGAATTTCCCCTTTTTTACTCACCCTGTATTATGTCGTATACGAATTTACACTGCAGAGGAAAACAAATTGATTTCAGTACATGTACATGCATTCAGCCACACACAACGCTGTTCGTATATCATGCAAGGTTCAGAACCTCGTAAATTTAATCAGCTTTTTCTCCGGCAAGATTGAAATACCTGTTGAACAGATATATACAGGATCCGGTACTCGATTTAATTGACGACCTTCGCTGGGTATCAATTTAGACCCGTTTGTTTGCATTTCAAACAAAATCTTAAGGGATTGCGAACGCGCTCAGTAAACCTCCGCGGTGTCCGCGCTATATGACACAGCATCTTGCAGGGAGCGAGGCGAGACCAATTAATTAATTGCGTGCTGCGTTCAATCAGCGCTACAGCATGAATGTAAACTGTACGGCAATAACCTATTAATGAAATATTTTTACTGCATATTTACTGAGTTATTCATTATGTACATTCATTTTCAATAATCACTTCGACATATTGTCACGGGTCGTGAAAAAGGTTACAAAACCTATTTTAAAATCCATTATACCGTGCAATAGGTGAAGCAGTAAATATAAAAAGTAAATAAACCAATTCATTGTTGTTGTTATTGGTTATTTTTTGGTAGCATATGTATTCCAGGCTACTTTAAAATGTTTATAATTCGAATTCACCGTTTCTAATATTCAAATTCGTCCATGACCATTGATTTAGTGCTCTTCCAATGTTAAACATCGTCTTTTGTCAGACAAAAAAATTCAGTTCAAGCAAATTCAAACAATGAGCACACGTTTTCGCGCCGGAATATTGCATTTCGTCTCGTCTACGCCAAACCTTGTTATTCAGAAATAAAATTCGTTTAATTGATATTTATCAGACGAATTCGATCTCTGAATGATGCCATTCAGCAACAGCTTGGACGAACTTGATCTGTAATGACGAATATTCTAAACCTATTGACTAAAGAGTAAAGGACTAAAGATTAAAAAAAAATGGTAAATGAATGAATTGGTTTTCTTAAAGCATGTGACATTTTTCGTGGTCGAAGTTGATTGATAGAGCTGGTGAATTTGAATGGACAATGTTTTAAAATAGTCGGGCAAACCTATATTATATCTCGAGTATTGTGGTTTTTTCCCTTTTTTTATTAAGCTTTCTATGTAGAGGTTTCATGGTGCCACGTCATTAACCCCGACCGTGGGGTCCAATTTGGGTCACTCTATAAATTTGGGGTCCACTTTTTTCCCGTCCCTGTTACATCTGACATCTATGATTGTATAATTCTGACGCACTCCTTAATGCAGTCATCCTCCAAGAGTGATTATGAATAGCAAACTACCTACCCAACAAATAAACAATCATTTGAAGTCATTCTTAATGATGCTTGAATGGCAAATTACAAAGTACCAAGGTAACAGGGACGGGAAAAATGCCACACTTTGGACCCCAAATTTTTAGAAAGACCCATTTAGCAATGATTAACCAACTCCATAGTTCACATGGGGAGCATATACAGCCCAATCCATCCACTTCCAAAGACTTACATGGTTCACCACTTTAGAAATAATCTTTAGTTTGTTTCCCTTTATACTTAATATCTGAATATTCGATTATCCACCGAATATTCACGGAATATTCGAATGACCATTTTGCTAAATAGAATATCCGC